TCCTCTGCACGGATTCGGGTGCATTGACCTGGTAGCATTAACCAAATGATTGACATTATCCCGTTAGTCTTCCGTGAAACTCACACTGCTTGCACCAATTGTCAAATTACGGAGATTAGAACAGTTAATGGACAGACACAGCGAAGGGAGAGCCCGGTGTAAATTCCGACATTGGTCCTGCGCAGACTCTACGATCCGTTTCCTCCCTCCGATTCCGATCCAACCCTCCCATATCACTTATCCGTTCTCCTCCCCCACTTTCCTCCGTGGACCAGATCAACCCTTTCCGCATTCGCTGGCCTTCATCATTCGTCTCTGCGATACCAATCCAAATAGTTGTTTAGCGGAACATACCATTCAGGAGCATCTGTATCTTCGATCACGTTCAGAGTCACTTTCATCCCCTCGCTTGAGTGTGAAATTTCCCAACGGTATTTGTTTCATTTCAGTGGCTTTCAACATTATTTCAAATAATTTTAACGAGTGAAGGTACTAATTTACATTTGCAATTCAAAAATTGTACTTGTGATCGTGAGGTTTGAATAGACATTAGACGCAGCTTTTATTCACTGAAAATATATCGTTGCGCTGACGGAAATGTAAGTGGTAGAAATTTCCGGAAGCTTACATCTCTTCGGTTTCAGCGCGACGAGATATTTCTCTCTAAATCGCGGTTTTCTGTTTGATTAGATTCAACTAGTTGTGAATATGGAGCTAGAGGTTTTAGGATCATAAAAGTCGTTTAAAAGAATATTTCCGGAGCAAAGGGACATTTTTTCTTTTAGAATTCAGTGGCTAGAGGAATTTTCCGCTCATGTCTTCCGTCGGCATTTGAATCGAACGGTTGTTGAGCGGATTTGCAGGCAAAGATTAGTTTAATTTGTTCTTGACTGAAATAAAGGTGTCAAAGTCAGAAAAATTGAACTTGTTTGTCAGAAATACATTCACGAAAGAATTCAAGAATGTTTTTAATAAAGAAGTTAAGGACTGGGGATTTTATTTGCAATCTCTCCCACCGGATAATCGCAAATAAAATAAATTCTGTTATGAGAATTTTTATGTTTCATGTTTTTATTATAGAATGTTCGGGGAATTCTACCTTTTTGGTTTTTATAATTTTTTTTTATTTTGCAGATGAACAACCGGCTCCAGCGGCATTCAAGAAACCTCGTTCGCTCTTTATGCTTTTGATTGTTGCTCAGAAAGCCTTGTTAATGATATCGGCTTTCGGGCAATAATCATAATCACGAAAGCGTAGCTTCCAGCGGGGTATGTTCGAGCTTTTCTACATATACATGTGCCTAGTATCTACTGGCTGCTTGAGTAATAATTATCGATAATTTTGTTGGATTAATCTACATGCAAGACGATTTTTAAATATTTACATAATTATGTTGTCTACATAATTTGCAGCAAAATAAAGAGGAAATCTTTCATGAATAACTTAATCTCTACAAATGTTATCATACAACAAGCGTTCGTAAATTTACTAGTGCGGAGAAAAAATTATTTGATTTTTAAGGACATGTCATTGATTTTCAGGATTATATCACCAATTGTTGGTGGTATTGGAGGCTGACTTGAATGACCCTGATTATCAGGGATTTTTATCACTGAAATTTGGAGATAGATTTATAAAAATTAGAGAGGGATAATTAAAAAACAATGATATTACACTGATAAATTAGAAATGAGTGTCTACAAATCAGTGACAATATCTCTGGAAATTAGTGACAATATCACTGGAAATTAGTGATAATGTCACTGAAAATTGGCGACAAAATCCGAATTTTCCAGCCACTGAATTTAATAATGACGAATGCCTGATAATTCTGGATGAATTCATGAAAATCAATGACATCTCTTTAAAAAAAAAATGTTTTTTTCACTGTGACACATTTGCGTGGAATATTACCATCAAATTTGCCAAACTTTCGTGATTACAGTGGTTTAATTAACCTGTACTACACAAACATAAATATTATTCATGATTTTATCCATTTCCATGGATGATAATAATAGAATAAATAACGGGATCTTGGAAGAGATGAACAATACCACTTAATCGTCAAATCACCGTTTTGACAATTAAGTACGATTATTTGAGTTCTTCGAACATCCCATTATTTAATTCACCATAAGTTTTATTCTCATGCAACGCCACGAGTATATTGTAAACTGTATAAAAAACTACAACCCATACCAAGAACTTTATGTCTTCTAATAAAATGTTTGTTTTTCCCTACCCGGAAAAAATATAAAATTATTTTTTACTGTGGGAACACAGTATGGGCACATCCCCACCTCACTCGCAATTTTTACTATATTCAAAAGTAAATTGCGAGTAACAAACAATTTACTCTTGAACATCCTAAAAATTGCGATTCGGTATTGTAAAACTGGTAGAATAAACGAAAAATTTAGTTTGAAACTCGTAAAAGTTCTGTCAACATAGATTGAATTTCCAAAATGTTTCGGTATGATTCTTGATTTTTGTTTTAATTGTTAATTTTGTGTTCCCCCATGTACCCCGCTGCGCATTTAATAAAAAATCTGAATAATATCTGAAATACGCGAATTAATTTCTCTTGAAATTGAGGCTTTTCTTGATTCACTCTCCTCTCCTGTCATAAATACATAATTCCCCCCAAACCAGCGCGAATGCTTCGAATATTTAAATTTCGAAACCTCAATTAATGCCCAGGTAACAATTTTTACGGATGCCATCTAAAATTCCGCGGCAAGACCGGCAAATATCGGGACATTTACCGGTAAATTGTTAACAGGATGATATAAGACTTGACAAGAGCTCGTAATTCCTCAAATTATTGTAACTCATTATTTTCAAAAAAAAAAACAGAATTACAGAGCATCGTCACCATTAATTTATCTTCTTCCACAGTCACTTCCTGCACTGACTGAAGCCAATTTTCCCGTTAAATATTCATTCGATCGCTCCGAAAAATAATTATAATAAGCATCGTGAATTAATAAAATTCCATTTGTCTCCGGAGCGGCGATCCGCAGGTGATGCGACTGCCGCAGTTCGATAATTACAAATGCCCGTATAATTGTGAGACGTGCAATATTAATACTTTGAAAGCATTCCGCGGTTCCGACTGACTACATGTCTGATGGCTATTGTTTTGCACATATCCCTGACATTGTCTGGCATTCATAACAAGTTTAAATCGTTGACACTCTAATATTTCGACTGCTGTTGTTAATGCATATTCACTGTACACTCGGTGAATGTATAAAACATCAGAAGAAGATTGAGACGCGGCAAAGCAAGCCCCAAACTGGTGGAATAGTTGACAGATTGACAGTCGGTCGCGCAAAGTAACAGTGAATATTTTACGCTCGTTTCACCTGTCAGACCCGGTGTGGAAGAGGAAAATTGAGGGATATTCTATGTATAGTTTGCCCTGGCGAACTTTCGACCTGAAATGACCCCACAGACTGCAAATCGTCGACGATATCACATATGTATAGTATACATATCCGTCACCCTTCACTTTATCGAAAATGAAGATAAAAAGGTGGAAAAGGTGACTCCTAGGACTATTATCAAATGAGTTTAATTTGGAAATCGATGACCGCACACTCACACCGCTATGGAACTGGGAAATTCACTCCGGATGCTGCCGTCTCCGTTTCTCTCACACTCGCATCCCTGGTTAACGTATAAATTATTGGTTATATCCTCGATTGATCCCTCACTATCTCAGGAATCACTAATGGCTTCATCACTTACAGATACTGCATAGACTCCATTTTTAGCTCACCTCAAATTTTTCTTGATTAAAAATCAGCTTGAATGACAGAATGCAGGATTTCTGTCAATTTATTTTCGGGAATTTCACTTTGATGTGATAATTAAACTGATGAAGAATAATTCCGCTGTGAGCGAGAGGAAATTGACATGGGCGGCAGTTTCGGTTTAATTCGTAATTCATATTTGCATCTTTCACGGGATATGACGACACACGGATATTTTAATTTTGGAAATTTTGAAACGGGAAGTTCATCCAGAGGTAATAAAAAAATCTCGGGTAAACGGGGGGAAATCAATTATGGAAATTCTCGTTTTAAAAGTACGTTTTGGTGAAGAAAAATCCCGAGTACTGCAATTTTTCCCATTTCATATAGGGGAGGGTAGGGTAAATGGACTCTTTAGACTTTTATAAAATTATCCATAACTCAGAAACAAATGTATTAACAGAGCTCAGTTTAGGCTCATCAGAAAGGAAAAGAATTGTTCTTTGTATTGAAAAAAAAAAGATTAAATTTCATCAACATTTCAACCCGTCACTAATATTTTTAAAAAATCAAAAGTGTCCATTTTACCCCAACCTCCCCTTCGCCTTTTGACTATCTTTAAAATGAATTGAAATCCTATGGAATTTCATTGGAAGTTATTTTAATTACTTCATACCATAACCATCCCTTACGATTTTTCTTCTAGAAATTCTCAAGCGAAAATTATCTTCATTTTTTCCGCGTATCCTTTTCCTTTTTAATTACGAAATTCAAGAGAAAAACTTGAAAAACGTAAATTCAAGAATTTTTACAGCAGAAATAGCGACAAAATGAGTTGTCGAAGAAGTAAAACATTTATAATTTTTTTAAAACAAATAGTTATTAAATGATTCTCAAGCGAAAAATATCTTCATCTTCTCCGCGTATCCTTCTCTTTTTAATTATGAAATTCAAGAAAAAAATTGAAAAACGTATATCCAAGCATTATTAATTTTATAAAGATTTATAATTTTTTGAAAACAACTATTTATTAAAAAACGATGAGATGTCATGATATTCAGTGAGAATAGAAAAAAAAATGAATGTATAATAGGATTCTATTAGATATTGCATAGAATTCCAAGAGTATTATTTTTTTTTTCGACAGAAACAAACATCTAAATGAACATCGAACAGTTTGTAATGCGGGGATTGCTCGAACCCCTGCCTCCAATGGTGCCACTCGCTGTGTTGTTGTGTTGGCGGTAGGCAGCCAGTGACAAGCCGTTCGTTCGTTACCCACATCACACAGAGGTTAAGTCTGTCTAGATCTGACGTCTATCATAAAAACTTTCCTGAGCCCTTCCACTAAACTATAAAAACAGAATAAAATAACTGTCCCTATCAGAAAGTTAAAAAATAGAAAATCCAGAATTAAAAAAAACCATTTCCCTAAAAAATGAGTTGTCGGAGGGGAAATGTGGAACGGTCTCGTTCCCAGAAATACCAGAATACACATGCGTTCAAGAACACTCTTCACGACACATCGGCCAAAACGAAGAAAATAAATACCATACAAGTCGTGAATGTCTGTGAAAAGTGCAAGAACATTATTGAATGGAAGATAAAATATAAGAAGTATAAACCACTGAAGGCAGCTAGCACATGCACCAAGTGTCAACAAAAATGTGTTAAACATGCTTATCACATCATGTGTGGACCATGTGCTCTCAAGCACGAGGTTTGCGCAAAGTGTAATGAGAAGAGAGAAATTATCAAAGAAGTTACTCCAGGGGAAACCGTCAAGCTGGACAGAGAGCTCAGGCTTCTTTTGAAAACTCTATCCGAAAGGAAGAGAAGAACTTTTCTTCGGTACATGAATAGAAGAGGTTTGTACGCACGAATTTACGAGAAAAATTGATTTTTCATTGGGTTAATTATTTTACAGGTGAGAAGAAGAGTCGTGATAAAGAGGTTGAGACACCTGAGGGGACCACGAACGATGGAGATGATGGTACTGATCATCCTGGAGGTGCTGACGAGCCTCCACCGTCTCGAGATGATTTGCTAGAGAAACTAAAATCTTTGATGGTGTCCAAAGATGATGATGATGATGATGAGAGATTTGATGATTCTGATAATTCCGCTGGTGAAGACTCTGACGAGAGTTCTATCAATTAATCTAGACAGTTTCAATTTTTTTTATTTTCTGAAATGTACATATTGGAAATTGAGATAAAGAATACTTCAGGCAGATGATCCCTTGTGTTTTTGTTCTCTTTTCCCTCCACCCCATAGACAGAAAATTTAGAGAACACTTCGGACAGACACTTTAGGTTTTGTCTTCTTCATTCACTCCACAGACAGAGAATTTATTTGAAAAATTAGGGGGTTTACATGAAAAATGGACGAGGCGTTTTCTTCGTGCAGAAAACAGTTGGTGAAACTGAGCCTAATCGTTTCATTTTTTCATTTGTTCATTTTATTCATTAAGTTCAATGAATTATTTTCATAAATACAATGAGCAATTAATAAATATTGATTTTTTTATTACGGAAAATTAGTTTGTCCTGCGGAATCTGCGGAATAAGGAGTTTTCGTAAGTAAATATCCCTGCGCCTGTTTTTGTATACAATTTTCTGTTTATCCCACTGTTAAGGTCATTAAACATTAATTTTTTGTGGAATTCTCTTCGCCTGCTCCTAGTTTTCTTGAATACAAAAGAATAGCTTTCCAAATTCGAAGTCAACTTCACTCACAATAGATTTGACACGAACAAAATTCAATATTATCTTTTTCAACCTCCAAACCTTGTAATTTTTTTGGATAAAAATTCCTAGTTGAAAACCGATATGTCGCAAAGGAGTCAAACTAAAGCCTCCAAAAAGAGAAACAAAGCAAACCCGGAAGAATCAAACACTGCGAAAAAATCCGGAGCGATTTGCTCATTCCAAGGTGAATTACTGTTTTCCGATGAAAAATAGAACATGTCCTGACTAAAACCCTTACACAGGTCCTGGCCCGAGGTACAAACTGAAACCGCTCGTCGGGTATGATGACCATTGTTTCTCAAAATACCGTAATCCAGCTTTTTCGATTCTTGGGAAGAGTTTGAAAGGATATATCGCGGCTGATGGACCCGGTCCGAAATATCGACCAGAGTTTCCACCAGCACAAGGGTTTTCCCTCGGAATGCTACTCAAAGGAAAAAGTTGTTAATTCAGTTTTAACCGATAATTGAGACTTTGCACGAAATTTCTCAGCACAAAAATTTCCAAGTTTTATTATCTTTCTTGATGAAAAGAAAAGAAAAATAGAATGAAAAAACCCTTGAAAATTTGAGTCAAGGAAATTCTATAGAAATCTCAATAGAATGAGTTGTACAGAAAAATCGAATTCTATTGACTTTTTCTACAGAATATATTCTATCGAATATTTCAATAAAAATTTCAATAGAAATCCAATAGAATTGCCCAGCGAATTCGCCAAGTTTCCCTATTATAAATTTTTTTCGTGGGTGAAGATCACTCATTTCCACGAAAATAGAGTACACAGAGAGAAATTTCTGAAAAACTAATTTTAGTTGACTTTATTTTCGAACGTAACATCGATTCTCTTCTCTTCAAGAATACGAGTGCACTCCTGGTCCTTATAATATACCTCCGTACACTCCGACACCGGCGTTTTCAATAAAATGGCGAACGAAAGCTCGAGGGGGATTAGTCTCGGCTGGACCGTACTACATTCCGAGAGACCTCAACGGCCCTGCTTTCACCATGTACGACGTATTTTTATCTTTACCGATAATTTCTTTTATTCATCTTCATCCCGCTCAGATATTCCCCATTTTTCGATTTTTCCCTTTTCATTTGAGCCTATAACTGCCCTAGGCTACTGGGACTATAAAAAATAAATAATAAATATCAGCGCAGAGAAAAAAAGTTTTGATTTTCAAAAATTTATACCTAAACATTACGAATTCACGATTATGAAACTCAGTGAGTGCAAAATTCTGGGATTCAGTGATTTTATCATTAATTTTCAGAGACAAAAATAACTGATGATCAGGGTTACTCTAGTCAACGCCTGTGATAGATTATTACCCAGCTCACAATTTACCGCACTGAGAAAGAAAAATTCTAATATCTGAAACATATTTTCTTGAGACAAGTATTATAATTTTTCTTCAATTGTTTAATTCTCCCTGACATCTCAACTCACGTGGCCCGAGATAGGTCTCGCTTTAAAATATTCTTGTACTCAAGTATAATTTTGTCGCAAATGAACTCACTCAAATCGCACAGAAGAATCGGCAATCTACAATCTACAATTTATTGTTTTCATGATTTTTTTGTTACGCAGTTCCAATATTTCGATATGGAATATATTCATGGTATAATGAGCAACGATACACGGAGAGAAATATTCAATAAAAATTACGTATCTATTGCGTAATTCCGGAGCGAAATGTGGTTGTAGGAAATTTTACGGAACTGTCACGGAATTTTTCCGGAGCGTTCCATAATTTTTATCCGAATCTCTTGTGAAAAATTACGAGACCGTCACTTAAATTTTCTGAGTCGATTCCGTAATCGGTGAGTGAATTGTGAGTTCCGTAATTTTTACTGAACATTTCTCTCCGGGTAGTGATAAATGAGAATTCCTTCGAGTTCCGTGGACTGTAAACATTCTCAGAATTTAAACCGTTGAAAATAATTTACTTCTCTCAAGTGAATATGGTCTAGGTATTAGAAATTTTTTCTCAGTGCGGTAACTTTCCGGATATTTCGCGGTCTTACTGGGGACTTTTAGATGGCATCCGTAAAAATTGTTCCCTGGGTAGTGATAGACTGATGAAAATCAGTGACATGATCGTGAAAATCAAAATTAATTTTCCTCTGAATCACCAACAATGTGCACGCCTTAATAGTGATAGACTTATGAAAACCAGTGACATGTTCGTGAAAATCAAAATTAATTTTCCTCTGAATCACCAACAATGTGCAGGGGTGCACGCCTTCCCTCTGGCCGAAACGACTGCGGCCCGGGACCAGGACTGATTAAGGTGGACATGGTGAAGCCGCGTGCTCCAGCCTTCAGCCTACGCGCCCGGCCTGCTGATAGAATCAAATGCGCCAGTCCTGGACCCTACGATCCCGTCAACTTAGACAAAGCGCCTGCATTCTCATTTGGAGTTAAACATAGTCCTTGTGCACCACCTCTAATAACCAAATGCGATCAAGTTTGCTAACACAAGATGTTTCTATGGGAAATGATATGAATGCTTTTCTCAGGTTTGGTGACAGAATTATTGACAGAAGTATCTCAGTAAAAAATCACCCATTTCCGGATTATTTATTATTATTTATTGAGCGCATTCAGTGTATAACGGTGATGTACATATTCTCAATGTTACCGAATTCCGTATCATAAAACCTTTAGGGGACGATGGGGTAAAATGGACACTTTTGACTTTTTTTAAAATGTTAATAAGGGGTTGAATAAAATGTTGATAAAATTTAATAATTTTTTTTTCAATACAAAAAACAATTCTTTCCCTTTGTGACGAGCCTAAAGTGAGCTCAATTGATCAATTTGTTTCTGAGTCATGAATAATTTTAAAAAAGTCTAAAGTGTCCGTTTTACCCCATCCTCCCCTATACTTCAGGCGGAGTTGATTCGGCTGGTACATCGATACAGATAACACAGATATACATCTCCGAGAATCTCTATTATATCTGCGTCAGGCACTCTCCCGATTGAATTTTATGTTACTTGTTGGTGCAATATTCCTAATTATTCCTGGCATCCTCCGGATGTCTGAATTTTTAACCGCTGCAACAGTTCCTTTACCTGAAACAAAATATTGATAAAAGAATATTGCACGGAGAAAAAAGTTGGAGAAAAATTACGAAACAAGTCGAGTTTCGTGCAGCGATGTCGAAAGAAAAAAATTCGAGACAAATAGTGAATTTGTCTCGCTGGCTCCGGAAAATTTCCTGACGAGTGTAATTTGTCCTGAAACTGTAAAATTTACCCGGAATATTAACAGTTGACAAATGGCATTAATAGCTAAGAAGCCTCGTAACAGCAATCTGTTCATCTTTTCTATGAGTGTAATTTTTGCATCCTCATATATGATTTTTTTACCGAACGAATCGTAAAATATCCTCCACAGGGCGAGTGTCATGGTTTTTTTTAATCGCATGGTTGGCCAGTCCTCGCCTTCGGCTCGGACGCCAACTCTACGCGAGTAAAGAACCCCATGGCACTAGTCGTGAACTATATTTTTCCGTAGTGATTTTCACTTTTACGAGTTTGGGGAAGGGCCAATACCAATCCCCGGACGAGGAAAACTGAAGGTCAGTACGGAAAAAGTTTTTGTTTTCATTGAATTACATTTCGCTTCGCGATTACCTTTCGCATAGAAAAATTTACCGAGATTTTCTAGATAATTTTTCTCCAACTTTTCTCTTCGTGCACATGACGCTGAGACTATAGTGGAAGAATTATTCAGTTTACACGAATATCTGCTAGTGTTAGAATATTTGTAAGACATGAACAAACTAGTTCACAGTTGATAGACATGAAAATGACTTGAAAATGGCCTAAATTGACATCGCAGCTTGAAGATATTCTTAACATTCCATTAAAATAATTCACTAATTCTCAATAAAACCGCAAAACCTCATGAGTACATGAACTCTGAACTCAAAATAATTCACCAATTGGATTTCAGCAGGTGATTGCATTATCATACGCTCGCTTCGTCGAATGCATTCAAATATTCACGAGGCCATGCCTGCATGTCACAATCTCATATCTCCCTAGAAGGAACCTGAATCCTTAATGCAATCCTTCGTTTATTATGCCTCGGTTGACTTGATCCTTCCAATTTTCATTTCTCGGACATTCATTGCAATATTTTGACAAGGGACACAAAAACATATCTATCATGTGAATAGGATTCACAGTAGTCAATGAACAAATTTGAATGACAGCCCTTGCGCTTTTTATTCGAATTTCATTGAAAATATTAATCTTTTGCGCTGATTTTGATTTTTCCATATGATAAATTTTTCTCTCAAGATTTTTCCTGTAAAAATTCTTAGGCATAAAATTTTCATCTTTATGCCATTGTACTTCACGAACGAAAAAATTTAATAGAAAAACCTATAGAATTCGTCGGAAAATTCTATTGAATTTCTATTGAATTGTTCTATTAGTTTTTGGCCAATTCTATTGAAATGTTCAATAGAAAATATTCAGTAGAAAGAGCCAATAGAATTCAATTTTTCTATATAACTTATTCTATTGAGATATTATCTATAGAATTCCCTCGGCTCAAATTTTCTAAGTTTTTTGGTTTGATTTTCTTGATGAGAAAAAAGAAAAATGGAATGAAAAAAACGTAGAAAATTCGAGTCGAGCAAATTCTATAGTAAATATATGAAAAGAATCAGTTATATAGAAAAATCGAATTGTGTTGACTTTTTCTATTGAACATCTCAATAGAATCAGCCAAAAACTAATAGAAAGTTTAATAGAAATTCAATAGAATTTTCTAACGAATTCGATAGGTTTTTCTATAAAATTTTTTCGTGCGTGTTTTATTTTATTTTGAAATTCAAACAAAAACATAAGGAAAATTTCAACAGAATGAATTAAACAAAAAATCAAGATCTATTGACTTTTTGGAACTAGATAACTTTTGAAAAACTCAACTCAAAGTTGTAAAATTTTCAATAGCAACTGCTCAAAAGAGGATTTTAGCAGACTTCCTATAGAGTTCTAAATGAATTCTAACAGAATTGTCTTTGAATATCGAATTTTCCACGCGCATTTCACTCCACGATAAAATTATCCACTGATTTAATATCCCTCTGAATATTTCCAATTATTCATATTTTAATACAAACGCGAAGATTGGAAACATTAAGGCTGAGCCGGCAAAAATAGAAACGACCGCATTGATCCATGAGTGAAACCATGGTAACGGACGAATACTCCATATTGAAACAAACTGAGTTCAGTCTCGCGATTAGCAGTCACTCAATACGATACCGACTCCATCGAGTTCATTACCCAAAAATCAAGTAATCAATTAGTAACAGATTCCCCCGGATCGCGGGAAATGCCGCGAGTTATATTTTAATCTAGAACCGTCAGAAATTATGGACATTGACGAGAGAAGCAGCGGAGAAGAGGATACACCACCGCCGATAAGTGCATTCTCTAAATTCGACGAGAGCATTATTGTTAGAAACGCCGAAGAGATTAAGAGCCCAGTGAGCCGCCGAGGGTCTGCAATGAAGACTTCAAAAAATGCGGCGAGTGATATCAGTGACGATCTGGAAATGAATTCGCCGGAAAGACCGGCTTTTCGAATGTGAGTGGATCCGAGGGGTGGCGGGAGCATAATTGACACTTTAGACTTTTCTTCAATTGTTAAAAGCTCATTCAATTGTTGATGAAATGAAATAATTTTTAAAATTATAAAATTTTTAAGAGATTTGAATAATTGAAAAAAATGTTTTATGTCGCGCCGTGCAATAAGTCGAGTTTATCGCACGCTGCGCTTCGCGTGCTCAAAACTCGACTTCTGCACGACTTGACATAAAATATTATAGAGCACTCGGTAATAAATTTCGTTTTCAACGAATGTGTGTACAGACCTCGCCTTCGGCTCAGCCTGTAAACTACACATTCGTTAAAAACGAAATTTGTGCCCTTGTACTCTAATGTACTATAATTTAACCCTAGTTGGTCACCAGAGGAGGAAAACGCCGCAGAAGGTAGATTTTTTTTTCTTACCATTGACTGGCTGAGCGGAAAAATCCTAAAAAATTGGAATGCGTCAATTCAAGTGTCTAGAAAATTATAATATTTTTTAAAATTATTTATATCCACAATTCCTGAAGAAAAAAAATTATTTCTAACAGACGGGCAATTTTTTCCCATGTTAAATGAAATTGCCCGTTGTGCGACGTTGCCGAAGTCTCGCTAAACGCGCCCGGGCAGTATAGAGTGAATTCGGCAACGCTCGGGCCGAAATAACACGGTGGCGATTCCCTGCGGAGGTGACCAAAGTCGCAAGTTCTCATATGATGACCAATTAGGGTTAAAAAATAATTGTCTCTAGGATTTCGCCACCTGGAAATTCATTTCAACAGGCGGTCGGCGTCGGTAGTGACCCATCGGACAGTGAGGAGAGCGATGATGACGATATACAAGGGACGAATGTCAAGAAACCTATTGAATTATACAATGCTAAGGAATTCGAGGACCTCGATGTATCCGCAGAAGTCAGAGAATTGTTTCAGAATATTACGAGGTGTGGATATTGCATCGTTATTCCCGCACACAAAAATATGAGGAAGAATGAAATCTTACTTGTATGTGAAAATGTTTGGGGATTCTATTGATATTCAACTGGAATTCTGATTACGTCGACTAGACTTCACTAATTCATTAATTCACTAATTAGACAGATTAATTACTGAATAGAATTCGACTATAATTCTACTCAAAAGTATACAATTTTTCAGTGTGATGTTACAATAGATATTTGATAGAAAGAATTTAATATCTGTTGATTTCTCTATGAAATTTATGCGGTTGCAACGATACAGAAATTTTTGGTAATGAGAAACAAAATACAGATAAAAAAAATTCACAGCCAAGAATTTTTATATTCAAAAAACCTCAAGGAAATGATTAATAAATCACACAGAAAGGGGAAAATCTACTGACTTTGTTATCAGAAATTGTAAAAAATGGGAACAGAATTTTCCGAAGAATTTGAATAGACCTCCAGAGAGTTCTAGAGTTCGAAGAAAAAACGTAAAATATCTCTTTTGCGGGTAATTCACACTAACGAAATGTCAAATCACCCATGCATTCCCATTCCTTTACCCATCGCAATGAATTCCTGGCTTTATCCATTCCTTTTCTTTTATTTTATAGATGAAAACGTCTAAAATTTCCTCGAGAAACCGTAAAATCCCCTAATCAGAGTTTAATTTATCTCAATTTTTGTGTGTGATCCTCCAAAATCGCACTAAAACGTTGAGCATAAATAAACTTTACCCAAATTATTTCAGATACACCCCCCAGAAGATAGAGCTCAGTTACAAACTCGCGCCATACATATCAGATTTCATACCAGCAGTCGGGGATATCGACGCCTTCATAAAGGTCTCCCGCCCCGATGGAGTTGATAACAAAGTCGGATTGATCGTACTGGACGAGCCGTGCGCAAACCAGTCAGAGCCCGCGGTTTTGCACTTGCAACTGCGGAGTCAGAGTAAAAGTGCAGATCCCCGCCAACAGGTGGTAATAAAGCGAATAGAGGAGGCAGAGAAGAACCCGAAATCCATCGAGAAGTGGATCGACGATTTGAGTATGCTGCACCGAAGCAAGCACCCTCCGGCCGTGAGGCTGAGCGATCCCATGCCCGACATTGACAGTCTCATGCAGCAGTGGCCGCCTGAAGTCGAGAATAAACTCAACGACGCTCAGTTGGACTTGACGAAATTTGATTGCGATCTTCCACATCTTGTTGATATTGTTTGTAGTCTCATGGACATTCCTGTCAAGCCGGAAACTCGTCTCGAGTCGCTCTACACACTTTTCAGTTTGTTTCTGGAAGTTCGGGATATCAAGGATTCGTCGAGCTTTTGAGAACAATTAGAGATGCAAATGCGCCACTTGACATGTCGTATGACGAGTTGTTTATAACGTCACTATTCCCCTTTCCCCCCTCTATGATTGCCACGATTTTCTGAGAAAAAATGACAGTTATTTGTCATCTCTTATAGCCCAGGGAACAATTCAGTAGCGAAGTGGTAAAATGGTATAAGTCAATTTTGAGTATTGACCAGTTTTCAATGAATATCTCGGAATCTAGGGGAGATGACAAAATTTTTATTATGACCTTTTTTGTAGAGCCGATCAAAAGCTACAACAAGTGTAATTCCGAAAATTTCGCCATCTCCCTTAGATTCGGAAATATTCCTCAAAAACTCAACTGGGAGATAAGTCGACTTGAACCGTTTTACCACTTCGCTAATGAATTTTTACTGATGTCATCTAAAAGTCCCCAGTAAGACCGGTAAATTGTTAACTGGGAGGGGCCCGCACGGAAAATTATATATGTAGAACATATAAATAAATCTATGATGTATATATGACATATATTCAACATATAGATGCGTATATGCAGCATATATTGTACATATAAGTGCTATACAGCATTTTTGGTCGACTTCTATCCATAACAAATATATGTATTATGTATATTTCTGTTCATTCTTTCCCTACAAATTATTCTCTCTAATTTATGACGCTCCAGCATAAGTTTTGCGCTGTTTTATCTCAAAATGGATGAAAAAAACTTTAAAAAATTGAATTGCCCGTGTCTCTCAAAAAATCAGAACGAAATAATTTTTATAAAAAAATCAACATCTAGGGGAGGTTGGGGTAAAATGGACACTTTTGACTTTTTTTCAAATGTTAATAACAGCTTGAAATGTTGATGAAATTCGATAGTTTTTTTTCAATGCAAAGGACATTTCTTTCCCTTTGTAATGCGCCTAAACCGAGCTCAGTTGATGAATTTGTTTCTGAGTTATGAGTAATTTAAAAAAAGTCCAAAGTGTCCATTTTCCCCCATCCTCCCCTATCTGTCTTTGAATCTCACATCGACTTAAAAAAATAGATGCGATAAGATTGCAGAATGTTCAACAGAAATTGATAAGAAAAAAATTCAATGTCAATATTCTAGCGGAACTCCTGCCGAATATTATCGCGAATGCGTCATCGTCATGTTTTCTATTTAATGTTTTTCATACTAATCGTCCTAATATCTAATTATTTATGATGTGCCACAGCCGTCCAGACTTATTCCAGATATAAAAAAAAATGGTTCAACGGCTTAATACGTGGAATGGGTTTTTTGTCTGTTCGAAATCACGAATTGAATCAGCGGAACTATGTATCCCTCTGAAATCCGTTGCGTTGTTCCACGAATGCAATTTTACATAAAGTCGATAGTTGTTAATTAATTTGAATACCTGCCGGTTGAAACAATGTTTAAACATTTTGATATGTTGTTCAGGGCATTTTTACGGATCGATTGGTATTTTTTCATTGCCAGCTGTTGTTAGTAAGGGTCAACATCCGAATTGACTGGACTATTTCCTACGAATACGTTGGAGCGCACAATATATTTATGTGTACTACACTATCCAGAGGCAAACTCGCCCGCCAGTACAATGCCATTCACAGGAGATAGAGAATGTGTGCGTCACAGTCAGTGTGACTCACGTTTTACAGTATATAACAAGTGGCATTATAATACCAACAAATGCGACTCATCGAGTGGCTCTTGAATAATATGACAATAACCTTAACAACCCTTAAGTGAATTCGTAGTTTCTTCTTTAGATAGCGAATGCATGATTTAATTCGTTGTAATATTCCAAAATATAATGGAATCTGAAGGACTGATAACCTCGGAAGAGACTGAAGTGGATGGAGCGCTTCAGGGGCGTGAGTCGAGTACTGAAGAGGAGAGACTTTACAAATCTCAACGCAGAAATAATTTTCCATCGTACTCCAATGACGATGTCAACGTGCGATTCAGGGTAAATGTTTCATTCATGCACTTTGGATTGTATCTGAAGGGAAAAACATGGGCAACTTCTTTCGTGTTTTGCTAGTAAAATCAAAACAGAGGACCATAACCTCCAATGTAGCTGTCAAAACTCAGACACGTGCAATCTTAATTTTTTTCCCAGAGCACGAGCTACGATGGGAACAATACGTTTGACAGCCTCATCGAAAGTGTCTCATATCGGCAGTCGCACAGAGTGAATAACAATGAATTTCAACCCGGTGCTACAAATTTCATATCTTCTAATTATGAGGTAATTTTTTTTGGATTCGCGTCATCTTCTTGGTGATAACGACCCCTAATTAACAATCGAAAACAATGTTTGTTTTCATAATTTTTGAGAATAGGCGACAATGGGAAAACCGGACACTTTTTACTTTTTTTCAAATGCTAATGACTTATTGAATTGTTAATGAAATTGCATCATTTTTTTTTCAATAAAAAGGGCAATTCTTCCCCCTCGTGATGAGCCTAGACTGAGCTCAATTGATAAATTTGTTTCTTTGTTATGAATAATTTTAAAAAAGTCTAAAGTGTCCATTTTACCCCACCCTACCCTAATTAGGAAAATTTCGCATTTCTCTTAGAGCCCGAAATATTCCTCGAAATTGCAAGAGGCTGTACCGTCGATACAACTGTAGGGGAGGTTGGGGTAAAACGGACACTTTTGACTTTTTTTTTAAATGATAATGACGGGATGAAATGTTGATAAAATTTAATTTTTTTTTTTTCATTACGAAGAACAACCTTTCCCTTTGTGATGAGCCTAAACTGAGCTCAATTGATAAATTTGTTTCTGAGTTATGAGTAATTAAAACAAAAGGCAGGTGGGGTAAAGTGTCCATTTTACCCCACTCTCCCCTAATTGTACGTGGATACGTCCATGGTTTCTCCTTCTTTCTCGAATTTCCTAGAAATCCTTGCATTCCCTCGAATTTTCTGGAAACTCCCTGAATTCCCTCGAAATTTCTAGAAACTCCTTCATTCTTTTCGAAATTTCACGAAATTTCTCGAACTACCTCGAAATGTCTAGAATTTTCTAGAATTCCGATAGATATGGTGCTACACATAAGGACCGTTTCCAAAAACGACCCCCCAGATTGAAACTATAGACGTATAGTCAAAAACTATAGACGTATCCACGTCAAAAACTCAACTGGGAGACGAGTCGACTTGCGCCGTTTCACCACTTCGCTACTGCAATAATAAAAAATTTCAGAGTCTGGATTACGATCTGTGCGAAAACCACTTGCTTCAAGATGAAGAGCGAAAGAAAGGCTACAAATACGTAGTGAGAAAAAACTTCGCAAGATGGTTTATTTTCTTGTTGATCGGTATATTAACCGCTCTAATAGCATGTTTCGTCGATATATCGATTGAAGAGCTGTCCGCCGTCAAGTATGGGGCCTTGAAGTCATGTATCCTTTTGAAGAACGAATAAAACGAGAATTAATCGAAATGCGTCAGTCAACGAGATTGATCCTTAGCTTGCAGTGACTTGAACAGATGTTGACAATTGCGTGAAGGACCGTTGCCTGTGGCTTCCCTACTGCATGTGGGTGGTATTGAACATAGTCCCATGCCTAATCGGTGCAATACTTGTAACATACGTTGAACCTGTCGCCGCTGGGAGTGGGATTCCCCAAGTGAAATCCTATCTCAATGGTATCAAAGTTCCGCGGGTTGTGAGAATAAAAACTCTGACAGTGAAAATACTCGGTGTCATATCGACCGTGGTTGGAGGACTCGCTGGGGGAAAGGAGGGCCCCATGATTCATGCTGGAGCAGTCGTTGCGGCCGGCATATCTCAAGGGAAGAGCACGACTTTCAAGAAAGATTTAAAGATTTTTCAATACTTCAGAGAAGATCATGAAAAGAGAGACTTTGTTTCTGGAGGCGCAGCCGCTGGAGTGTCGGCAGCTTTCGGGGCTCCAATTGGTAAGTTTTGGGGATTGAGCGCAAAGAATGGAACACGTAAACCTAGGGCTGGGATTTTTATTAGAATTATATAAGAATTTTCTTTGTTTTTGACGATTTCTAACTGAAATTTCACCTCTTTCATGGCAGAAATTTTGATTTTAAAAAAGTGGATAGATGTTTTTTATGATTCATTCCTTCGGAATTTTTTTCGTCGATAGTCTTGCTCATAAATTATTTAAGTATTTTCTACTGTTTTTTTTGTCGTTTTTCATTCCAAAATCGACGAAACAGAACTCTAAAAATTATTGCGCGAGGATTTCTGTGGAAAAATTTGCAAAGTAAGAAAAATTAACATTTAGTAACTCTTTTCTATAAAATATTCTATCCTAAAATTTTCCATTAAAAATGCATTATTTTCAACAGAAATCGAAAAAAAGATAAAAATTTATAATGAACTAGCAGTGGAATTAAAATCCGAAGGAATTACATTTTCTCAAATGTACATTGTAACACATGATAAAAACGACTGAAATTCTACAGGCGGAGTATTATTCAGTACCGAAGAAGGAGCCAGTTTTTTCAATCAAAGCCTCACGTGGCGAACATTTTTCGCCAGCATGATATCCACCTTCACATTAAACGTTGTGCTGAGTGCATACTACGGCCACCCAGGAGAGCTTTCATACCCTGGTCTTTTGAACCTAGGAAAATTCGAAACTCTACCTTACGAAATCTACGAAATCCCCCTGTTTATGATGGTGGGTACTGTTGGCGGACTCTTGGGGGCCCTGTGGAACCACATAAACTACAAAATTACCTGCATCAGATTGAGATATATCAGCGCAAAGAAGTGGAAAATTGTTGAGGTTGTTTTCGTCGCTGTGATGTCAGCGACAATCGGTTTCCTCATGATTTATTTTGTCAACGACTGCAAGCCTTTGGGCCCGGATCGTAGGAAATACGCTGTTCAGATGTTTTGTAAGGAGGGGGAGTACAGCGCTGTGGCAGCACTTTGGTTTCAAACACCTGAAAGCACTGTCAGGTCACTTTTTCATGATTCGAAAGGTGAGAATCAATATTTATCAAAGTAAATTTGAGATGAGGAATAATAGGAATTCAAGTAAATTAAACTAAATAAATTTAAATGAATAATATATTGAAATTCTTGGCAATGTGAATATTCCAAGTGCGGCCTACTGGATTTTTTCATCATCTTTGTTTTCAAAATGAAAAAAAAAAATAGGAAATTCACGTCAAAAAATTATTCAATAGAATAAATTTTCAAGCAACAGAATAAATTGCATAAAAACGAATCTTTATCGACTTTTCTATTGAATATCTGTCGAAGAATCCCACAACACAGTCATGTAATTTCAAATAGTTAATGACACCGAAAACAAATAATTCTTTTGAGTGCAGAAGAATTCTAAAACAATTTCCATGGAATTCTCAATCGAATGCAGGTTTATTGAATATATTCAAACGTATTTTATTCACAGGTTCACATAATGACGCAACCCTAGCTATTTTCGTGTTGCTGTACTTCTTCCTGGCTGTTTTCACATTTGGTCTGTCAATGTCAAGTGGCCTCTTCATCCCAACTCTTCTCATTGGTTCGGCCTGGGGTAGACTCTTGGGATCTGGACTAGCCAAAGCTGTTCCTTCATGTGTAAGAAGAGAGTTGGACATGAAAATCCACACGAATTAACTAAATGTCTTTCAGGTTTTCTTCGAGCCAAAGAAATACGCTCTGCTCGGTGCAGCTGCGCAACTGGGTGGTGTCGTGAGAATGACAATAAGTCTAACAGCAATTCTGATTGAAGCAACGCAGGGCATCTCCTTCGGCCTCCCAGTGATAATCGTCCTCATAATGGCCAAGTGGGTCGGCGATTTCTTCAACGAAGTACGACATAGACTTGCGAATTAATCCAAAATCTCATTGTTTTGAAATTATTGCGTATTTTTCTTGAGCCAGGGTATCTATGACATACACATCCAAATGGCCGGCATTCCACTGCTGCCATGGGAAGCACCTCCGCTGTCAAATAACATTTACGTCAGTGAAATTATGAGCCATCCTGTGGTAACGCTCAAAACCACCGAAAATGTCGGTCACATTGTCGAACTTCTTAAGTGCGTCAAATTTAATGGATTTCCTGTAGTTGATCCACCGAGTACGGATCAGGTATGATATCTATTTCCTCTATTGGAGTAAGATTAACGTAACGGATTAACTGGGGAATTTTATTGGCATTCTATTGATTTTTTGCTGATTTTATTCGAAAATTCTGCATCTTATGACTTTGTTTAAATATATTAGTTGAATAGAAAATATTTTATAGTCAAAAATCGAAAGAATATAATAAAATTTGTATTTATAAAAGACCGGAAAAACAGCGATATTTTTCAAAAAAATTCTATTCAGTACCGAAGTGGTTTAAGTCGATTTTGACAATTGGCCAGTTTTTAGTGAATATCTCGGAATCTAAGGGAGATAGCTAAATTTTTGTCTAAACCTTTCTTGTAGCACTTAATTTGCTCTAGAAAAAAGGTTATTACGAAAATTTCATTATCTCCTCTAGATTCGGAGATATTCTTGAAAAACTCAACTAAGAGATAAGTCGACTTAAACCGTTTTACCACTTCGCTAAAGTATTGGTTTTTGCTGATTTTATTTCAAAATTCTGCAACTTATGAGTTTTTTTAAATAGAAAAGTCCAATAAAAAATATTTTATGATAAAAAATCAATAGAATATAGTGACAAAGCGTGGAAAAACAGGATTTTTTAGATTAGAATAGAAACCTAACACTCTTATAACATTTCAAACTCGTAGGATGAGGTCCATTGCTATGGACGCTTCCGAGGCTTGATCTTGCGATCGCAACTCATCGTTCTCCTGAAGAATAAAGTGTTCAATGAATGTGACTACTGGGAGAGCAACCTGACTCTCAAAATGTTTCGCAATGAGTACCCCAGGTATCCTGAAATCGACCAGATCGTGGTTACAGAGCAGGAAAAAACGTATTTCATTGACTTGAGGCCTTTCATGAATCCCTCGCCTTATACTCTGCAACATGTGAGTACTCGTTCGAGCTGTAGTATTTAAATCCTCGAATTTATTATTCAGAATTATCTCTACGAACTGATAAATCGTCATTGTCCTGTCCGCAGTCTACAACACTACCGAGAGCATTCAGACTGTTTAGAGGCCTGGGACTTCGTCATCTACCAGTGGTCAATGACACACATGAGGTATTTAAAACTTTCACTCTGATGATAGCTCTCCCGGAAATAATAATGCAATTGAATTTTCGATTCAGGTCATTGGAATGATCACGAGAAAAGATGTGGCAAGATACAGAATATGGAAACACCGAGGGAAAATGGGACTGGATGAGCTTTTAATAACAGACAAAATATAACAATAAACATAATTTATATCTTTGATTTTTTATAATCGTTTCGACGTAGAACGAATTTCAAGTCAATATAAAATTTAATTTTTAAGATTAAGGAAAAAGTTGTTTATACACTTTGGCAGGAGAAACGCACAATGATTTATTTTAATATATATGTATGGAATTTACAAATGATGGAAGAACATTGTAAATATTACAACTGCTGTTTTTATACGTGAAATTTAATTATTGACGAATAATTCCCAGCCGAGCCAAGACCACAGTCTGAAGAAGAGACAGACTGGCACTATAACCAGTGATAGGAGGAAATAGTACTCATAATTAGAAAGATACATTTTCTCGTCAATATTTTTCATTCCAGGAATCTGAAATAATCGAGAAATGAAAAAAATTACACGTATGAACGGTGCAGATGGCATTCGCTGCGGAATTCTATTGGAAATTCCATGCTTTTTTAGATTTCTATTAAAAATTTCGCAGTCTCCACACGTGATTCTAATTTCATTTTTCATTTTTCATGTCATTTTTATAAATTACTTATTCTCTTAAAATTCTTGGGCATGAATTTTCTCCGCTTTTTCCACTACAATTTTTTCTCGTCAATTCAATTCATTTCATTTTTATAAATGCCTCATTCTCCTCAAATTTTATTTATAAAAATTCTCGGGCATAATTTTATTGCGCTGCATTTTTTTTTGTTCATGAAAAAATCAAAGCTTAAAAACGTGGAAAATTCATCCCTGAGAATTCTCATAGAAAGAATCGAAATAGAATAAATTCCTCATGAAAATAAGAATCTAACGACTTTTTTCAATCAAATAAGAGGGTAAAGTGAACACTTTCGACTTTTTAAAAATTATTCATAACTTATAAACAAATGAATCAATATTGCTCAGTTTAGGCTCATCACAAAGGGAAAGAATTATTCTTTGTATTAAAAACAAAAGATTGAATTTCATGGACATTTCAACCCGTCACTAATATTTTTAAAAAAGTCAAAAGTGTCCATTTTACCCCAACCTCCCCTACCCCCCCGCCCCTAACAGTGTTTAATTTCCTTCATTAAAGAAGAGAATTTATATAGCGTTCCACATCTTTGTGACGTCATAGAAAATTAGTTGAATAGGATTTGAATGAGGTAGGAGGGGATCCGGGATTATTCTCAATACGAATTAACAAGAAAAATTTACTGAAAAAACTGGAAATATCCATTGAAAAATCGATCACCAAAATTTCCCAATTTCCCATGATCCCAAAGAACGCTAATAAAATTCCCCTGGAAATTCAATCGCATTTCCTCTCTACTGCGTTAAGTTTCCGCTCCCTAGGTCCCCATACACACACGAGATGCGGTTATATTCTCCAAAGAACTTCAAACTCCCAAAGATCCTCACATTTCTTCAAAATCCCCTCGCCCTCCTCCACAAATCAGTCGCCCCAATACCCCGTTATACTCCAATCAAACCCACGAAACATCGGCTGTCTCTCTCAGAACTTCAATACCCCGGGTCCTCCTCAATCTTAATACCAAAGGCGAATAAAAAGTCGTGCGATCCTTTGTAGCCCCATCCACACACATATATACACACCTGTCTGCCTTGAAGTTGCCTCCTCCAGGCGTCTCGGCCGTCTACGTCGGGGGTGGCAAAAGGAGGAAGGGGTTATGGTCAATAAACGCGACCACGTCACACGCAGCCTATCGGGCCGACCCCGCTTGGCCCCTTAAAGTGGCTCTGCCGAACGAAAATCTTACATGTCCGCCGATATCGCCTTGGTGCGTCTCTAAGGTATCCTCAATTATTTATCGTTTCACCCGCGAGGATTGTATTGTGCCAATGTGCTAGATTACTCGACGATTCATGGAGTACCTCTGTAACGAAGGACACGAGAATACTGCAGTCTTATCGGCATCATCAACGGCCAACGTAAGTTTTCAATAAATTGACCAAATCGGGTCGGCCATTGTTGCCATTGGCGAAAATTTCTCACACAGGTGTATACGTTATGTTACGCGGTGGCACACACGGAAGACGGCACTTTCTTTATGTCGAGTCACGCATGCGCTCGTATCGTGAATTATTTCTTCGTTCAAAATTTTCGAAAACACGAAGGATTCGAAGGGTTTCGTGGTCCTGAGGATATCGTTGCAGTAGAGTTATCAATGGGATCATTTCGACATTGAAGGAATGACTGTGTGTACGATGATTCTCTCTCTCTACGGTAAACATTGCGAGGAGATCGATGCCGTGCATATTCTTTCTGTTTTGTTTTGCTTTGCTTTTTCTCAACGGGAAATTTATTCTCTCCGCAGTTGGATTCAGTCTTGGAACTCAACTTCGAACGTTGTTTTTGTGTTAAATCATAGCAGAGGTATTCGGAATATAGCGTTGAAGGTCGTTCAGTGTTTATGATGTATGTTTGAAGATAAAAGATGGTTATCGATGTTGAGAAATGTTGGTAGGCCCATAAATTCCAGTGGAATTCCAGTAATAACTGCAGCTGAATTTTCTATGTTGTTTATAGAATTTTTATTCATTTCGGAAATTTAATGAAAAGAGTTTTATTTAGTTTAGTTTTTATTTAATTATCATTATTGGATGGACTGAAAATGGGAATTTTATTTAATATTCTAAACGTTAATTGATTTGTCGCTAGAAACTGACGATATGTACACTGTTGAACAATTTTTTTAATTCCTCACGAGAAATTCACAATTTAATGGAAAAATGAGTGGAAACCGTAAATTTTAGTTCAATTATTTCATAACAATTGATAAAAATCATCAGACCTCAGGTGAATATATTCTTGTATTTCCAATTAATTAAAAATTCTACGTAAATTGGTATTGAATATTCATGTTTTGAATGAAAATTCAAGTCATTTACAAAATTCTTCTCTTCCCGCCGCTCAAAAAACTGAAACTCCATCGAATTTCCAGTGAATTTTCGTAATTTTTTACCCCAAAATCCAATTCCTGTCGTTCTTTTTAAAATTACACAATTTTTTCTCTAATAACACTCGGTAATTTCATTTAAATGGGCCATTGTTTAAAATTTCAAGATTTTTTACTTGAAATTACAGTCGTAATATGTTAACAACGTATAGCGATGCAATAAATCTCACCAGATATTGTTCTTCTACATAAACATTTAATGGAAAAATGAGTGGAAACCGTAAATTTTAGTTCAATTATTTCATAACAATTGATAAAAATCATCAGAACTCAGATGAATATACTCTTGTATTTCCAATTAATTGAAAATTCTACGTAAATTGGTATTGAATATTCATGTTTTGAATGAAAATTCAAGTCATTTACAAAATTCTTCTCTTCCCACCGCTCAAGAAACTGAAACTCCATCAAATTTCCCGTGAATTTTCGTAATTTTTTACCCCAAAAGCCAATTCCATGTCGTTCTTCTTAAAATTACACAATTTTTTTCGAATAAGACTCGGCAATTTCATTTAAATGAGCCATTGTTTAAAATTTCAAGATTTTTTACTTGAAATTACAGTCGTAATATGTTAACAACGTATAGCGATGCAATAAATCTCACCATATATTGTTCTTCTACATAAACATGACCCAGAGAAATCAATTTTTCATTTTCAGTGAAGACCACAGGCTATTGGGACTCATCTTTACCATGATTGGCCACCATTCTCCCGAAAAAACGTCTCTGCACTACTGAGTACCCCTTGCACTTGCCCCGACAATGGACCGCTCCCTCCGCACCAGATGAATCCCCCGTTCAGCCGCCAAGAATGATCTAATGTCCGAGACAAGTGAAGAACGCGCAATCAGACTGTACAACACCGCTGCGGAAAGAATGAAGAATGTCCGAGCAAAGGAAACAGAGGATCAGGCGGCCCTGCGAAGAATGCAGGAGGCCCAGCGAATGGCGAGACACCGAGCAAAGAAGAAAAGATGTTTAGACGAGAACCTGGCCCGCGAGATATCGAAAATAGCTGAATTATCGAAGATGCCGGCGCCCGACGCAGCGACAATAGCCCAAATGTCCGAGATGAACATGAATAAAATTTCCGCCGAACTCAAGCAGATGATGGAGCGCGGAAAAGTGCCGGAGCACATTGTGCAAATGGCCCAACTAGCTGAATTCAGTAAAATGAGTGAATTGAACAGAATAACCCAGGACATGGCGAAGCGTTACGAGAAGGAGAAAATAGCCGAGTACGCAAAAACAACGGAATACATGAAGATGCAGGAGATGCAGATGACAGAGCTGGCCAAGATGAATGAAATGGTGAAATTCTCGGAAATTTCAAAGTACACAGACATCAACAAGATGAACGAAATAGCAAAGATGAACGAAATAATGAAAATGTCGCAGATGGCGAAGATCAATGAGGTCCAGCGTATGAATGAAATAGCGAAGCTCAATGAAATGGTGAAGATGTCAGAGTTGGCGAAGTACAACAGTGACATGACGAAATTCACTGAAATAGCACAAATCAATGAGATGGCTAAGGAAATAGCCAAACTCAACGAGAAAACTAAAATGAACGAGATGATTAAAATGGTGAATATGCAGAATGACATGTCCAAGATGAACGAGTACTCGAAGATGGGGGATATCGCCAAGTTGACGGAATTGTCGAAGCTCAATGAGATAACAATAACGAAACTTAATGATCCACCACCGCCACCACCACCACCACCACCGCCAGCCTTACAAGCAACAAAAGTTCAGGAAATTCCTAGGATTCCAGAGCCAATAATCACAGTGCCAAATCCACGGAATCTCCAGAATGTTCAGACTGTTCAGACTGCCCAGGCAAGTCCCTCGAATACTATAAACTTTCCCTCTGTTCCTGGCCAGGGAAAGTACGCTCAGTTACTTGTTATAATTGAGGAATTGGGTCGTGACATTCGTCTGTCGTATGCTGGCAGTCGCAGCGCTGCTGAGCGTCTTAAAATGGGCATTCAACATGCGAGGATTCTTGTCAGAGAGTGTCTCCTAGAGACTGAGCACAATGCACGACAATGATTCGTCGGTGTCGGCCAGCGTAGATTCGTCAGTTATAGTAAGTTATTTTTCACATTCGTCGGGAGTCAGGGGTCTCGTAGGTGCGCTTTTGGAAAGATACAAATTATTCTAGTTATTATGAAATAGTTATACATTTCATTCTTTTTGTTGTTTCGGGGTCTGGTGACCCTTGTGTGGAGGAAATTCGTCGATTAATGCCGATTATTAAGTATTGTTTCATTTTTCTCTGGCTACACTTCTTCGTGGAACGTCTGGGGGCAGTTGTCAATTGCGCTTGGACGATCTTTTTTATGTCTGTGTACAGAGAAAAATAATGCTGTCATTTCCGAACATTATGCACATGTTGTTGCCGAGTGGAGGTGAAATTGGATTAATTAACTCTTCGTTGAATAACGTTGTTGAATATATCGAGAGCTTGGGAATTTCGTTGGGCGAAAGTGAAGTATAAATGGATGAGGGTTTTCTTGGGGAGAACGAAATGTCTAAGCGAGTATTTAGATAATTTTACATTTTTCTTATGCCACACGTATGAAGAAATTCGATAGGAAAGTTAGAGGTTTCAATAACCAAATCTATGGAATTTCGGGTGGATCTCGATAAGAGTGTTGATGAAATTCTACTCTTCTTCTGTTGAGTTTTATCGAAAATTTTGAAATCCTTCCGTGAAATATTTCTATAATTTTTGAAATTTAATCTCGTGGAATTTTTTTCCCACAAACATTTCATTAATTCCTAATGGCAATTTATAATTCCTAATTTCCTGTTTTTTCCGTTGTATTTAGTTTTGTTTCTCTCAACAAAATCCCAGAAAATAAAATCCCAACATCTGTGAATTTTTTTTCTCACAAATATTTCTTTGAAAAAATCTCCAAAATTATATAATTTTGAATAGAAATCAATTTATATCAGTGAGAATCTTTGATAGAATTCTACTAGACCTGAATTAAAATTTCCACAGAATATCAATAGTGGTTCAATAAAATTCTTAAAAACCCTGCCCTGGGTTCCCTATTAAATTTCTTCATACGTGTATCACTGATGAACTACTAGTATTCTACTATCACATTTTATTCTCATCATCTTTACGATAATTACCTGTATCCTTTACCATACATCTTACTTCATTTATATACTTCGAGGTATATACCACTACTTTGTGATCTTATTTTCTCGATCGCCTACATCAACGAATCTACACGATTCATCTGCATTAATTATGTTCGTACTATGCGGGTGGTTGTACTATCCATGATTTATAATTGGTCAACTGGAATCCTAAATATAAGCCTTTCTTATAGAATAATGCTGAATAAAGTACCGATTTTTTATTTAGTGTCGATTTATTCCATTGAATTACACTACTTAGGGGCGAGTGGGGCAAAATGGACACTTGAATTTTTTGTTAAATTTTAGTAACTCACGGAATTACTAATGAAATTGGATAATTCTTTAAAAAAAAAACTCTTGAATGACAAATAATGAAATGAAATGAACAACTGTAATTTTTCTTGGATGATTTCTGATGAAATGGGATAATTTTTTTTTCCTTGAAAGGTGCAATCTTTTCCCTCTGTGACGAGCCTAGAATGAACTCAATTGCTCAATTCATCTCTGAATTATGAAAATTGAAAGAAAACTAATGTGTCGATTTTGCCCCATCCTCCCTATTTATTTAATTTAAAATATCCTCGACGTCACATGAAAACTAGCCTGAGAGAGTGTCGAACGCGCAGGTCTGCACGCACTCTTGACACAACATGATTTACATTTCAATGTGTTATATTTTGGAGCGAGTATTTACACTCGTCAGATAGATCTTTTTTTTCTCTCGTTATTTTCACCACAAACTCCATTTCCGGACTACATCAGGTAAGAATTCCCTTTATTTCCTTAACTATAATCCTCAGAAAATGAGAAAAAAAACCGGAGCACAAGTTCTGGAGGAGTTGTGGACTAGTGTAGGTTATGTCCTGAACCGTACAGATTTCAAAATACTGCGAAAATTTCTTTCATCAGGGCATTAGAGTAAAGTTAAATAAATAAAATGGACGGAGAAGGAACGAAGGCTGAGGGTGCGACGAAAATAGTGGAGCCACCAATAACAGTACCAAATCCAAGAAATATTCAGCCAACGGTTGCTCAAGTGACTGTAACTTCAGTGCCTGGACAGTCTAAATATGTGCAGCTCCTTAGTGTTATTGAAGAGCTTGGCAGAGACATACGTCCCACGTATGCAGGCAGCAGGAGTTCGGCTGAACGAATAAAGCGTGGTATCGTTCATGCGAGAATTCTAGTCAGAGAATGCCTCGTCGAGACTGAGAGAAGTGCTCGACAGTGATGTCTCAATTAATTGCGTAATGTTGTGTTTACAAACACTCAAAACACGGGTCGATTACAAGGTGCCAAAGGATTTACGTACCAAATGCCACTTCATTATTAGTATTATCATTTTCGTCTTATGTAACAATTGATTGATAGAGTTAGGTCTGAGTAGCCATCATTATAAGCACTTCAGGATGAGTCAATTTAGTATCTTGATTCGTTGAGAATCTAGCTGCTGAAGTAATATATTGAAAGAGGGATGCATTTGCTAAAAATGTGTCGATTTAATATTTTTCTATGATATTTAGCACTGGTAAATTGATAGACTTATATTACCTGATGACTTAATGTTGCAAGTGTGAAAAAAATTAATAGAAAAACCTAACGCTTTCTCTAAAAAATAGTTTTGGAGAATCCGTGGGCATTGATTTTGTGATTTTTTTTCTTGGATTTTATTATGAAAGACAGATTAAATACAGTAGAAAAAAACTTGAAAAATTTATGTCCAAAAATTGCTACAGGCCTTTTTATTTCAGAAAAATAATTTTTTTATTCGAAAGAGTAATTGAAAATTTGAGGTATAAAAATGATGAATTCTACGTGCATTGCTTGAAAGTCCCCGAAAATCTAGGGACTCTTAAATGGAAAGGGCTATAGAAAAATAAAAATTTACTGAATTTTTTTCTATAAAATATATCTTTGAGAGAATGGCACTTGTGAAGTGCCAGGTTTTACTATTAATTTTGTTCTCACACAGTCGAAGGAGACGAGGTAATATCAAATGCCTTAACTGATTTCCTCAATCCTGTGGACCCCGTTGAATATATCGAAGTACAAAGTAATATATCCTCTCATCCAAGAGTTTTTATCAACTTACAATCAATAGTGTAATTAATATTGGGACCGAAACAGGATATGTTGGATACAGACGAGTTACGTTACTTACTCCGATAATGGAGAACAATACGAGTGAAAATAGATGAATTGTAAGCAGGGGTGAGCGTTGCTCCCGATGTTCTTAAATGTTTTACTACCATGCTCAGGATTAATCAAGCCTATAGCAGTATTTGAGTGATATTTTAAAGTAACTCCTTCTAAGATGATATTTTTTAACTATGTCCTATGAAATGTACAGAATTTCTACCGCAAAAACCAAAATAGATAATAAATCAATGATGATTTTTCTTTTATTACCGAATTGTTGACTTTTTCATCAATGCCAATTAATCATTGTAATACTGAGACAAGTGAAGAAGAGAAATTTCAACGAGTGGAAATTGTTTCAATCAACGAAATGCTCCATTTGGACTTGGAAAATTCCCAAACATTAATAAAATAATTCACTTAATTGTGAGGCTATGCGCAGAGACAAAAAAAAGTTGGAATTTCCAAGGAACTATTTCTGATTTTCAAGGACTCTTGATTCTAACTCAGGCTGGCCTTACAATAAAGGACTTTCCCACTAAAATCTGAAGAAAAAATCCCCAAAATCCAAGATCGAAAAGCCACTGAATGCGAATCACGAAATAATCCTGTGAAATCATCTCTCATTTAATAAACGTCTGCGTTGAAAAAATTCAACTTGAAAAAAACTCCGTAAATTTTGTGAATTCATCCGCCAAATTTTGTTGAGAGAGATTTTTTAAGTTTCTAGACGCGTCCATTCGCCTCAATTGAAGTATTTTCAGCCATGCCGTTGGATTTTTTTGTTCCAGAAGACAAAATCAACATGTTCAAGATCTTGGAAACATTTGACACGAAATTCTCAGCGGATTCGGTTGAATGGTGTCCTATCGAAGGATTCCAAGATCATTTTGTCTGTGGAACGTATGAATTACAAAAACCTGAAGAGCAATCTGAATCCTCAGATGATCGCGCTCAAAAACGCCAGGGTATCATTTATTTGTTTCGTGTCGTTTCCCCCGGGAATTTGCATTTACTGCAGCAGGTGAATGTGCCAGGGGTCCTAGACATGAAATGGGCTCACGTCGTATACGAGGGACACATTCTATTGGGGGTAGTCAATTCCGTCGGTTATCTGCAACTGTGGGAATTGGAGAGAGAGAGTGGTAAAATGAGTTTATTCGTAGAAACAAAGCTACGTTCTGTAGACGATGAGTACTTGGCGTTGTCGCTGGACTGGAGTACAGGGCGAAGTGCGTGGAGTCACTCAACAGAGGTCAAGATTACCGTCAGTGATTCAAAGGGATTCATCACTGTTTATAATGTTTCCCAGGGCAAACTCAATGTTCTTGCATCTCAGCTGGCGCATGAATTCGAGGCTTGGATTACGGCCTTTAATTATTGGGACACAAACGTTATTTATTCAGGTTTACACTTTTCTAAGAGCGATTTTTATGAGACGTGGGAATAATCCATTAGAAAATTTTGTAATCCTATTGGCGTTTTATTGAAATTGTTTCGGAAATGTTATTTTTTCGCCAATTTCTATTCAGAATTCCGCAGCTATTGCAAACTCTTTAAAGCAGCTCTAGCCTTACGGTAAATTCGAAGATTATTGAAAACTGCAAAAAATTGCAGGAAACTCGATTGGATTCGGAATTATAATTTTTTCCTCAATTTAATTAACGTTTTGGTTTTTCAAAGAAATGTTTAAAAATCAGCATTTAACCCAGTGTCTTATGTGAAAATCAACATTTCCATTGTAATCAAAGATTAAAATCTGATTTTTTTTTTATTAGATGTGAAAAAATCGAGAATTTTTTTGACACCCCATAAAAAATAATCCACCGTTTAGCAAAAAAGTTTTATGAGTTATTTATAAGAGGGAAATGATTGAAAAAATATCAATATTTTGCGAAATTTAATTTAGATCATACTGACTAGGTATGAATTTTTTGAAATTTTTTCCATGCACTTTAGTTGAAAAATTAAAAAACTGAAAATATCCAAAAGTACAGTGTAGCCCGGCCAAAGGGTAGAGCTACTTTAATAGGTATTTGATAGAGAAATGCGATTTTAATTTTTGGACATGACTATTGGAATCCATTCACTATAGTAGAATTGGAATAATAACTCTGAATTTAATACAACTGCGATTCTTCATTCGGTCGCACGTAGCAAAAACATCTCGATATTTACTTTAACTCCGGCACCCGGAGACGACCTTCAGAACGAGGACATTGGAACACTCGGAACGTATTTTCTTTTTGTCCTTTGTTTTGTTCAGAGCATTCGCAGTCGACCACCTGCGGGCACTACGTAATGTAATAGTAAACACAGTCTACGGGGTGACACTGAAATGCGACGAGCTGTGTAGAGATCGATTTTTGAATAATACTGCGTTCAAGATATCCAACAGCGATTTATTTCCTTTGACATTCTTTCTATCGAAATTCACGGGCATAAATTTTCCATGTTTCATCCGTTGTATTTCGTTTTATTTCTCTTTGCGAAATAGGAGAAGACAAAATTAGAAAATTAATTCGGAATAATTATATCGAAAAAATGAACATTGAAGAATAGCACTGCAAAATTACGTAAGTTTTCATAGAAATCCACAAAAAACAAAGTGGAGTTCTTATAGAATTTTAATACCTTTTCAATGGTATCCGGTTAATTCATCTCACAAATTCATCCCATGACAATTCATCCCACGACAGTTTCATCCCTATTTTTTATTATTACTGTTTCGATGAAGAATACGCTTGGCTGAAGCGCGCGACTTATCGGATTAATTTTCAAGTTTAGTACTGATTTTGTAAATTGATGCTGTGGTCTATTACTTGTGGCCCATCCGGCGAATGTTAGTTGAGATGGATAAGAATGATTTGACCGTTTTTTTGCAATGTTTCCTGTTAATCCGTTGATCGGCTGTGGAAACTACTACGAGGGAATCGTGAAGTATCTGATTGATTTTGATGCTGTGTAATCGTGTAATATTTTTCTCTCCCTGAATTATTGTTGTGACCGTGAAAAATTCCGTTGGAATTTGATGTTTGGGATGAAATTATCGTGCGATGAATTTGTTTGGAGTAAGTTGTCCGGGATGAATTGGTTTGGGATGAGTAGTCCGGGATGAATTCACGTAGAACCTTTTTCAATAGTACTCCAATAACATACAAATAGAATTCATATCCTCCAGGTGTCCCATTGCATTAATTTGTCATCAATGTCCCATTGCGTTATTTTCATGCGTGGAATATTTCAAAGTCTGATAAATGTGTTCTACAGGTGGTGACGATTGCAAGTTCAAGTGGTTCGACACACGAACCGGATTACAATCAGTCGGTTCCAATAAAATTCACACAGCCGGAGTAACTAGTTTACATTCGAACGCAGAAAGCGAGTTCATCTTAGCATCCGGAAGGTATGAGATTCCTAAAAAAATCTACGTGAATGAAATGATAAAAATATTTCAGCTACGATGAAATCCTCCGACTCTGGGATACGAGGCAGATGCGGCGCTCGATTTCGGAAACGAATTTGAACGGGGGGATTTGGCGATTGAAGTGGGACCCATTCCATCACAAGTACCTGTTCGCCGCTTGCATGTACAGTAATTTCAAAATCATCGATTGTCAACGCCAGGAAAATCCAGAGATTGTCGCGGAATTAAATGAGCACGAGAGTATCGCCTATGGCTGCGACTGGTCTTCACTTTCTGAAGACGAAGCTGTGAATAAGCTTGTTCTGGAGAATTGTGAATCGAGAACGGTGATCGCGGCTACTTGTTCATTCTACGATCATACGCTCAAATTGTCTGCGGTTACATTAGGGAATTGATTTGTAATAATGAAGGATTTATTACGCATATTCAGCCTTTTTATAAGACACAATACCTCGGTCCCCAAAACACTGAGAGAAAACATTTCTTCCTATCAAATAATTCTGAATTTTATAGAAAAATCCGCGCAATGTTGGTTACTAAGACGTGAAAATTTTGTAATAAAGATTTGAAGAGTGCCTTGACGTGGAAAATTTTTGTCGTCAATTACCCATTGTTGAAAATTTCAGGCAAAATCTGCGGTACGTGTCTTGGAAATTTTTATGAAGTGGCAGTTCTACCGAAAACTCGAGGAATTTGGTCCCTGAAAATTCATAATTTGTAGGCCTCTTCGGGCAAAATCATTAAATGGAGAATAATGTTCTGAAAGATAGGCAATAATGTCATTAAAGATGGGAGAAGTCAGTGGAAAGACACTGGCCCCGGGTGAAAAAAAAAATTTTTGTTTTTCACTTTTTCCGAATACTTTCGAGAGTTCTGGATAGCCCGTCGCATGAATCATCGGAATCAACGCCCAGATAGAATGAGAATACTTAATTTCTGCTTAGGGAAATTAATGTCTTCGGGAAAAACACAGGTTTTATGACTCAAACGGTTGGATGTCAAGTTCGAGTTGCACTTGAAAACTCGATAAGAGCAAATACAAAGGACTAATTTTTGCGTGAACAGGAGCTACGTCCAGAGATTTCAAGATTCATCATCCTTTCCTGTTCACACGTTTCCCACATTTACTTCCCAAAATTAAGTATTTTTTCTCGTGTTCGAAACCGTGGGAATATTTTAATTACTCCAAAGTTGATACTAAAATTACAAAAATTATTAGACAAAACATTTGAATCTCAGTGGTGCAATCTAGTGAGAATATGGCGGTCATAGGGACCCTACGTGATTACCAGCAGTCTATGCGACAACCGACAAGATATCTAGCTTCCCGTGATTGATGTTGCGATAAAAATTAGTCGTTCTCGAAAGCCCTTTCGAGCTTGCTCAGGCTGTTTTGGCGTGGTCTACCGACTATAGAGTTTTCCCCGAACTGTCAGCTTGTGTACGCAAAGTGTAACTAATGCGAGCGTGAATTCGTTGAACAAATCAATCGAACTTTGGTAAGTGTCAAGTTCTCCATGCTTCACCTCAAAACAATCAATTCAACATTTCAAATTGCAATCGTGAATTTTCAAACAATTATCTTGGGAGTCAGCTATATGTTGAGCGTTTGCCAGTGACCTAGTGAACAATTTGGCGGGTTTGGTGGTGATTCCGTGCTGTTTTTTCCAGGCGGTACTGGCTACCAAGACTATTGAGGATATTAGACGTGATTTATGGTCTTAATACTTGATATCCTGAATTTAGTGTGATAATTCCTCAGGATTAAATCAATCTTAGCTCTTCAAACTTCAAGTTTTCATGCACATTATTTCAATAATTTAGATTGCCAGCTTTAACCCTTCAGGCCCTCAGTCCATCGTTCTATCGTGTTTACAATTAGATGGAAGGAATATTGAAACGAAAGCTTCGTACGCTTAATTCAGTAGCGAAGTGGTAAAAGGAGATAAGTCAATTTTGACTATTGACCAGTTTTCAATGAATATCTCAGAATCTAAGGAAGATAGGAAAATTTTTGTTAGAACCTTTTTTGTGGAGCCGATTGAGTGCTACAACAAATGTAATTACGAAAATTTCGCTATCCCCCTTAGATTCGGAAATATTCCTCAAAAACTCAACTGGGAGATAAGTCGACTTATCTCCATTCACCACTTCACTACTGAATTCATCGATGCCTGTTTTCATAATTAAATGTCAACGTATTACTGTTTCATGAGAGCCATCGAGGTATCCACTCAGATTTGCATGACTCGCTAAATCCTCATCCGAATTCTTGATAAACTGAGTTGAAACTGATAATTACTGATGTGTAAATCAGTCTCAACTTTTCAAACTTCAAGTTTTCAGCCTCAATGCCTCAATATGATCATTTTCTTGCTCCTTACAATGAAATGGAAACATGAAGTGAGAGCTTCATACGCTCTATTCATCCAAAACTTGTGTTTGTAATTGAGTGTCAACGTATTACTGCTTTATGACAGCTATCGAGGTATCACTTAGAGATACATTACTCGCTCTACCCTCCTTTTCTTTTCTCCAACAAAGACCTAATCAAGAATGGAACAACTTTCATGCAGCCACTTGTTAGGTGTAATTTCTTACATGCGGTCGAAAACACTTGGAGCTCTTTTCTCAGGAGGCATTGTTGTATAAATGAAAAAAGCGAAATGAACACTTTCAACTTTTTCAACAATTTAAATAGGGGAGGGTGGGGTAAAATCGACACTTTGGACTTTTTTAAAATTATTCATAACTCAGAAACAAATTTATCAAAGAATATGACGCATTATTTTATTTGCTTTTTTCTAGAGCAAATTAAGAGCTATAAAAAAGGTCTTAACAAAAATTTTGCTCTTTCTTAGATTCCGAGATATTCACTGAAAACTGGCCAATAGTCAAAATCGACTTGAACCGTTTTACCACTTCGCTACTGAATTTTTTTGCTTGAATTGCGTCAAACAGTCATTTCTCGACTGTTTCATTTTCCCCAATATTTCATTTTGCTCCACTCTCCCCTATTCCATTTCGATTTAAACGAATTCTCTCTAATTAGATGTAAGATGATGAGTTTCCAACTGAATCATTCCACTTCTCCTCATCAATTCCCTGCATTAAAGACAGCCAATTGAATGAACTTTAGACTTTTTTAAAATTATTCATAACTCAGAAACAAATTTATCAAAGAATATGACGCATTATTTTATTTGCTTTTTTCTAGAGCAAATTAAGTGCTATAAAAAAGGTCTTAACAAAAATTTTGCTCTTTCTTAGATTCCGAGATATTCACTGAAAACTGGCCAATAGTCAAAATCGACTTGAACCGTTTTACCACTTCGCTACTGAATTTTTTTGCTTGAATTGCGTCAAACAGTCATTTCTCGACTGTTCCATTTTGCCCAATATTTCATTTTGCTCCACTCTCCCCTATTCCATTTCGATTTAAACGAATTCTCTCTAATTAGATGTAAGATGATGAGTTTCCAACTGAATGATTCCACTTCTCGTCATCAATTCCCTGCATTAAAGACAGCCAATTGAATGAACTTTAGACTTTTTTAAAATTATTCATAACTCAGAAACAAATTTATCAAAGAATATGACGCATTATTTTATTTGCTTTTTTCTAACGCAAATTGAGTGCTATAAAAAAGGTCTTAACAAAAATTTTGCTCTTTCTTAGATTCCGAGATATTCACTGAAAAATGGCCAGTAGTCAAAATCGACTTGAACCGTTTTACCACTTCGCTACTGAATTTTTTTGCTTGAATTGCGTCAAACAGTCATTTTTCGACTGTTCCATTTTGCCCAATATTTCATTTTGCTCCTCTCCCCTATTCCATTTCGATTTAAACGAATTCTCTCCAATTAGATGTAAGATGATGAGTTTCCAACTGAATGATTCCACTTCTCCTCATCAATTCCCTGCATTAAAGACAGCCAATTGAATGAACAATTTTAGACTGAGTAATTAGATGAGGAGCAATTGATACCATAAGCAGTACAATGTTAAGTTTGATTGCTGCGAGTGCACTGGTCTGACGAAGTATTTTGTTTCATTAAAATTGTTGACACCAGTGGGATGATCAATGGTGGCAACAAGCGGTATGGTTTATGAGGAAATTGTCGGAGTGCGGGGCAGCTGACCCCAGCCTCCGCGCAGTCTATATATGCGCGAGATGCCCCACAATTTGAATTCTACATCTGGCAATTCTGCCAATTCCGGGCCAAATCATCAAGGGTACCATCAAGTCATTGGCGATGGGCTACAACCGGAGGTTTGTTTCGTCGTTTTATGCATATCAGTTGTTATAAAATGAAATATATTTGTTGGGCCTAGGCTACTCACTGGAAGATTTCACGTGATGACAGCGCCGATTTCAATGATTTCGCAAGAATTTTATATGAATAGATAATTCAAGGATCCCGCAAAGTGATTTCATGACTGCAATTGACTTCGAATGATTCTGGGAATTTAGAACCGGATGAAATGAAATCATTGAAATAATGACGGATAAAGTTTAGCGAACAAGAGGAAAATGGGCGGAACGGTCCATTCTATTCCACTCTTTCTAAATAATTCAGAAAAATTGAGATTCTGTGAAAAATTTATTGTTTTGCATCGATTTTTTATAAAAAAAGCAATTGATCTCGATTTTTTAGATAAATTATTATTTATCTAAAAAATCGAGATCAATCGCCTTTTCCTATCGTAAAAAGGAGAAAAGAAATCGATCTCGAAATATCTCGAAAATCTCGAATAAGGGTAAGCGTAAGACTGAAACCGAAGCGCCACTACGTGAGTAGATGAGAAGGCGCGTGCGCAGCTACGTGTGGAAAAAGTGAAAACTGAAAATAGTACATTACATATTCGAGCCTTGGAAAACAGATCACTGTCCCCCACGTGCCAGATTGCCTTCCGAGCTGAAGGCGAGGTCATCCGAGCCGAAGACGAGGATGGCAAGCACGTGGGGGAGGGTCGCCTTGGAGGATTTTTTTTCACATTTTCAAAGGGTCAGATTTTCCGTTTTTCCAGGGGGAAAGTCGACTTTCGCCAAAATTGAATTTTTTAGCCGGGTGAACGTTGATTTCAACTATTTAAGCGACGGGCTGTTCAGAACTCTCAAAAGTATGTGGAAAAAGCATAAACTGAAAAAGTTTTTTTTTTCAGATTTTCAAAGGTCAGATTTTCCGTTTTTCCAGGGGGAAAGTCGACTTTCGCCAAAATTGAATTTTTTAGCCGGTGAACGTCTGATTCCAACTATTTAAGCGACGAGCTATTCAGAACTCCAAAAGTAGTGGAAAAAGGTAAACTGAAAAAAAAGTTTTTTTCACCGGGTCAAAGGGTCAGATTTGGATCCTTTTTCAGGGGAATCGCAAAGTCAGGTCACGGGTCAGTGATTCGCCAAAATCGATTTTTGTAGCCGGGTGAATGTTGATTCCAACTATTTGAGCGACGGGCTATTCAGAACTCTCAAAAGTATGTGGAAAAAGCGTAAACTGCAAAAGTTTTTTTTTTCACATTTTCAAAGGGTCAGATTTTCCGTTTTTCCAGGGGGAAAGTCGACTTTCGCCAAAATCTAATTTTTTAGCCGGGTGAACGTTGATTCCAACTATTTAAGCGACGGGCTATTCAGAACTCTCAAAAGTATGTGGAAAAAGTGAAAACTGAAAAAAAAAATTTTTCACCGGGGGCCAACATGTCAGATCTTGAATTTTTCCAGGGGGAAAGTCGGTCAAAGGGTCAAAGTGTCAGATCTTGGATTTTTCCAGGGGGAAAGTCGACTTTTGCCAAAATCCAATTTTTTAGCCGGGTGAACGTTGATTCCAACTATTTGAGCGACGGGCTATTCAGAACTCTCAAAAGTATGTGGAAAAAGTGAAAACTGAAAAAGTTTTTTTTTTCACATTTTCAAAGGGTCCGATTTTCCGTTTTTCCAGGGGCAAAGTCGACTTTCGCCAAAATCGATTTTTTTAGCCGGGTGAATGTTGATTCCAACTATTTAAGCGACGGGCTATTCAGAACTCTCAAAAATATCCTATCGTAAAAAGGAGAAAAGAAATCGATCTCGAAATATTTCGAAAATCTCGAATAAGCGTAAGCGTAAGACTGAAATCGAAGCGTCACTACGTGAGGAGACGAGAAGGCGCGTGCGCAGCACGCGCGGCCGATCTCTATATAAAAAATCGAGTCGTATCGGATCGTATTCTCTTTGAAGTTTTTCCTATTCTTGGAAATTTTTATGCCCAATTTGTTTTCAGCTGAATTTTTGTTTAGCATTGTAAAATCCAAAAAACAAGCATAAACTTCTTAAATCGATACAAATAAATCCCAACGGTATAAGTTTTGTAGAAAAATGAAAATCTACTGACTTGAATAAAAATTCCATGATTATCTGTAGGAATCGGCGCCAAAAATGAATAGAAATTTTAATAGAATTCCTTAGAGAAAGCGCAGAATATCCCCCACGCGTTGAAATCAATTTCTTAATAAGTGAGTAGCCTTTCTAATTTTCGCGAAATATTAATTTCAAAAATTAATAAACAGAAAGAGCCTGTGCAATTCGATGCTAGCCATCTTCGAGGCGCACCAGCGGAAGTCGAGTCGCTTGTCCACAACATCAAAGAAGTCGCTCAACAATTTCTGTACCACTGGAAGACATTTCCAATCGTCCTACCTCCACCCCTTTCGGCTTGTTCAGACGGCGATGAGACCTTGGTCCGTAAAAAATACCACCTCAGAGACCTCTTCGTAGCACCGAGCTTCGACGAGCTCGATGCGGTCGCTGTTGATACCAAAGGTGAACCCAGAAGACTCACCAACAAACAACTGGAGAGCATAAGAGAAAGAGGGTATGTCCGTTTTAAATTCCTCTCCTAAAATTTCATAAACTCTTTCCTAAGTAGACGCAACTAATAAATCTGCAATTTTTATAGTCAACTAGGCCAGTAGTGCTGAGTTACAAAATTCTACGTGTAGTGGATTTTTTTTCTCTTCTACAAATAAAAACGATAGTTTTTATAATAGATTATAAAAATCCCCAGTGGATGAATGAGTGAACTGAATCAGATATATAATCAAAAATTCGTAGGGCTCTTGATGTCTTCTTGAATTTCATCTTATTGTTCTTTGTTGAATAATTGTTGTGAAGCTTGCACAAGGATAAGTACGGAAAGCCGAAGAAACTGAATGCCACTCAATTGGAGAGCATTCAAAGATGCGGGTATGTTGAAACACCGATACGTTCACAAAAATTGTTGTTGTCATTAGATGTTAAATTATCAATGTTGACAGGGATTTAACCATTTCCATTCTTGACAGAGTATCAAGTGGGGAGAAGAATTGTCACGTGTATAGAGCATTTTTGTAGCCTTCGTTGATACTGTATTTCAATTGTGCAATTTGTCCTGTGAATTTTGCTAGACGGAATTTTTTAATTCTAGAGCTTGAGTTGTAAATAATCATTCACCTTTTATTCCTTATCAATGAATAGTAAGAACTCGTACGAAAAAGTTCGAAAGGAACAAAAATTATATTGTTCTTTATTGAGAATTCTACAGTTTCCCGATCCATTTTTTGAAATAGTAATTGTTAGATTACGTATTATTTGTTTTTAGAATTATTCTAGATTTTGTCGTCTGTAAAAATACAGATAAAATTCTACTGCCGTTATAGTCATGTTATGTTGATTCCAGATTAACGTTATAATTTACCTTTTTCGAACAAAATACCCCACATTTTCAAAGTGTTTCAGTTTGAATGTTAAAATCAGACAAAAAATGCAGTGAAATAAAATTTGGATAATTGATGCCAAGAAATTTCTGCATAACATATTTCAATTGAAGAAGTTTTGAACATTAAAAATCTATAGATTTCTCCCTATCAAATATTATTTATTAGAAATTGTTTAAACTGTTGAATTTGTTGAAAACACACTACACGGAGAGAAATTTTCTAGAAAAATTCTAGTACGAGTACTAGAAAAAATCACAATCCACCGGCTGTGAAAAATTCTAGTGCTGTTAAGGTAAAATTTCTTGGTATTTCTGGTAAAATTTCTGGGGATTTCTGTGAAATTTTCACAGAAATACGGGGAAAAATTCACATTTTCCCCAATAAAATTTCTAGTGTCGGCACTGGAACTTTTTCCTGGCGGTCACTTTGCGCCCCTTTTCCCGTGCTAGCACTAGAATTTTTCACAGCCGGTGGATTGTATTTTTTCTAGTACTCGTACTAGAATTTTTCTAAAAAATTTCTCTCCGTGTAGAATTTCCAATAAAATTCCACTAAAAATCAAATATAATTCCATTGAGTTTCCCTCCACCCGTCCTCTCAAAAACCTTGACATTAACCACTGAAACCCCTCTCCACTTCCAGAGAATTCGAAGTTGACTCGATAAACTTCACCGGCCAGACCCACCGCTGGAGACTCAGCGGACTCCTCCAAAGAGGGCGAGATCGACGAAGGGAAACCCTGCTGAACGACCTCGCCCTGGCGACAAGATTCCTCGTAGTGACCGCACGAGCCCGCCTCATATCCCACTGTTTCAGTATTTCCCAATCCCTGAAGGCCCTCTTAACCGGACTGCTGCGCCTCCTCGACATGCTCATCGGAGTGCCCTCCCTCCAGGCGCAAAACCTAGAAGGAAAAATCAGAGAAGAGCGCTGTCGCTACCTCGTCGCCGAGTTGATATGTCGCTCGGAGTACGAGGACTCCCTGGAATTGCTCTGTGGCTTCGTGCGAAAGCAATTGCGTCGCGCAGCGATGGAAAAATTCGAAGTGGAAAGAGAATCCTCCCAACTGCTCCCCGTCTCGGTGCCCTTTGTCTTCGGTACGCCAAGCGGTACAGCCGTAGACCTGCGACTGTTCAGCAGAGACATAATGAGAAAAGCCATGCCAATTCTCGTAACAATCCTCGAACGAGAGACCCGCGGATGGTTCCTCCACTTTCGCGAGCGACTGATCTCCGAATTACGAGGGCAGAAAAAAACTGACGAGGAGATTGAGGAGCAAGTGAACGAGGCTGTCATGCGAGAGTACCTCCAAAGAGTCTACTCCAACATCCTGATTCACCCGGACATTCAAGCCTTGGGGGACGGGATCGGTCAGCTGTTGGTGCAGCAAGCGCAGTCCGTCATTCTAATGCATCGCGCAGTGGAGAGTGTCAAGCGTAAATTGGCACACGCCAAAGAATCACTTCGCAAGAGCATGGAGAGCGAGCACCCAGTGCTCTCTCGAATAGGGCCCTGGATGCGTGACAGAATGAGAGAAGCTGAGAGCCACTTCATCGAAGAGTGCCAGTGGAGCGCCCACGAGGAGGCCCTCTCCCTCTGCAGTCTTCAAAATCTCCAGCAAACCGTCTACTTCCTCAATCGTGACTTGACATTCATGCGCGAGAGAGAGCCCGTTCTCCTCAAGGAGCTTCGAAAAGTTGAAACCCCAACGAGGAACTTTCAGTGGCCCACGCAGATATGGCTGCCGAGGAATTGGATAGTCCGTAGAAATTTCCAGGGAACGTCCGAGGTAATTCCAACGATACTGAGTAACACACCGACGTCGATAACAACCCCGAGGGCAGATCCAAGTCAGCCGGTGTTTCTCGTGGAGAGGGAGCTCGTCCACACGACGACAACACGCTGGCCCATGTGGCGATGGATAAACTACATCGCGAGGACCTGGTGTTGGACGTGGAACGCCATGTTCCTGTTCGGGGTTGCAGTCCCCTGGTGCAGCAGAGTCTCCCTGAGATCGCTCCTCCTCGTCGAGCCCTTCACCCCAGACCTGGAGTTGAGCCAGCTGAATGGAACCCTTTTCCCACGCAAATCCTCCCAGACACCGACCCTCTGCTCGCGTCTGATAGCCCTCTGGCGACACATCAGCAAGAGTCGAACGCACTTCGAGACCGAGCCCGATACTGGCTTCATCGGGAAGGGGATGACGAGGCACATCAACAGAATGTGGAATTACGGGGTGAAGGGTCTGCTGGGAACCCTCGGCATTCTTTTTATATTTCCCATTATTTGCGTTGTAGCTAGTCTTGGCTCTCTCATCATCGCTCTGTCTGCGTTCGTGTGGATGCCTCTAGTGACAATGGCTCTTCACACCTTCATGGCCCTCGTCATAGACCTCGACAGTCCCGAGGCGAGTAGAAATCGTTACTTCGTCGTGCTGGAGGCGTTAGTGTGGAATATTGGAATCCAGGGCTTTCTCCAGCCACTGGCTGCCCTCGTCGTGGCCCTCTGCATATGCCCTGTCATTTCGTTCTTCATAATGACTGTTGCGGTGGTGAGGTACTGGGTGAGAGTCGTCTGGGACACAGCCATGTTCCATCTTCTCATAAAGAGTCGTGGGAGGATACCAGCGAGTGACAGCTTCGTGGTGAAGAGAGTGGCAGGGCCTGGCCTGGCGTCTGATTATTACTACCAGATTAAACCGGAGCAGGCACTGGCTGCCTTCGAAGCGAAACTCGAGCTCGACGAGTTGTTCGCATTTCAGCACGAGACTGAACGACTGATAACTCAACCCCAGAGGGACTTCACTCAGTTCGTCGAGGCCTGCTTCAGCCCCTTCGCCACGAATCTAGCCAAGACGAAGGATCCGTACAAGTCTCTGGAGAAAGAGGCCAGGGATTTGATTGGGGTTCTCCACGAGAAGCTCGATCGACGCAGGAAGGATCTCCAGACCGGTCTTGGTGTTGCTGTGAGGAGTAAAATCAAACTCACAACGTTCGATCTGAAGATCGTTATTCAGCAGGCGGCGCTGATGCTCGAGAGACTGTACCCAACTCACGTTTTTTCGAGGCTCAATGGTAATGAGGACGACTTTTGGGAGAACAAGGGGCTCAGTGTGGGGGACTGGGCGGGACTGGCAGGGCTCATGTATGCTGACATCTTCAGTCTAGATTTTCTACAGCCCCTCGATGACACTGACACCAAATTCAAACTCGAGCCACACTCTGGAATTGATCTCTCTAGGTATAGTAATATGGTTAATAGCACTGAACTTGGGGGCATCAATGGGCCTGATCTGCTCGGGGCTATTTACGCACCGAGGGGGAATATACAGGTCCACAGTCCCTATTTGGAACTGTCTGCCTTTAATCCACGTGCCAAACAACAAACGAGCAGCAAAAAATCGGAGAAAATGTGCGAGTCAAGTCTTCTGCATCAAGCGAGATCGAATCGTAAGACTATGACTGGGAGTTCGGGGGGCGACACACGGTGGCAACCTTGGAAGAGGGAGATGAGACCCTACAGTGCGGAGAAACTACTCATACCTCTTCCCATTCCTCATCCAGCTCATATCGCCATTACTATTCACAATAGGGATTCTGAGGATCCGATTCCTCTGGACTCGGAGATCTGTCAGAATATTTTGAGAGCCATCGAGGAATCACCTGGGGAAATGGTCATTGAGATTGTCGGACGGTTTAGGGGGGGAGGGGACTCCAGTTTTGACTCGGTTGCGTCGCAGTCCTCGGTCTCTCTGGACGCACCTGGGGAGAAGGAGGAGGAGGAGGAGGTGGGGGATAATGATAAGCAGGGGGAAACTTATCACTGGACTTTGTCGAATTGGACGGGGGGCATGGCCAGACGGAGAAAGAATTCTGGGTCTATCAAGGTCGATCTCGCCTCTCCAGAAGATGTCACTCTTGATACTGACACCACGAGGGTCATGTTTAGCACGTATGGAACGACTGTCTGAGTTAGGGGGGATATGCCCTTGGAGATTCACTTGATATTATTTTTTACTTTCGGATTGGGGGTGGGTCTAATGGCGAACTCGCGTGGAGCTCCTTTCCCTGTAATTTCGCACGAGATATTTATAGTTGGAAGTGTTTTCAATTTTAACGCGGATGGAAAAATTTGATAGAGAACCTAGCGCTAGTGGGAGACTCTATTGGAACTCCATGAGAATTCTGGGGGAATTCTGCTCGAATTTTTTTTAATAGATTCTTTTTCGTAGAAAAATTTACAGATGTTGATTTTTCGTTGTAACTCATTCTGTGGGGATTTTTTATGAGAACTTTTGGGGTTGAATTTTTCAGGTTTTTTCGGGGATTTTATTATGAAAAAAGAATAAAAATTTGGGGAGAAAGTTTTTTGAAATCTAGGCCTATGAACTTTTTATAGAAAAATCAAAATCTATTTTTATTCTGAGAAATGTAATCTAAAGTGAGTTTAGAATTGGCGGAAACGAATAGAATTATTTGATAGAATTTTAGAACTCCAAGAGAATTCTTACGGATTTCCAATAGAAATTTAGTAGAGGCTTGAATTTGCCAATTCACAGCAAGAATTGAAAATTACATCAATTGAGTAGTGAACAAATTGATAATTGAGGACAGTTGTCTCAATTCTCACATTTTTCAATAATTTTGTAATTTCATCTCTTGATCATTAATTATGAATTAATGAGCGATAATTCAACCGTTTGTAAATGAAAAATCCCTTATTCAGGTCTCAAAATGGCGATTAGAAGATTTTTTAAAAAATCATGCAACTTCCCTATTTCTGAATGAAACTTTCAAAACTCTAAAAACGTTATCCATGTTTTGGAATATCGCAGACGAGAGAGAAAATGATTATTCTCTCGAATACCCCTAATTAAAAAACATACATCGTGCTTCATTCGAGGGTAATTCCGTACACCATTTTATTGAAAACATCGGTATTATTTAGTGATTAATTTATTAACAGCGTCATTATTATACTATTGATATTATTTTTTTATTGTTCATTCATTTTTGCTTTTGCAAGTGATACGAGGCTATTAGTTTTCTCATGACGATTAAAATTATCATGTGACGGTCGTATGTCAACATCAATGTACATGCAGTTCTCTTTAGGATTTTTATATTTCATTTTATTTCACTGCATAAAACCATCAGAAACCATCATTCAATCATGCTCTCCTCATTTTGAAATTTCACTCATTTTTTAGCTAAGGCTGAATTAATTTTCACTTGAGGTAATTTTACCTATTCGAAACATCTTCCATTACAATTACTCAAAAACGTAATTGAAAGTGTACTCTGGCAATCAATGTGCTATGATTATCAAAAAAATTGTAGTAGTGTGAGCTAATGTAGTCTGGGCACGAATTTCTAGTTTTCAAATTTCAGGGCTACTCTGAGAGAAAAAAAAATGTTCTCAAACAAGATTTGCTTGAACAAAAAAAAATTGCAATTCTGTTTAAGTAAGAAATCTCAAAAGTGTTTGTTTTATGGGAGAAAAAGGATAGTAATTGTTCGTTTTGATCACCTAATACTCAAAGATAATAAATTAATTCTTAAATGAAATAATAATGATGACACGACATGAAAACTTGTTCGAGAGCATGTTTTTTTCTCGAAGTGTAGAGAGTGAGGAGTGAAAAAGACGTCGAATCTCACATGGCAACTGCATGAGTATTAATATACAGCGATAGAATAAGCCTACCTAGGTGAGTAATTGGGAATTATGTATCCCCAAAATTTAAACCTTCTACGAAGTTTTCAGACACTCGTCACAAAGATAAACAATCGAGTGGAAAAAAAATGAAAAAAAATCGTCTTCAAACGGATATTTTATTGACGCCTTTTTAGTTGACCAACGCCTGAACTCTTCTCGATTAAGAATAAAAATTGTCTAATGACTTGTAATAAATTACGAAATAGTGGAGAAAAATGTGAGTTACTAAAATCAATCGGCTGTGTGCAGTTTCACTAGATGTTTCACGAGTCTTGAATGCGATCACGTTAATCGCGAGTAGAAAGCGTTAAATAGAAAGATTTAATCAATAAAAGAAAATGACAAAATGAAGCTTGACTCATTCGATCTCTCTTAGTTCAAATAATAATTGTAAAGCCATAAACATTCCGTAATTGTATTCAAGTTGGAGAGGGAAAAAAAAGAGATAAAGCTGTGCATCACGTTTTACATTTAAATAACAGTAATTTCAGATTCCATCCATGAGACTTCAGCAAAGATTTTAGAATATTTGGATGGGAGTTTTCGGAGTGATAATACGAGAAATGTCAGGTACAGGTTCACCTGCTAAATCAAAATGTTGTCGAGCTATTATGATGGGACTTCTTAACACGATTTTTTTAGCAAACGTTGCGATGAGTGTGTTAGACCTTGTAAAGTATATTATAATATATGAATATTATATATCACAAATGTGAATGAATCTCTAGTGTTTTTATTAGAATCCTATCAGAATTCCACTGTCTACGTTCGAGCATAATCATTTTTCATAAAGTGGATTGACAATGAATGATTGTTTTGATTGTTAACTCTTTATTCGCCTTGCGATTGGTTGATGGATCAATCAATGATTTCCATGACTATAGTCCAACCAGAACTTCTTTTCTCGCATGAACTTAGTTTCAGGTAACGAGTTTCTATGGTTTCTATCGTCGAATTGTTGATTTGTCAATGAAAACAAAGGAAAACCATTTTTTCCAAAGGGAAAAGAAATGCTGGCCCGACTCTACGAGGATGTTATGGTGCGTTACAGAGCTCACTTGGTGGTCGCGCGTAACGGCGCGCATGATTGCCTAGTAATTCATAAAAAAAGTTAAAAAAGCGCTATTGTTTCCGTTCAGATCCAGCTCTCTCGCTAATTAATTAGCAATTTGCCTTCGAATGAAGCTGTTTTAGATAGACAACTATGAGAAATTATGAGGAGTATTCCCGAAATTTCATTGAGGATTACTTTTTATTTTCATTTTTGTTTTCATAAAAACGAAGAATATCTTGCGTTCTTAGAAATGTTTTGAAATTCAAGCAACAGCTTTAAGATGAAATTGTTCCCGAATTTACTCATCTCGTGAATTCAACGCAATTGAATTTAGAATCGATTAACAATTCAGAAGAACAGTTGCCTGAATCGCAATAATTGTTTTTTACCAAAAAAATTAATTGAATCAATCATTCAATTGTTTACTTAACTGCCTCAATTGCATCGTTGAAAATTCAAAAAATTCAATTTAAAATTTCATATTAGATATGAGCTCCAATTGTCTTGGGATTTATTCATTACTCACAATAACAGAAGAATAAAAGAACCGGTCAGCGTTTTTCCACTCGATCGAGATCACATTGAACCACTTTTTGGGGCAAAAATAATTATTCGCAGAGTCAATCATCGAAAAATTGAGTCATGAAAAATATCAACATCTCGAGAACAAGCAGCAGCTGCCACCTGCGGGAAGCCGACAGTCTCCAGAGCCCACATTCCTTTTCCTATCGATATCGACCATCTCCAACGAACTCGAGGAACTCGAGGTATACAAAAACCGATGATAGCAGAGCCAGTGCGACATGCATCTGTGTACAGAGTCGGTGTCTACTTTTTTTTATCAAATCAGCAGCATCCGGCGCTATTCAAACATAGAGTCAACCCCCCAAAAAGCTAAACCCCACTCACACCCCCTACACCGCCACAAAACCCCTCTCCAAAATGAACACTGTGCGTGCTAAAAACAAGTGAAAGCGTCCGAATTCTAGTGGCCACAATCAAACAAAATGAAGTCGACGAATCGTTCGGTTATCACGAAATAACCAGATGGTGAGCGTGCAATGCCCCTCGAAGGCGTCTATCAGATGTAATAAATTATCCCCGAAACCCATCCTAGTTATCGTGTGTGCATTGGATAGCTGTTTCTCACCGAGAAACTCCAGCGGCTGGCGAATACGCCGAACAAGTGTGCCGGGCGATAATGACCCCCGACCGCAAAAAATCGTCAAAATAAATTCACTAAATTACCGCGAGCCTGAGGCAAGACTAAAATACCTAAATGTTTTTAGGTTTTCAACTAAAAACCTAAAAACGCACCCCTAAACTGAAATTTCCCCATCAGAGCCAAAAAATTCGCGAGTGCCATCGATAAAATCCCACCACCCAACTGTTAAAAAAATAAATAACAAGTAATGCAGACTGCCAAGTGCTCCCTAGCCCTCGCATCCTCGTCCTCTCAATTCCCAACAAAATTCCTGGAGCCAATTCCCTCGTGTGTGTTTACATAGTGAACCGATAGACACTGTAAGGACCACAACACGAATGACCTTGAAAGGCCCAGGTCTCACGTGACCGGCAGGCGAGTGGGAAGAGGCGTTCGTAACTGCGCCGTCCGCGCATTGCCCAACCGAATTGTTCACCCATATACCCAACAAAAACACACACACACACAACACACACAAAAAACACTTTTTAATCCTCGATTTTGTTCTCTTTCTCCCACTCTCCGTCATCCGGTATTTCCTCGAGTAACAGGAAGGGTGCGTGTGCGTTTGCGCAGATAAGTACGCGCGTGCGCCCTCGAGTTGCTTTCACTGTATTCTCTCTCCGGTACAATACACACACGCGGGAGGAGCAATTACCGAGCACATAGTCTAGCCCAAGGGGTCCAGAACAGCACTACACACTCGCATCTTTTCTCAGTGAAAAGACTGGTGGCTTCTCGCACGCTGCTGCGTATCGAGCAACGTCAAGTGCGTGAAACATCCACCACTGATACAACAGTGGTATTCACCAGTGTATTCGGTCGATATTATTGTAGTGGGTACAACAGTGACGATTGTCCCCCCCTGGGACTCATCGAATCGCGGTTTTGCCGCGGAGTGAGGAGTGGGCACAACTTTGCCCCGAATATTAATCATAATAGTGTTGTTGTGAGAGGGCCACTCAGTGGTGTGTGATTTTTGGGAGTTTAATTGAGTGGATTCAACGGTCTAGTGGGGTCATTGGATATTATATCGTTGCTTTGGCCCCACGCCGTTTAATTGCATTCCCATATATGTGGGTGTCTCAGCATCAGAGACGCGGGAGCGTTTTGTGTTGTTGTGATACAGTGGTGGTAGCGACATCCACGAGTAAAACTATAACGATAAACATCACGAATAGAGAAACGACGACGGCAACGGCGGTGGCGGCGCCGCTGTGTGTTGTTGTCGCACGTCCACCAAGATGAAGTCCGACTCGAAACCTTTGTTGACAGCACAAGCGGAAAAGGCTAATCATTATACGTAAGTGAAAAGTATAGATATTTGTTTGAGATAGGGTCTAGTGGCTCGGAGTTTGGGGTTTATCCGGGGGGTAATTTCACTGGGACTCGGGGGAACGGGAATTCTCTTCAGTTGGTTTTAGCGTTCTCGGGGGATTTCTTTTGTTGTAGATACTTGAAGGAGTTCCGCGTTGAACAATGCCCGTTATTTATCCAACGAAAATGCACACAGCATCGGCCATTCACGTGCTTCAACTGGCACTTTATGAATCAGAGGAGACGCAGACCGGTCAGAAAAAGGGACCGCACCTTTAATTATAGTGCTGACAATTATTGTACTAAGTACGACGAGACTACCGGCATATGCCCTGATGGAGACGAGTAAGTTTTTATCGCTGGAATGCTGTGATTGTTGCCGGGGTTTAACGTTGTTTTTGGGGGATGTTTACTGGCCAGTTGAATTTACAGATTTTTTATTGGAGAAACAACCGTAAGTCGGCTTGGTTGTAACTTCGGTTGCGATAATACTGTCCCATTTCTGCATTTTATTTATTTGAGGCGGAATTTTTATGCTCGTTTTATTAATAACTATTGGCTTTCGTTTATTATTTTTCTGTGAAGTTTGTCAGTTATTTGAATTTACAGGATTTTTTGGTCACTCAGTGACTGTAAGTCTGCCTTTGTCTGAGTCCTTGCTGTAACCGTTCGGTTCAGATATTACTGTCCCATTTCTACATTTCATTTAATTGAGATGGGATTTTTTGGCTCTTTTCAGTCGTAATCGTTGTTTATCATTCACTATTTCTGTACGAGGGTTATCAGTATTTTGAATTTACATATTTTTTATTGGAGAAACAACCGTAATTCGGTGTTGGTTGTAACTGTTCGGTTGCGATAATACTGTCCCATTTCTGCATTTTATTTATTTGAGGCGGAATTTTTATGCTCGTTTTATTAATAACTATTGGCTTTCGTTTATTATTTTTCTGTGAAGTTTGTCAGTTATTTGAATTTACAGGATTTTCTGGTCACTCAATGACTGCAAGTCTGCCTTTGTCTGAGTCCTGCCTGTAACCGTTCGATTCAGATATTACTGTTCCATTTCTACATTTCATTTAATTGAGATGGGATTTTTCGGCTCTTTTCAGTCGTAATCGTTGTTTATCATTCACTATTTCTGTGCGAGGGTTATTAATATTTTGAATTTACATATTTTTTATTGCTGAAACAACCGTAAGTCAACTTGGTTATAACTGTTCGGTTGCGATGATACTGTCCCATTTCTGCATTTTATTTATTTGAGGCGGAATTTTTATGCTCGTTTTATTAATAACTATTGGCTTTCGTTTATTATTTTTCTGTGAAGTTTGTCAGTTATTTGAATTTACAGGATTTTCTGGTCACTCAATGACTGCAAGTCTGCCTTTGTCTGAGTGCTGGCTGTAACCGTTCGGTTCAGATATTACTGTCCCATTTCTACATTTCATTTAATTGAGATGGGATTTTTCGGCTCTTTTCAGTCGTAATCGTTGTTTATCATTCACTATTTCTGTGCAAGGATTATTAGTATTTTGAATTTACATACTTTTTATTGCTGAAACAACCGTAAGTCAGCCTATGTTTGTCGCAGTCTTGGTTGTAACTGTTCGGTTGAGATATTCCTGTCCCATCTCTGCATTTCAGTTATTTGAGATGGGATTTTTATGGGTTTTTTATTCATAAACAATGTTTATCGTTTAATATCGTTTGTTGTTTTCGTGTGAAGTTTTTTAGTAATTTGAATTTTCATTATTTTTTGTTACTCAGCAACAGTAAGTCTGTCTTGGTCTTGGTCATAACCACTCAGTAAAGATATGACTGTTCCATTTTTGAATTTCATTTATTTAAAATGAGATTTTTATGGCGCTGTCCCATTTGTCAATTTTATTTATTTGAGATTGACATTTTATGCTCTTTGTAGTAGTGATCGTTGCATATCGTTCATTATTTCTATGCGAAGTGTATTAGTAATTTGAATTTACATTTTTTTTATTACTGAAACAACCGTAAGTCAGGCTATCTTTGCCACAGACTTGGTTATAGCTGTTCGGTTGAGATATTGCTGTCCCATTTCGACATTTCATTTATTTAAGATGAGATTTTTATACTCGTTTATTACTAATTTGAATTTACATTTTTTGTTACTCAATAACCGTTTAGTCATGATATTACTGTCCCATTTGTGAATTTCATTTATTTGAAATTTAATTTTCATGCTCTTTTTAGTTGTAATCCATGTTCATCGTTCATTATTTTTGCGCGAAGTATATTAGCCACTTGAATTTACATAGTCTTTATTACTAAAACAACCGTAAATCAGTCTTTGTTCGTCTTGCTCATCCTCGTTCAAGATATTACTGCTTCACGTCGGAATTTCATTCATTCCAGATTGTATTTTAATTCTCTTTATATTCTGTCAAAAACACTGCAACTCGTGAATTATTAACTGTCATTAAAAAAAAGAATGAAAAGAGGTAATTTATTTTCCACAGAGAAAACCGAACAAAAACACTATAGTGAATTCTATTATGAAACTGTTGCAAAAACAAGTTTTACAATTTTTTTTATTTAAAAAAATTAGAAACTGTCTCTCTTTTCATTTCTAATTGTTGTTCATGTTTTTTTTATTCTTTTTCATTCACTCCTGATGAATGATCCTTTCCCTCGATATTTTCAATTTATGCAGTTTGAGAGAGAACGATGGAAATGAAATTTTGGAGTAATTGACATTTCTACGCCTCTCCCGGATGTGAGCGTTTTCGTTGCTGGATAGGATATATTTCAGTCCCTGTTGCTTGCTAGTTGCTTGTCCGCTTATAACCTATAACAACCGCTTGTCGCGCAGGGGACAAAGAGATGTCGCGGTCATGTTCGATATGTATGAATCCATGGTTTTTGATTGATTAATCCCACATTTTATTCATCAGAAATGAGGATCATCGTCTGCTCCACTATAATCGATTATCGATTTTATTGATTGACATTTACGTGAGTTAGACCTCACATTTGCTGCACGGAAATTGAATGTGTTGAAAATACCAATCTATCCACGTGTTAATTAAACTATTGAGCTCATGAAAGTCATTTTTTTCGAGTTGTCCCAACTATTCAGTTGATAATTCAAGGCTTTAGTAGTATTCCCAATATTTTATCATTGTTAGACATGCAGAGGATCGAATTAATGAAGAATAACGTCACTTTAAATAATTTATCGATTGTTATTTAGTTGTTATGCAAAAGCGCATGTCGATGGTGGAGTACTGGATGGTTGTTATTATGGTTCAGCTAATTTTTCCCTCCAAAAATTGGTTAGGACCTCGCGCGTCAGGCGGGAAGCTCAAACAAAGAAGCCCGGTGGTATTGATTTTTCTTGTCACACTGTAGCAACAAGGACTCGTTGGGTACATGCTTCTCTTTGTTGAATTGGGCAGGGTATCATTTGTATGCTGTCGAGAATGTATCCGAATTTTCATGTGTTCAAGACACTTATAGACAATTATAGACACTTCCGAATTTTCATGTGTTCAAGACAATTTCTCGCGTATGGGGAAATGCAAGGGGAAACCTGAGGTATTTGCTAGAAAATTCTATTGAAATTTCTATCTCTTTCTCTTTTTTTTCCCCGATTTCAATTGGAAATTATGCGATTTTTCAATTGGTTCACTTTTAAATAGAAGAATTCAAGTTTTTTAAATTTTTCTATTCAATTTTTTCCTCAAGAAGTCTTGTACATGAATTTTCGATGTGTTTTTTCTTGAATTTGGCCGTGAGATGCAAAGAAAATGGAACGAAAAAAGGTTTGAAAATTTATGTCCATGAATTTCTATAGAAGAATCTTGAGGGAGTAAGGCAAGAGGTAACGGTACCCCTCGCATGTGTTGAATTTTAGGATCGTCCTCGCGTTATAGGGAATTCCACAGTTGTTAATTTTTGGAGAGCAAAGAACTTGAGGCACTGCACAATATAGTAATGGAGTCATTGAAATTTTTTGGTTTCCAAAAATTAATAACTGAATATTCTGCCAAAAAAGAATAACTAAATATTCTGCCAAATGTCTGTACAGAAATTGTGCGGAAAAACTGTGAGATTTTTAATTGCAGTCGGCAAAAACAGAATAGGATTTCCAACAGAATTTCAATAACACTCGAATCGAATTGTAATAGGAGTCTTTTAAGGTTTTATTGGCAATTCGATACGACTTCTCAGCGAACGCGCTCGGTTTATCTATTGGATTTTCTCATACGTGTCCTTTTTGCTTGATTCCTTCCGATTCAAAGAGGGTCGTATTTTTTATTTAATAGAAAATGAAAATTACCCATGGCTTTAACATTTTCAAATCGTGGAGAGGAAAACTTAGTGTAAATTTAGTACCACCGTAATTTTACGTGGATGGATGGTCTCTATTTTTTAAAACACCCCCGTATTTCCTCATTTTTTGGGAAAGCTCCGAATATTCCTCAATATAGAACACCCTTCCGTGTATCTTTCCAAAACTCGCTAAATTTCTAGAATTCTCCAGAAGGTTTAAAAATTTTCCAGAAGTTCCTACGTTGATTGCTACAGTATGCACGACTCTTGTCTTCATTAGAATTTTCAAGGGGATTTAAGATTATTTTGGAAAAACCCCGAGAATTTTTTCGAACTTTCTAGAAATCCGCAGAATTTTCTCGATTTTTTCCGAAAAATTTAGACCTTTCTAGAATTCTAATAGATGCCACTGCGGCATGAAGACTCCCAAAATGACTCACCATAATCAAACCAGATACGTATCCACGTCAAAACTTCCCAGGCATATTCTAATTTTTACTTAAAACATTGTCATCTTTACTAGAGCCCGTGTAAATGAATTCGCAAAAAGCAATACGCTACACGATTACTAAATTTCGGAAAAATTTTCAACAGATTTTCCCATTCGTGACGATTTCTTTCGTCATATTATTTTCATTTTCTGCCAATCAGTTGGCAGCTGGAATTGCAGTGGAGAGGCTTTATTAATAAGCTAACACGTTTGTTTGTTAGGTGTCCATTTCTCCATCGAACAGCCGGAGATACAGAGAGACGTTATCATCTAAGATACTACAAGACTTGCATGTGCGTGCATGATACAGATACCCGCGGTTTTTGCGTTAAAAATGGGCCCCATTGTGCATTTGCCCACGGTAATCACGACCTCCGTCCTCCAGTATACGACATCAAAGAGATACAAGCTTTGGAGAATCCCGATTCAGATCCAAATTCATCATCAAATGGACCAAATATTCTGGATAAAGAACGAAACTTGATGAATGAGGATCCAAAATGGCAGGACACTAATTATGTTCTTAGCAATTATAAGACAGAGCCTTGCAAGAGACCACCGAGGCTCTGCCGGCAGGGCTATGCTTGCCCACAGTATCACAACAGCAAAGATAAACGGCGAAGCCCACGAAAATATAAATATCGGTAATTGTTGTACTGCATATGTGTGGACGACCACATGAACAGAGCGCATTATGCCAAAAATCTACTTCAAACGACCGTTAAATACCATTTTTGATCTTTTATTTTATTTTTTCCACTATTAGTCATTTTTCGACATATTTGATTTTTTGCATTAATACCTGGTCTGCAGAAAACGTAATCCTTACATTCTAATTACACGATATAGGAGAGAGTGGGGCAGTGTGGACACTTTCTACATTTTTTGAAATGTCAACAATTCATTGAACTTTTGACGAAACCGGAAAGTTTTCTTGTAAAGTAAAATTATTGCTTTTTGTGAGTTTTTTGGATTTTGTTTTTTTATTGAATTGTTCAAAGAAACGTTTACATTTTTGAGTTACATAATGTGGAATTCAGATTGAATAATGCGTAATTGGAATGATACATTATAATTCCGTAGAATTCAATATGTAAATCGTGTCATTGGAATGTGGGGATTACAATGACTGTAGATAAGGTCTCGATCGAAAACATCACATGTGTCAAGAAATGAAGGGACTCCCGGTTAAAGTAGACCATGATCAATGGTTAATATTGGCTCTTTTCATGTGTCCATGTATCACATTTTCATCGACCTGAGAGTCAATAAAATTAATGATTCGGGTTTGGAAAATTAGCTCAACGCCCTGCCCGAATGTAAAGCACGGAGAGGAATGGGGTGAGCCAGGTAATTGTGAGCAGGGCGACGCCTGTACGTACTGCCATACTCGTACAGAGCAACAATTTCATCCAGAAATTTACAAGTCAACCAAGTGTAATGATGTCCAGCAAGCTGGTTATTGTCCTCGTGGAGTATTCTGCGCCTTCGCACACGTTGACCGTGAGTTTATTCTCCTTAATTGCACGTAAATTTTTCTCGGAAAATATTCACACGTTGATGATTACCAAGAGTCGAACATTTTTTCCACAATCCTAACGTTCATGAATCTATTTTGAGCTTAAAAAATGTTTTTTTATCGCAAAAGGACTCAATGGGCCTGTTTTTTATTCGAGAAATTTGTATCAATCTCCCAATGAACCTGTCGTTCCAGCTATTCAATTGTAAAATTCAAGAAATTCATGTTTTGAACGGACTAAAAATTAAGATTTTATAGCAAACTGCTATCATCGAACGCAGAATATTTTTCGTAAAGTGAAGTTGAATGAAAAATATTTTCAATCCAAATTGGCACCGTCAACGCGAATCATTAGCCTCTTGAGTCAATGTTTCGTTGGTGAGAGCAAAGAAAAAGATCTGTATGTGCATAAACCGAGTAGTACAAAAATTCGGTGGATTTCATCAGATTCTCAAAGTGGTGAAGTCCATGATTCACCGTCTTATCTCAATATTTATGTGCGGGATTTTGTACGATGAAATGAACAAAATTTTATCTTGATAATCATCAGAGGAGTATCCCGGTGATTTCCAAACCTTCTTGTTGATTTGTTTTCGCCTCAGTGTGCATTCTCAATGGTTTTAATTCGCAAATGTAAAATCCTTTGACTCCAAATTAGTAAAAAATCTTGATAACATCTCTATTCCATAGTATTGTGATGTTAGCGGTCATCACTGAAAAATATGACACGGACCACTTATCAATGGATATTTTGTCACTTGGACAATTAATTAGTATATATTAATTAATTAGGTAATTAGTATAGGGGAGAGTGGGGTAAAACGGCCCCTTTTGATTTTTTCAAAAATGTTCACAGCTCATTCAATTTTAAATAAAATGGAATAACTTTTTCTCCATGGAAACTACACTTCTTCCCCTTTAGAATGAGCCTAGACTGATCTCAATTAATGAATTTGTTTCTAACTTATGAATATCACGAAAAAAGTCAAAAGGGGCCGTTTTACCCCACTCTCCCTTACATTAATCATACAATTTATATGATAAATCGTGTATTCTATGATTTTCTAATATTCTTTCTTAGATCATAGGGCTTTGAGTTAATACTTGTCAATGATAAACTGTCATAATGGTTGTTTTCGATTAATTTTCATTCACAGTTGAAGAAAATTTAAAATTTCATGGTCAGTTCAGAAATAACTTTGTGGACGGCAACCGTAAATTTGCTGAGGGGCGGGACAGGGATAAGGAAAAATAATAAATTTTAAAATTTCGCTGCGAATTGAATGAAACTCCTCATTTTTAAGCGGAAAAAAATTGGATTTTCCGATTTCCTTAAATTTCCGATCAAGTAATTGATATTCAGTACCAAATTACGCTGATTTTCCATGAATTTTCTTGATTTTTTGTAATACTTTAAATAAAATTGACAGTTTACATTGAATTTAATCATAAAATTATCGATTTTTGATTACTGAATCCCTTTAAATTTTATGTGTAACTGTTACTTAATGAGTTATCCATGCGATGGATTATCCATATAGGTAATCTGCCCTATGATGAAATTAACAATATTCAGTTGTCATGTAGTGGAATGGAGTGATGAATTATTTCGTGTTGATTAGTGGTAGATTAAAAATTCAAATATTCTAAAACGAAAAAGTCATCTAACGAAATTGATACATTGCAAAATTGTTATGATTTGGCTGACGGAGCAGTGTTGCCAACAGAAGAAATGAGTCTTGCCCGGGATATGGGGGTACCTTTAGATTGTGGCACCAATCTAGCTGATATTCTCAACAGTGCTCTCCCACCTGACAAAAGGTCAATGGAAAAGGACAAGCCACAGAGCGATAGCAGTGTGAGTATGAAAACCTTCTGTTCTCTCGGGTATTGCCACGCTTCTCCCCCCATTCATTGAATAAAAAATTTAACGACTTGTCTGAAAGAGTGAAACGAACGATATAATGATCATTGTCATCAGTTTCCACCATTGCAGAACGGCAGTGGAGAGGTTTCTGAGTCTGCTAGTACAAGTAGCCTTGGAAGTAATAGCTCCCATAGTAAAGCACCCGGAGCACAACTCCATAATTCCAGTTCAAATTCTGGAATAAATCTTTCATCGCAACCAAAGCTCAGTAATATGCTTTATAATCCTGGTTCCCTTTTGCAAATTGTAAGTTTTCAGCGTAATTTAAGGAATTTAGGGCCATATTTCAATGCTGACACATCATTTTCTCAACAAGATAAATTATTATGTACAATAAACTCCAAAGAAATAAAATTCATCACCAAAATCGTTGATTTTATCAATCTTTCGTTCTTCTCGAAGTCACAGGCTTGAATTACAAATTTCCAAATGCATAGTGTACAAGTGAAATTCTGCTTTGTGCTATTTGAGTGGGAGCCGACAATGTTCTGTGAACAAACATGTATGACAACATTGAATAGAAAGGAAATAGAGATTTCCCCAAGATATTTTATCGAATTTCTATTGAAACTGGTATTCGAGTTCTAGGAGAATTCTCTTGAAATTCTTTTGAAAATTTTGTTTGTTTTCTGCACCGATTTTTTCTGAAACTTATGTAAGAAAGACGGTAGATGTTGATTTTTTTAGCATCAATAAATCCATTTGTTCGACCGTTATAGTAATAGTTTCTGCGACGGTTTTGGGCCATAGTCGGTCAGATGCGGGTCGATTTTTTAGAGTTATTTTGTCCCCGTTTTTTCTGTGAAAATTTCCACCACTCTAAATGAAAAATATCGAAAAACCTCGTCCTATTGAATTGAATTCCTCAGAAAACGTTTTTCTATTCAATTTCATCCTCATACACCTCATCCGCGAAGTCTTATCGTAAAATGTGACATACGTCGTGCAAAAGAATTACTTCATCAAGAAATTGATGTGTCATTATTGAAGTCTGCCATAGTGCGCATGGAAACTAGAACTTCACTATAAAAATTGTCCATTACTTGCAGAGTGAAATTCGAAAACAAATGATGGCAATAGAGAGTGATCCACTCCTGACAAAATCGGAGAAGGCTCAACGCAAGCAAAGTCTCTACATAGCCTACGGTCTGAACGGATCACTAGGAAATCACTCATTGACATCAACCGTATCTTCACTATCAACGAATTCATTTTATCCCAATGATACTGTAGAATCTGTTGTTGGTAATGCACTGGACGAGTTGCACTTGGACGATCCATTGAATCTAGTCGATTCAATCCATAGGGATTCAAATTCACCGATCAGTAATTCGATATCAGCTGGACTAGCCAGTTCAGGATTACTCGGGAGTTCAGCACCAGTTAATATACCAAGAATGGCCGAGCGTTCGGGCCTTTCAAATTTTTCACCATCAACTTCAAGTCCATTGCAGCATTTACAATCAGCCGGTTTTCTCACTGGATCAAGATTTTCACATCAGGATTCAATAGAATCGACAATGCCTTTTATGAGCCACTCAGTTTCAGATCCATTCAGCAATCATATCTCACAACTCAGCAGCTCAGCCTCTAAACTCAGTGGCTTCAACAATAGTTTATTTGATTTTGCTAATCAGGGTCTTTCACCTTCACGCACACAACCACTACCAGCATCACCTCTTGTTAATGCATTCTCAGTGAGTCCCAGTAATACGGGATCACTCTCAGAATTGCAGCGATTGAGGGAGGAATTATCGTCAAGTAGGGCTCAACTTGCTACTTGGGATGAGAGAATAAATCAAGCACGTGCGGCATGCGCTGCCTGGCATTTAGAGAGCGAAGAGGCTAAGAGAAAAGCTTCAATTGCTGAACAACAGAGAGACGATGCGCTCATGCAAGTCAAAGCCTTGAGAGTTGAGAATGAGGCTTCTAGTAGTAATGGAACGTATATTCATACGCTCAAAGGAACTGGAGAGTTGAGGAGTTTATCCATAGCCACTTTGAAATCTATTCAATCACAGTTACGACAAGATCTCGAGGAAGTGGAGAAAGTGAGTATTCACGTGGTTGTCTCGTTATTGCATTTATTTATTCTTTTCTTTTTTTTCATTCCTGGGCTTTCCAATTTTCTTCATTGGAGGGAATCAATCTGGGTTAATATTTAATTAGCTTTTCTTGATTAGAAATCAATTAATGGTTCACTGGTGGAAAAATAAATTGATATTTCGTGGACAATGGAGCAGCACTTTTCAGATGAGTTACATTGCATTCGATTTAGCTGAAATTCCAGGGAATTTCACAACTTACTTGAATTTTTAATTTAATTGGGTTTGATAGTTCAACAATATGCACACATTCTGCTTATTTTCGATGCATAATTGAACTTAATTTCAAAATTTCTATTGATTTTCGCAACAAATTGGTATTTTTAATGATGAAGATTTCATAAAATTCCATTGGAAGCACGACTTGTTGAAAAATTCCCAACATTCGCATTAGAAATTTCAGAAAAAATGTCAAAAGTGTATAATTCTCGAGCTGTTGATATTCATCAGGACTGAATGCCCTCATAGAAATTAAACTAATTGTCAAAATCAATTCAGTCGTGACCGAAAGATTGTGTTTCAATGCCATCTTGATCGCGTTACAAAATATTAACGATAGTATTATTTGTTTTTAATTTATGGCCACAGAACGAATGACCTCGTAATTTTAATGTGGTTTATGAATTCAAATATGGAATTGGGACAAGCACTTTTCCATTTTTAAAAACGATTGGTAGATTGCCGCGGTAGTTGTTACCACAAAAAATGTCTATTCACGAGCAAATTTCTGATTTATCATCGAAAAATCCATATCGAGCCTGAAAGAATTCAATTGCCACTTGTTTCGCCTCTAATCCAACGTGTGTATACTTTGACTACAGGTGTTGTATAGGGAAACCGCAACGAAATGCATGGTCTGTGAGGAACAAAATCGCGCTGTTACATTGTCGCCATGTAATCACTATGTGGTATGCTCGACATGTGCGCCTAATCAACGTGAGTGCCCTTACTGCCAGACACCTGTTGTTTCGACAAGTTAGGTCGGGTATTCCCTCGTGTCTTGTCACTCATAATTCATCAAACACGAGGAAATACTGATGAGAAAGAAGATTACTCGTTTTCTTGATTCATTTGTCGTGAGTATCAATAGTTAAACTTCATTTCAGTTCAATCAAAAACTTGTTTTTCTTCGGCTCCTCTTTTAGTTTATATTATTAATGAGAAAAACTGCATTATTCAATGTTTTATGGGTTTGTCGAGGTCTTCAGGGAGATGATAGTTAATTTATCTGTGCGTAGAATACATAAAATAAGTCACTGTGAGCAAAATCAAGTAAATCAGAGGTTAACTAGTATTTCTAAATAAATGTTTGTGACGATAAAATGAGCAAGCAAAGAAGAAGTGGTAGTGAACTACTAATTTTCTTGGCATTCACTCATTTGCATAGTTTCAAGTCACGAGGAGAGTCAGTTTTTATGGTTGTTATGAGCATTATTAAGTATTTTAATATTTTAATATCTTTTGAAAAGTCATTTCATTCAATTGTTTTTACTTATTTTATGTGTTGTTTGCAGAGATCAGTCGAAATATAGAAAAACAAAGAGTATTCAAATTAAATTTTCCATTAGCTGAATGGACAACGAAAGAGAATGATGAACATTGAAGAATGAAGAAGAAAAATAAATTTTTGATTAATAATCCAAATTCTCTGTAAAATCAGAGATGCATTCCTGAATATTTTCTCACATCTTTCAATCCCCGTTTCAGGTAACGTGATAGCACGCAGGATTATTGGAGGCAAGAAAATCATAGGACTAAAAACCCACATTGAAAAGATAATAAGAAGCAAAAAAATTATAATGAATGTAGGTAAACGCAACAAGACAACAACAGAGAATAATATACTTAGGCTTAAGTATATTTCCATCATGCATTACAATAATAGATGACATGTCACATATTTCATTTCGTATGAAATTGTGAACTCCTCATTTGCGGAAAATTATTAAATTTTAGAAAGATATTTTTTTAAATCCCAATGCAATTACAACAATTGCGCAAAATGAAAAACTCATGAATTTTTCAGCTTCAATATTTCTGTTTTCTTAAGATAATTTTTATCAATCGTACTAAAAGGATAAAAAGTAAAAACAAAATTAGATATAATTATGTCTATGTTAATTGAATAATTAGAGAGTTATAATTGTCTAATAAATTGAATTTGTGTGTGTTTTACAATTTTAGATGTAGCATAGAAACAAATTTTAGGATTTTTCAATTGAATCAAAATATATTAATAAAAAAAATCTCAATATAAAATACCCATGTCTATTTTCACGCGCATTAACTCATTAGTGTTCTTTACAAGTACAGCATTTACACAGTTCAAAGGAATAACAATTATTGAACTGGCATTGTTAAATTAGTAAAACGTTATAGAGAGTATGGTATTCGTGCTGGAAGTGCTGTAATATCGGGCTATCGCGCTTACTTGTAATGACCACTCATTCTATCCACTCATCACGAGCGCCACATTTTCATTTATTTGCCAATACTACGTAGACTATTTCTTGACAATAGAAAATTTATGGTATTTAATCGGGCAATTGAGAATTCACTATAATTTTCAAAACCAGTGATAGTTCAATCATAAAACACAGTATCTGCTCCTCACAAAATGGAATTTAAAAACAAAACGTTTTGAGTAACGAAAATGCTGAGTGTTAATAAAAAATAGGAATGATACTCATTCATTATAGCAATAAATAATAAATAATGATGATATAATAATATTATGAGAGGAAAATAAAGATAATAATGAACGAGGAACATTTACAATGTTATCTTACGTATGAATAGGAATATGATAATAATATTTTGAATGATAAAGGTAAATTATTATGGAGAAAATTTTAATGAAGCAGAACAAACAAATTAAAGTAATTGGCGCATGTCGAGGGGAGAGATTGGCCCAGCGGAAAGGCAAACGATGTGTCAGCCTTTACACAGAACATTTGAATTAACAAGAATATACTGTCCACATTGTTGGTTCTATGTCGTGATACTTCATTTTACTTATTCACGGACCAATTCATGTGACAAAACACAAGTAGTTTGAGTATAAAAATATCAACGAAGAAACAAATATTTGCACGAAAGATGAAATAAAGGAGAAAAAAACTTTTACTTATTGTGAATGTGGAATTCCAAATTGATATGGATGATGAGAAGAATATTCAGCACAATATTGTTCGTGAATGGTTGTGTAAGGCACAAAAGGCATTGGCAGAACCAACAACAAGGCAGAATACATTGAAACGAGTTATTTTTTACTTTTGCGATTACTCATATACTCTGAATTTACACGCTTTAACAGATCTACTTGTGCAAATGATTCTTCTCCTTCATTAAAAAGCAATATAACTGTCTCAGCCATCAATTGAACTTTAGTTTGAAGTCTGGGAGAAGATTCAGCTGATTAATTGATAATTAATTAAATTATTGGAAACAAATATTGATGGAAGAATTATCTGCACACTGGACGATTAAAAAAAACATATATTTACGTCTACACATAATCACTAGATTACTATATTCTACGAAGCTAGGCAGTGGAGCGAAAATTTAATATTGTATAAGTTTTGAGATGGGCAGGAATATTGACGAGGATGGAAATGGAAAAAATTATGAGTGAATGATCTTGTGTACAGGAGCGCCATTATTGCATAAACGTAACAATATTCATTGTTTCGCAGAGATATATGTGTAAGAATGAATCAACGTATATTGTTCGCATATGGTGCCATGGAAATATGACGTTGAGAGACCAGAAGAGCACACATGTATCTGTTCAATTTGTGAATTGAAAAAAAAAATAACAAAACAGTTTTATATGCATCACTTGATTGTGAATAATATGGTCGTAATGACCAGCACTGACAAAGAATTTATACAATATCATAATTAAACTGTCTTCCGGAAACATGATGTGTATGTTAGCCTGAGCGACATGAATAAAATTTAATAACATTGAGGAAATAAACGTAGGAGCCAGTGATAACTGCAGAACTATGAATGAATGTTCATCGATTACAATCCTGAGTCATTTTTCGTTTAGGGAAGTTCAAAATTGCATTCGTGAAATCATGGATGAAAAAAATTGAAGAAAAATCTATTCAATCTTATAGAAAACTGTTTTTTTGTGATTTTTTCTATTGAAAATTGTGCATTTTTTCGTGATTTTTTAATAGATATATTTGATATAAAAAATGAATTTTTATTTCCTGGAACATGAACCTTGCAACATTATTTATTCGGTTTTGTAATGAGACAGAAAAAATTTGGAAAACTTATTATCAAAATTTCTTCACGAATGAGTCACATAGGAAAATCAAAATCTATTTATTTTTCAAGGCTGTGGAGTTTTCAATAGGAGTCAACAGAAAACTATTGGAATTTGATAGAAATTCGTTTAAAATTCTATTCAATTTTATCATATGTCATTCTCCATACGTATTCATCATAAAAATTTTCCACGTATACTAAAATTGATATGAACTATTCTGATTTGAATGTAACAGAATTTCCAAAATATTTCCCGAAAATCAACGAAAATTACTCGTCGTTCTGAAGATAATTCTGGGAAAGAGTTGCTATTCACAAAAAGAAGGCAACAAGAATACACTTTACAAAGAGAAGGCAAATAAAACTACATGGAGTCACATTACATGGAGTACATAGATGATATATTCATATAATCACTTCAGTATCATTAAGTCACGTGCTTTTTCTATTTTCAAACTCAGTAAAATTTGAAACGGAAAAATGGATATGCTTCGCGTTAACACGACTGCAGACGACTAATGTACAAATTTGAGATAATTAGTCGAGAGTTTGTATGTTTTCTTGACTGACTTCAACATGTTCTATGTGAATGATAGAATGGTGGGTTTTTTACTCGGAGAATACACGAAAAATGATGGCTAGAGTAGGATTTTATTGGCTTATATCATGTGTTGATTATTTTAACACCATTGCATTTGCTTCATTTATCGAAAATTGTAATAATGGCAGCATATAAGATATTGACAATTCTTCTGAGATCCTTCGTAAATAATTGATCGATTCAGGTTTTGGAATTTTCGAGAAAATGGCACATGCCTATATACTGAGGGGATGATCAGTTCTATCCCAGCAATGAAGATGAAAAATAGTACAAAAAATTTCAATAAATTTTTTTCACTCCCATTTTTTTTGTATGAAATTCGGGTCCGTTCAAATCGCAGATTCACGATTATCAAATTTTTCCCAAATTTTGCACAGTTTCACCCTCATTCGACACTATTTCAAATCACAAATATAATAATAATAGACTAAAGGCCTCGTTGGCGAAATGCGGGCATTTTTTCCACAACAATGGAAAGAATGATTTTAAAAAACAAATGACTGTAGCAAATTCTAATAAATGTCAGTACAAATTGATTCATACATAAAGGGAATCGTTAATCGCACCAGAAAAAAGAGTGCGAAAATAATTATTACGAAAATAAAACTGAAGAATAATAATAATGTTGAGGACTTGTATATTATGTGAAATAATAACCGTGAAAATAGCCGATGAAAATGAATTATTTCACTATTTTCTCGACGACTGGAATAATTCTAGAACGAATTCCATTATTGCTTCTCATGCTATATTATCATAAAAAATGTACATTAATAGATATTGTCAATGAATAAATTTAAATAATTAGAATAACTGTGATTTTAATTATTGGGGGGCATTTCCACATTTTTAATTATGTAATTAAAAATTGTTTAAGCTTTCGAAAATCTATTCTTTTGCATAAAATCGACTTCTGGTAAAGTTATAAACATGAAAAAATTTGCTGCGATTTCCAAAGAATGAGTTTTCAGGTGCTACATTGATCGTTTATTTACGTACATTCATGAATGTATGAAAAAGACTGCAATATTCATATGGCTCGTTTATGAATCTTTCTCAAGAAGTAAACTTTTAAATTTTTTCCTATTTTTTAAATTTTCCCGAGCAGTTTAAAATAGTAGATTTAGACCTTCAAAGTTGAAGAAATTGTGATGTAATAAGTGGATGTTGAAAATTGTTTAAACTTTTGGAAATCTTATTTTTCCACATAAAATCGGTTTCTTCTAGAATTCCAAAGACATAAAAATTTCCCAAGATTCACAAAAAATTATTTGTACAGTCAAAAATGGACTATTTATAGAATATTCAAGGAGAGGCCGTAATCATCAAGCCGTGAAATATTCCGACAAGTTTATGAATCACTTAGTGAAGTACGCTAATAGAAGGATTGAGTTGCTATTAAGACGCTAACGGCGTCTTAACTATTAAAACGATTCGTTAATAGCCAACGAATGGCATTTATAGTTAAGAAGCCCTGTCAACAGCAACTAAACCATTCCACCTTGTCGATGAATGTAAAAACAGCAGAACAGAACATTCCGCTTAAAAACGATTAATAAATATTCTCAAGAAGGAACACCTGGATCCTCCAAGAGAGAATAGATTTTCAGGGCGGGGGGAGATATTTTTTCTTGGAACTGAATTGTTCGAATTGTTTTTATTCCACGTTGGAGTGTTTGCTGTAACTACTTTCCTCGCAAATTTTCCAGAATGTTCCCCACGGTTAAAGCAGAATAATAAAATTCAAGCCCTCAAATTTTGAAAAATAGAGTCAAATGTTCGTTGACCTAGGGTAAAATAGGCTCTAATAGAAGCCCCAATATTTACTACAAATATCATCATCAAAATTGACATGAACTTGGGCAACGTTCGATGAACTTACGTTTTCCTCGACGACGAGCATCAGCTGGACGCATGCGCAGTGATGGAACCCCCTCTCTACATATATCGTGTGCTTTCAGTTCCATCCAGACTCTATAACAAGCTGGTTGCCCCCCGCTTCGCAGTTGATCGTTCGTTCTCTTTTGTGTCACAGTGAAATTTACTTCTGCAACACCACACTTGATCAGGTAAAACAACCTCATTCTTATTTATAAAACCGTTTTTTATCGATTCCCGAGACCGCGACGAGTATTTTTCCGGAAAAATTGAGTGCTAAACTCGGTATTTCGGACGGCACTCGTTATTTTGTTGATAGCGTCTCTCACGCATTGAAAACAGAACAAATACCTCGGCCGCCATTTTGTGCATTTACTTGCTTTTGGAGGGAAATTGTACACCGATCGCCCGGACGCTATTTTCCGCTTTCCCACATGGTTCTGACTCTGGCGACCAACGAATTACCATTGAATTCATTTCAATCCTCCGTATATTGCACGAAAACCCATTTTTACTTCGCCAATAGAATATTTCACCGCGAAAATTGGAGCCTTAGCCCCATTTCTTTTATCTTCCCTCGGACGTTGTTTCGGAGAATAACAATGACGACGAATTCTCAGTACTGATGATGAATGTGTAAACTATGATATAAATGGATTGATGATTGTTGTTGGTTGAATTTCGTAGAAATGGCTCGTACCAAGCAGACAGCTCGTAAATCGACTGGAGGAAAGGCTCCTAGGAAGCAGTTGGCTACTAAAGCTGCACGTAAGAGTGCCCCCTCGACAGGAGGTGTGAAGAAGCCACATCGTTACAGGTAATTCTAGAATATTCACTATTTTTTTTTTGAGAGTTGATTCGACCGTGATTCATATTTAGAGCTCTCACTGTTATCAATTGATTTGTTTCATCTTATTTATTTTTCTTCACGTTTATATTCTCTCGGGTTTCCACATTTCGTTACCTTCCCTTTCCCTTTAGCAACTCGTGGTATAACAAATCGCTGCCGGCCGAAATGTTATAAAATACAGAATGTTCGTAAAAAAACCGAGTAAATGAAGCTAAAAATCCGACATTTTCTTGGCACATGTCATGTTTTCCATTAAGGATAACAAAAGGCCATAAATTACTCAAAATTTTCAAACAAGTTTGGTATGGAAAATTATCAATATTTGTTAAAAACAAAGCACATTAAGCACATCTTTACCATCACCTTCTGGAAGTCAATAGACTTTGGTTTTTAACAATATTGACGACTTTTCATGACAGACGTCCATGACCCCTTAATTATACGATAACGAATTCTGCTAAATTGTTATGTACGATTAAGACTACACTTTTTGCAATCTGAATTCAAAATTATACAATTAAAACATTGTTAATGTTCAATTTATTGTGCACAATTTGACATGTACAGGAGAGGGTGGGGCAATATGGACACTTGACTTTTTTTAAATGTTCATAACTCAGGAACAAATTCAGCAATTGAACTCAGTCGAAGCTCATCACAAAAGGGAAGAATTGTACTTTTCACAGAAGAAAAATTATCCTCTTTTGTTAATAATTCAATGAGTCATCAACATTTGAAAAGAAGTCGGAAGTGTCCATATTGCCCCACCCTCCGCTAATTCAAGAAAGAGACAAATTTCATAAAACTAAAGCCAGAATTGGGAATTTTTTTTCCTTCAATTCCACGTCCTGAAAGTCTACTCGTCAAATTGCGCACAATGAATTAACCCATTGCTTCGCGCAAGTCTCGAATCGTCTCGGTGTGAGAGGAGTGGGGGTCCATCCGAGATTAGTACGCCATAAGAGAAGCACGCTGGCGCACGCTCACCACTACAAAACGGGGAAAAGTGGGGTACCGTGACACGAAGCAAAGGGTCAAACATTTCCAATCTTGAATTATAGAATGTGGAATTCAGATTTCACAATGTGTAATTGTATTATCACATTACGTGAGGATTAAAATTTCTGGGAACAAGATCTTAATGAACAAACTGAAATGTGAAACCGTTTGGTCGATAAAATGTTGTTAAAATTCGCCGAAAACCCCGAACATTGAGATAATATCAATAATGTAAGAGAACTAAACCATGGAAAATTACTTTTTGTTACTCAGGCCTGGAACTGTAGCTCTTCGTGAGATCAGGAGATACCAGAAGTCGACAGAGTTGCTCATCAGGAAGTTGCCCTTCCAACGTTTGGTTCGTGAGATCGCTCAGGACTTCAAAACTGACTTACGTTTCCAGAGTGCAGCCATCGGTGCCCTTCAGGAAGCCTCCGAAGCATACTTGGTCGGTCTCTTCGAGGACACAAACTTGTGTGCAATCCACGCCAAACGTGTCACCATTATGCCCAAGGACATCCAACTGGCTCGCAGAATCCGTGGTGAAAGAGCCTAAACACATCATCGAACTGAGCCTGACTCGTTCGGTGAATTCCCATGTCATCATTACGATAAATTTATTTCCATCACTATTTCGTTTTATTCTCATGGATTTTTCTTTCGAAATACTCTACAAGTTACCTTCAAATTCTTATATTTTCTCCCGTTTATCATTCAATTTATAATTTCGATAAGCATAATCGTCACTGCCAAGCACTTAAGACCGGCACATCTTATAGAAAATATCAAAACTAGATGAAGGAAATCATTAATACTAATATTAAAGAAGCTTCTTCACGAGAGTTCATCACAAACGAATACTCTGGGCATTGCATAAACAGGATAAATTCAATACTGTCTATGGAATCGCAGATAGTCCTGTGGGATGTAATGTTTGTGTCGAATAATCATGATTTGGCTTCGTCTCGTCGCAATGCAAGTTTACCTCTAGAGATTTCAAAAAATACGAAGGAGAAGTTAACTCCAGTTTGCAATTCTTCATCAAGAATTTCACACTTTGACAAGAAAGTTTAACTAGCATGTCCTTGCATTGTGACGCCTTTTGTTAGCACATAAAGTTATCACAGAATGAAAACTGAAAATATTCATTCGAAACTGTTCTTATGTACAAGTAGAATAAACTTAATATTACGTAATTTTAGTAGACAAAGAGAACTAGAGGTACATTTATTGATATGTAAGCGTAACGGTATATTCACAGTCTAAAATCGTTCGAATTATCACGAAGAGTTTTTTAATTCTGGTTAACTAGGGAAACAATTAACAGTGTAAAATCAACAATAACAGATTTTGTTTAAATTTCGTAGAGTTTGAGTTTTGTCGTGATGAAAATTCATAACATTTGAAATCTCACTATAACAGGATTATATGTAAACGACTATCTATAGACGATGTATATTATATAATGACTCAATAATAATCGCAATAAAAATCTTGACAGATATGAAATTTTTTTCCTCCTTCATGAATCATCGTTGGGGAGATTTTCCGCCATTACGAGGGCAACAACTCCATTTTACGGGAAATCATGCAACTTTTTGTCGTGATGGAAGAATAACAGATGAATGAATGAATTTAATTGAAAACCCTGACGCTTTTTCTAAGAAATTCTACTGCATTTTAATTGAGAAAGGCCCATAGATGCTGATTTCTTCACAATTTATTATTCTGATGGCATTTCTTTATGATTCAATAATAATCACAATGAAAGTCGTTAGGGATATGGAATAGTTTTTTTCTCCTGCATGAATTATCATTGGATCGATTTTCCGTCATTACGAGGCCAACGATTCCAGTTCATGGGGAATAATGCAGCATTTTATAGTGATGGAAGTATATAATACGTGGAAGAATAAATTCAGTAGAAAAACCTGACGCTTTTTTTGAGGAATGCAATTGAATTTCTATCGAGAGCAGCTGGAATACTTCAATGGAATTATATTGCAGAGTTCCATTAATTTCTCGTCAATTCCACAAAAAATGATGCAACTCGTATTTTTTTTACTAAGACAATCCCAGACATGTTGATTTCTTCATACAATTTCTTACTCTGTAGGAATTTTTTTAATACAAATTCTGGATATATGAATTTTCAGTTTTTTCTCCAGGTTTTTTAATGAGAAAGTAATAAAATTAGAGCGAAGAAAGAGCTAGACAATTTATATCCAAGAATTTCCAGAGAAAAATGAGAATCTAGTGGCTCTTCTCCACCAAATGTCTATCAAAAAATGACCCGGAAAAGTTGCTCAATCTTCACTAGACGCATTCACCAGAATTCCAATAAAAATTGAAGAAAATTCCTCAGAGAGAGCGTCAACTCTTTCAGCTAAATTTTTCCATACGTCTACTAATTACCTCGCAATTCATCAAGATAAAATGAGAAAGGGCGAATATTTCCCAAAAGCGGAGCAGATGAGATCTTCACAGAAGAGAATGAGTTAATTATTCAGTCCAGGCTCATTCCACCGCAAAATGCTAGTCATTTCCCCAAAAAACCCATTTAATTTCCAATTCAGTGAGTTATTAAAAAAAAAAGAAGTGCCCATTTGGCCTCCTCCCCTCGTCTAGCCCCTGCACGCTAGGCGATGATCGCTACAGTAAGTGCAGAGACAGCCCAAAGAGGGGGAAGAGATCCCAATCGAGAAATGCACGTAACAATAACAACAGCAAGAGCGATGCATGAGGTTTTCCCCAATTGTGGGTGCAGGCTCTAGATAGAGATTGACGTAAACTTAGCGGGTTCCGAGCCCCTCCACCAATCGTCAACAGCGTTTTACGGGTAGTTAACAATACGTGCCCAGTGATTGGTGGAAATGGAGCCCGCGGGCTTACGTGCTGCTCGCAATTCAATTGCCCGGGTGGTGGGAGGCAAGGGAGAGGTGGTGGTTGCCGAGTGCCCCGTGAGGACTTGTGTATGCCTGTTTGGAAGAGCGTCCACTGCCATCGAAGTACAAGGAAACTCGGTCTGGGTTCTGACATTTAACGAGGAATTTCTCCACACAAGGTGAGTATTTCGATCAAAATTGTCGTTATCCTTTGCCCCCGCGGGTTGTGTGTCGAGTAATGATGTTTAGTGCGATGAGAGTGACGGATTTATGGGGAAAATCCATGGAAAATCTGTCGACTGTGGCCTGTGCCACGGATGTATTGCCGTTGCCACCATTTTGTAATTGACGTTTGGAGGGAACTGTGGAACTGTGTCTCACGGCCCACTAAATTCATCAATTCAACACCATTTTTTCGATGGACATGTGAGGTGGACGTCTCTCTGATCGTTGAGTCCTGATTCCAGTGCTATCGGTCGGAATTAAATTCACGGTGTCAGGGAATGATTGGTTCCGGGGAAGTAGACGAAAGTAGGCGCGAGGGGGAGGGAAAATAAAGCAATGGTTTTTCTATTGTTCGCCGATTCAGTGCAGGACGAGTTGGTTATTGCGCAACTCCAAGTTTCCCACTTATTTCTCCGCTGGACGTAAACTGACTCAACTCTCGTGTTGTATTTCTCGCCACAACTGATTCTATCCGGGATTAGCAGTATAGGTATGACAACAAATGGGTCTTGATGGGGATTATCGGTGCTATCGTGAATTTTAATTTCCGTTGTTAACCATTCTCCATTGTAATTCGGGGTCTCGGTGGGGTGTTGTGACTTCTGCGTTTGATGGGCGAATTGAGTGAAGTGGTGATTGCTGTTGCGTGGAAGTAACGATATTCATGTGTTTTTCTGGCGTGTTTGGGTTCTAGATTTTGAAAAATGGCACGTACAAAGCAGACAGCCCGTAAATCAACTGGAGGAAAAGCTCCTCGTAAGCAGTTGGCTACCAAAGCTGCACGTAAGAGTGCACCTTCCACTGGTGGTGTCAAGAAGCCTCATCGTTACAGGTTCGCATATTCATATTTTTATTCATGATTTTTTTATTTATTTATTCCGTTTATGCCCTTTTGGGTCGTCCCACTTCGTTGTTTCTCACTTCATGTCAAGTTATGGAAAATAAAAATTCGGAATATATTATCTTTTTTTTTATGTTTGAGTAGATATTACCCACAATGGAGACTCCTCATTTTTTTATGCATAGGGGAGGTTGGGGTAAAACGAACACTTGAATTTTTTTTTAAAGTTAATGATGGGTTCAAATGTTGGTAAAATTTAATATTTTTCTCTTCATTGCAAAGAACAGTTCTTTCCATTTGTGATGAGCCTAAGCTGAGCTCAATTGATCAATTTGTTTCTGAGTTATGAGTAATTAGAACAAAAGTCTAAAGTGTCCATTTTACCCCACTCTCCCCTACTTAATCTATTATCTATTAAAGTAGGGGAGGATGGGGCCAAATGGATACGTTTGACTTGAAAAAAATGTATAACTTGAGTAAATTATTCAAGTGAGCTCAGTCTGGATTCACCACAAAGAGGAAGAATTGTACTTTACAAGGAAAAAATATTCCGTTGTAAAAATGACAATTGTCTATTATCCCATTCTCCTCATTCTTTTGTTTTCCTTGAGTTCCACACGTGCAATTATGACTACACAATATGTAATTGAACTCGTACACCACAATTTAGTAAAATTCAATATGTCAATTGTGAAATTAGAATGTGAGGTTTACAATTTCTGTAGGTAATATCCTAATACAAAGCATGAAATGTCAGAATCTGAAGGACTCCACTGCGTGTAATAGATAATTTTACGAATAAAATGGAGAAGTAAATAACTGAAGAAATTGATTAAACAAAAGATTCCTGGGATCCAAAAAAATTGAATATTTTACGAATTATGCATTCTTGTCTAAAGAATCCCCCAATTATCTTCTAAAACTTCAACTCCTGAATTGTTTTGATCCTAAAAAACTGTCAGTTACTCATTGAATTTTTTAAATAAATTAATAGATGAATTAATTAGACTAATTAGATGAATTTTTGTTCATAGGCCTGGTACAGTAGCACTTCGTGAGATCAGGAGATACCAGAAGTCGACTGAATTGCTCATTAGAAAATTGCCATTCCAACGATTGGTTCGTGAAATTGCACAGGATTTCAAAACTGACTTACGTTTCCAGAGTGCAGCAATTGGTGCGCTTCAGGAAGCCTCTGAAGCTTACCTGGTTGGTCTCTTCGAAGACACCAACTTGTGTGCAATTCATGCCAAGCGTGTCACCATTATGCCCAAGGACATCCAACTGGCTCGACGAATTCGCGGAGAGCGCGCTTAAATAGCATTATCTTTCATCATCATATGCATACCCTTTATTCTTAACGTAAGGATAATGACAATTCATCGTGATCCATGGATTCATATTATTTTTTATATATTTTCCCTCATTCCAATTTTAGGACTCGATTTGTATCAAAATTCATCAGTTGATGGTACTCACTCTGTGAGCACATGATCCTTTGTAACTAAATATTTCGATGATAACATCAGTTTCATCATTAATTGGACTTACTCTACCAAATGTAGATCTGTGTTGGCTTGTTTTATATCTACGATGAATATAGCTATGTACTGTCATTAATATCATCATAATCGCATTGAAAAACATGCATGCTCCAGCGATGTCATAGGGAGTCAGAAAATAGTTGATCAGAAATCCAGAAAAACTTGAATTTAAACATGGGAGATCCACGATTTTCGGCTGCGTCCATATTGAGTAAATCATCTAGAGTATATTTCGATATTTCATAATCCATTGTGTGAAAAAAAGTTTCATAAATAAATTTTCTGAATGTGAATCGTGTTCTCATATCTCTTACTTTAAAAAACAAACCCAGTAGTATTTTATTTTCTATTTTTATTGGAATTTTACAGAATTCTATTGAAATGAGTGAACAATTTATTTTTTACATTTTGATGAGTCAATGATGAGTATAATTCATTAAAAATAAATCGCTTGTGTTAACTGAAATACATATTGATTCTTATTAAAACATACAAAAGAGAGTTCCAATTTTCAATGAAATTTAAATTTACAATTCTAGAATAAATACATGGAAAAATGGGGCGGACGTGATTAATTGAATAGATTCTATTGCGCATTTGCGGATGAGAGTACAGCACACCATGATATTACATTAATTAGCTTTACTATCTCAAAGGAATATTTTGAGATTTCCAGAAATATAATTCATCATTTTTATAAACTATGAGAGTGAAGAGAACATAAAAAAGACATTGGAGTTAAGCATTGTGTACATTCCACAAATATAAATATGGTTAACATTTTCTGACCGGCGAAACTAATTTTAGACCAGAGGATTTCATTTCGTTTACACATTTTCTTTTCCATTCTTCTCAATATTTCTAGGTCTACTGCGAGAGGATTCCACTCTCTCTTCCTCCTTCCATGAAAAAATTTCCTATCGGCACTGGTAATTGGTAGCTAAAAGAGAACTGGTCATTTTCACCAGCTGAGATTCTGTAATATATTATTTATGCTATTGAATACATCTATATTTACAATTCGCTGGTTTTACTCAAACTTCGTAATAACGAAATATTCGATTTTTCTTTCATTGAAATACTTTTCAGTCTAGTCTGCCAATTATTCATGACATGAAAGAAAGACACGTACGATAAAAATTAATTGAAAAACCTGGTGTTTCCTCCGAGAAATTCTATCTAAATTCTGTCTATGAATTTTCCGAGTTTTTCCTCTTGAATTTTATTATGAGAAACAAATAAAAAAAACAGCTGAAAAAACTTAGAAAATCTGTGCTCAAGAATTTCTATAGAAAAGTCAAAATCTATTGACTTTTTTCTAGCAAATACTCTTCGAAAAATGACAGTAGAGTTACATAATATTTATTACAATTGGCACAAAACTCCAATAGAATTTCTTAGAGAAAGCACTAGGTAAATCTCTGAAATTTTTTCATACGTGTAAAATTGATTGAAATTGCACGTTTTGAAAGAATAGATTTTTTATTGCATAAAATGTAATATGCCAAGTGAATAGCTCCGTAATGACATAAAATGATAAGAATGGCATGTTGATTTTCTTCTCATAAAATTTTTTCTCAATAAATCACTTAATTTCATCACGGTATCGGTACACACTGGTTATCAATGTTATCACTTCATAATCGAATGTGGTTGTTGTTTCCTGAGGCCAGGCCGCGCACTTGCCGTCTAGTCCTGGTTTGAACAAAGTTAAAAACATTTTTCTTTATACTGGAATGAAGAAGCAATATCGAATGCTAAAACAGGAAGACGAGGAAAATATCAATGACCAACATAACACTAGTATAAAAAAATTCCCTCTTAATCGGCAAGTTAATAATGCCACATACTTCGGACCACATGCTCCGTGTGAAAAAGTGATTGTTTTTGCTTCTTTGCTATTGAAAGTAAAACATGAAGCATGCAAAATCTGCGCAGTGCTCATTTATACAGAACATACGGAGAGATTTGAATAACAACTTGTTATTTTTACATAAAATTACTGTTGTAATGATTGTTTAGGTACTAAACTAAATATCAGATGATAAATTATTTAGTAATGAATAAAATTATTATTCACATTTAGGAAATTTGATAGAATATCTAGTACAGTGGCTAAAAAATTCAATTAGAAATGCTATTAGTTTTTTTGTTATAGTTGCTTGTGAAAATTATGTAATTTCGTCGTGTGATTTTGCAATTTCTGTCAAATAGAAAAATTACGATCTACTCACTGGTGCAAAACGAATCGAATTTCCTAGCAGAAGTGCTAGATTTTTCCATCAAATTTTTTTCTACATGTTGTTAAACAACTGAACATACAAAAAATATACTAATTTTCCTCGAAAATGCAAACTAACGAGTCTCGATACACTGTTAAAAAATTGCCTGAAATTTCTGGTACATTTTTTTGAAATTTGTGTCACATTCAAGTTTCACTGAAATTTCAAGGATTTTCGAAAATCAATGGAAGCTGAAAATTTCAGTTCAGTGATTCCTCGAAAATCAGAAAAATCCAACAAAATATACAATTTCAGGATTTTTCCTCCAAATCGAATGCAATCCCTCCTAAAATTACTAGTTCACCGTCCACGAAATTTCATTTTTTTACCAGTGTACATCTTGATACTCTGTGGCTCTATTGAGTATTATCCAAATGAGATTATGCAGTATATTTAAAACGTAATGTAAAAATGCACGAATAAATCACCAATGGATTCAAAGAATTATCTTGCAAGTGTCGAAGAGTTCATACAAACAGTGGTGTAAAAGTAATTGCAGGTACTAGCATGATTGGCATATCGAGGATTGATTCTTCAGCCTTTCACGAGACATCCAGGTGCAAAACATGTAAAGTTACAATGACCAATTCTATGGTTACCTGTATAAATCCCTCATAGCCTGATCCTCACGAGACGCATTCCTGCAAGTGTTGAGCTTATTCTCCAGAGCCTTCATGGAACAAACAAAGACGGAGATTTAGCGAATTATCGAGAAAATAATAAAACTAATAATAGTCGATCAATGGTGCTATGTGTACACTTCAGGAGTTGAAGAATGTTAATCATTCGAGATGAGTGATGCAATAATACTGAGAGATACAAGCAGTGGACAGTTAGTACTGTAAATGTGGTACAGGAGCAAATAAAAAAAATAAAAAACAAGGACCTGGGTGTTTAAGTGGGGTGCAACCAGTGTCTACATGTTTAAAGTCTCTCAGCACTTGGTCGGCTTGGGTTGATGGTCAATACATTGAACCGGCTGAGCCGCTTCGATGGTTTCCTTTTTATTGCCATTGAGGCATGTACATTTGACCTTCCTACACTCCATGCAGACCCACCTGTTAAGCTACCAAAACACCAGCTACATCACACTAATTTGCAATGCAAAATCATAAAACTTCGTACATTACAGAACAATTCGGCACACTTCAACAACGCGAAAGCATTACCTTGGCAAAGTAACTGACGACACTGTGGAGTTTTTCATTTTTTCATACATGTGATGGTTTTGCCGTTCTAATAACGCACATAACATATTGAATTGAATTCTACAAAATTGCAATGCAACATCTAAATTATTCTAATTATTGTGTAATTTTTGTATTAGAAAATTTACTGTATAAATAATTTGTGTAATTATAGTGTTATGGAATTGGCACATTTCAATTCAGGAAAATTCAATATGTATATTATAGTCGTCCTCTTCTCCATAATTATTATTTTTTCAAAATAAACAACTTGAGGTAGTTCGTCACTAGACCATAGAGCAGTATCTGAAGCTTTTCCATTCATAAAAAAGAATAACTATGTACGAGAGCTTCGTGACCTAATGCAAATCATCAAATGTGTCACAAAATCAAAAAATTCCATTCGTCTGTAATAAGTCATTTTATTGAAAATGGTGCGTTGGTGTTGAAGAATACCAAAAATATAAAACAATAATGGGATAGGATTAAGGAACGGTGTGTTGTGAAATTGCTCCTATACTTGGGATATGGTTCACAATAGATGGAGAATAAAAAGACTCACTACGCATGCTTTACGAGTAAAAGGGTACTCACCCCAACTTTTCGCATAAGATCGCCAATCATGTTCATCGCTAATATCCTCGTCGATGGGGCCATTGGCATGTTCATGTTGTTGTTGATAACACCGTTGTCAACTGGCATCAAGGGAAAAGAAATGTTTTATTTTAAAATTTAAGCAACTTCAATCGGATTCAATTGCATTTTACAAATAAATAAATTAATTTTGTCAATGAAAAAAAAATCAAAGAAAAAAAACTACGAAACAAAGTGATAAGATTAAAGAAAAAGCTTTATTCAAAAGTAATACAAAAGAATACAGACTTCTCAACGGAATTGAGAAAATCTAGAGCAAAAGACAAAGTACAAGGATGGAATTAATCTAAGAATTTGAAATAAACCGGTATTGAGGTGATGAGGTTGCTTCGTCAATGTTCAGTGTACCTCAAGTAAAAGTCTTGCGAAGACTCTGAACATTTATAGGTTCATTTGACTCTACTCCTTGGGAGCAACGCGCGCAATGGCCTCTTAGGACGTGAGAAGAAATGTTTCGTTTTACGTAAAACATTATGCATCTTACTTTTCAAGGGTGACTGCGTATGACCCGTGCTCGATAGATTCTGCTCAGTGAGTGGCAGGATCGTCTCTCGCTCGACATGCAGCTTGTTACTGTCTACCAGTGTGCGCACTTTGTCCGCTGATTTGTCATTGTCAGCCATATGTCGTTTCAACACGTTAAACTCTTGTTTGAGATCTGTGGAATTAAAAAGGCCAATTCCATTAGCTCATCATTATGTGTTAATGATATTATTAAATAGTAATGAGGGCCATTTAAATTACATTTTGTAAGAAATCACTTTTTTAAAACATTCCATTCATATGACTGAATAATGGAAATTTTCTCGACATTTATAAATCTTTTTTTATATGACATTAAGTGTTTACATATTATTGTGAATGTTAATATTATTTAATGAACCTTAATCAAAAAGTGAAATCTCCATTTTTGTAAGATATTTAAAGTATTTTCGAACAATTAAAAAAGAAGATTCGAATGTAAATCTTCAAAGTCTAGATGACAAAATAATGAGATGGGGCTTAAATAGAAATCCTGATGTTCAACACCAAATATTCAAGAAAATTTGAACGATAAAAATATCAGAGATACACCCACCTCTGTTTTCGTCCATTAATCGTTGCACAATGATCTTCAGACTTTCTTTTTCATCTAGCTCAGACTCCAGAAGTGCATTCTTTTCAATAGCTGAATTGAACTTGGCTTCTATTGCCTCTTCTGTTGCCATATTTATTCTGTGAATGGAAAGATCGTTAGAGTAAAGTAATTAACAGGATAAATATGCATGAGATAGGGGATTTACCTGTGAGCTCTCTCCAAATCATCATTTTTCTGTTCCAATTCCCGTATGTACTTGACAAGCTGCTCGTGTTGAACCTCGAGTTCAGACGCCCTCGTTTGGAAACCCGCACAATCCGCTGTTTGTTGGTCCAGTCGTGCCCTCAACTGCTCTATCTCAGTGGCTAATCTCGCATTCCTCTGGCGCAACTCCCTGTTACTCTTCTCAGATTGTTCCAACGATGTCTCCAGCTCTTTCTCCAGCATCTGCGAATTCTCTTGGAACTCCTCCAACTCGTGCTCGACATCCTCCTTCCTATTGAGTGTCAATACATTGATTAAAATCGAGGGCTAATTAATTCGCAGTGTCTTGGGTCAATTGTGAATTACCGTTGGTACATCTGCTGGGCCAACTCCATCCAATACTGAATCTCATCATCTTTCGAGGTGAATTGTGGAATATCAAGATCCATTTTTGCAGTTCTTCTTTGCAATTCTTCAACCAATTTTTAGGACACGAAGTTGAATCACTGGTTCACTGACGAGATTGCATTTTCTGAAACACATTGTCAGTTCCAATTATTTGTGGAAAATCAACAATGACAATAGGTGAGAAGCAATTATTCTTTTCGTGTAAGTAAATATCAGAATAATATTAAAGGCCACCTCGCAGACGAAACTACATTTTTTGGAGCACACTGTTACGTTTAATAGCTCCAGTAAATCCAGAAGAAGAAAGAACGATTTTTCTCGTGTGAGTGAAGATCAGAATGAAAGCATTTAGAAGAGAATAAGGTGAAGCTCAGTCTACTCATGACTTGAAAATGTTCAGCGTCATGGAAATGAGAGTGTGAATATACTCCCACGATCAGCGGTTCCCTAAAAAGGAGATTTATACGTCTCCACTGTAATGATGATGATTAACATTCTTCTTCATGTCTTTTGAAAAATTTTTAATCAATGTTTAGGGCACGAATCCAACAATGATGATGGAGCAAGGATGGACAACTGCTTAACAAACACGAACAGAAAGAGAAACAATTATTCTCTTCATGTAAACAAATATCAGAATGATACAATTTAGGAGAAAATACGAGTGTTGCAGTAGAATCTTTTTCATTACTTTTTAATCAATGTTTGGGACACAATGTTAAATGGCCTCACATCGTTGCCTCCAATAATCTCAATAAATCCAACAATAACAATGGAGCAAGGATGTACAACTGCATAATAAACACCAACAGAAGGAGAAACAATTATTCTCCTCATGTAAACAAATACCAGAATAATATACTTCACGAAGATACGAGTGTTGCAATACACTCCCACGATCACTAGTTCCCCAACAATGCGATCCAGCTAGTCCATGTTGAGCCAATGTTGATAACAATAGACAAATCCATCCCCTCACTCATTCTTTAATTCCGTATTTTGTCTACATACCAGTGGCAAAATACTTCTGCAATCGACTGTAATGGTGCTCATCAGTCTTTTTCATTATTTTGTAATCAATGTTTGGGACACAATGTTAAATAGAGCAAGGATGGACAACTGCATAATAAACACCAACAGAAGGAGAAACAATTATTCTCCTCATGTAAACAAATACCAGAATAATGTAATTCACGAAAATACGAGTGTTGCAATACACTCCCACGATCACTAGTTCCCCAACAATGCGATCCAGCTAGTCCATGTTGAGCCAATGTTGATAACAATAGACAAATCGATGCCCTCACTTATTCTTCAGTTCCGTATTTTGTCGACATACCCGTGGCAAAATACTTCTACAGACTTCCCATTCATCCAGCCATCGAGAATCAGAAGGAAATGACATTACACAAAACATCGTCACTGAATTCCTAACGGCTAAAATCTCTGCGTGACATTTGTCACGTGACCGGGGACTTGAACTCGTATTGAAACTTGACAGGCCCTTTAAAACCCACTCCCTCTTGCAACATTCAAGTCTGTGATGCCTGTTATGAGGATGAAATGGTAATTACTCACGTACAACGTCAAGCTGTCGGATTATTCAGAGCCACATAGTTTTTAGTAATACATGACGACAAGATGGCGAATGCGAAGAACCACTGTGGATTGTAAAACGTAATATGGCCCTCAGGTGCCACCAGTTCCCTGAAATAACGCTCCGGCGACGGGTGGCGTTGGCTATCGTGTCCATCTAGTGCAGACGTTACGCACTAGTTCAATTCAGAAAGTCTTTTGTGGATGGATGAGAACAAAAGTTTTCTTTTCACTCAAAAAATTATAATGTCGCCGAGATTTGTTTGGTTGATGAAGAGAACGTGAGCCTCTTCAGGTGATTAGTGGGTGAGTTACTTTGACTCTGGAATTGATGAGATCAAACGGAAATTATTTAGTGAATGATAATTGTACCGTGTTTACAAACATAAACAATACCGGAAATAGCGAGTGGGAAAAAAATTGATGGGAAATTCTGTTGAGGAGTCAATTTGTTTTTTGCCAATTTTATTGAGAAAAAAATTGGGGATTTTTGATTGAATGTTTTCTATAGAATTTTTGGGTGGAAAGAAGCGGAGATAGGCTGCGGAATTTTTCAATAGAATCGGCGAAAAATTAATAGAACGTTCTCGGATTAATAGAAATCCGATAGAATTTTCTAGCGAATTGGCTAGGATCTTCTATGAATTTTTTTCTCTCTCTTTTTTTTATCTCTCTTTTCTTGGAGCAGCGGAATTTCTACAGAAAACATCTCAAAAGAATAAGTTTTTCAGAAAAATCCAATTCCATTGATTTTATTCTACAGATTCGCTGACCAATTACAGAATGGACTCACAAAATTTAAGTGACGGTATCGTAATTTTTCACAGGAGATTCAGATAAAAATTACGGAATGCTCTGGAAAAATTCCGTTACAGTTCCGTAAAATTGCCTACAACCACATTTCGCTTCGGAATTACGGAAAAGATACGTAATTTTTACTGAATATTTCTCTCCGTGAGAACACGCACGAAAAAATTTAATAGAAAAACCTATCGAATTCGTTAGAAAATTCTATTGAATTTCTATTAAACTTTCTATTAGTTTTTGGCTGATTCCATTGACATGTTCAGTACAAAAAATTCAATAGAAAAAGTTAACAGAATTCGATATTTCTATATAACTTATTCTTTTCATATATTTTCTATAGAATCTGCTCGACTCAAATTTTCTAAGTTTTTGTCATTCTATTTTTCTTGTCTTCTCATCAATAAAATCAAACGAAAAAACTTAGAAAATTGGAGCCGACGAAATTCTCCAGAAAATATCTCAATAGAATGAGTTATATAAAAAAATTGACTTCTATTGACTTGTCCACTGAATATTTTCTATTGAACATTTCAACAGAATCGGCCAAAAACAAATAGAACAGTTCAATGCAAATTCAATAGAATTTTCCAACGAATTCGATAGGTTTCTCTATTAAATTTTTTCGTCCGTGAAGCAGGATGTCAACGCGCAAGCTATACCACGTAATCCATGCCCTTTGCAACAATCCCCCTGTAACGTACACCAAATCCGGCGTAAGACCCCCGACAGGACAAGAGAAATTCGAATATGTAGTGAAAAATGAGAAACAACAACAGCGAGTGTCATTGACACCGGACAATCCCGAAAATAAAAATTCCGTAAAATAAAATTGAAGGAAAAAGTGTATGTTTACATATGAGGGGAGAGAGCTGAGATGTGCCCAGTGGTAGCATCTGTTCTCGCTAGAACGACTAGGGACAAGAGCACGGGGACGACCGGGTGGGGCGATAGCTCGCCGCTACTGTAACACCGCGCAGTGCGCAACGCACACACGAAATCAGTCGATTGTTGGGCTTTGGCTGGGTGCCGCGCAAGCTCACGCTTTTCGCGAGTTCTGTGTACACGGCATCAGCGTCTTGGGCAGTGCTCATCGCAATTCCGTTCAATATATCCGCCTGTCCCCCGGAATACAAGGATTCCAGTAAATAATACCGGTTTTCATTCATTCTTTGCTCGGTGAAATAAAAATATTCAGTGGCTCATATCAGTGGTCCCCGGTAATTAGCGCTTGGCTCTTCTCTTTCTGGAGTAAACAACAGATATCCAGTGCTAAACAATGAGTACTCCAGTGAAAAAAGTGCCGATTCACTTGCAGGTGAAGTATTTAATCCAATTGTTCTCAAAATTACATTTATTTTTACTTCAGCATTGAAGCGGCTGAATATTCACGCACCTGTTCAATCGCTATCGCACATCCTTCCACCTGTTAAACTGGACAGAGTCGCTCTTGTCCGTTCAATTTACCATTGATCACCTGTTATTTATTCTTTGAATTACTCGCATTAGAATAGGGTAATCTACTTGTTGCATGATAATTTTACAGGTTTACGGCTAACAAACAGAAAATGTACTAGAGGCGAATGGATATTTTATTACGTGTGATGGCTATTTTATTATGTAATTGTATTGGGCACCGTAGTCATTAAGGTTTTGAATAATTAGACGTGAATTACTTCGATTACTGTTCACGCTGAGTGGACCCTACCCACGCTTGTTACATACGCGTTAATCCATTGGACATTGAGACTGTTGCGTAACCCACCTATACCATCACGTTATTTGGGAATATCAATGCTGCATTTACCTAGATTTCGGTGCCAACATAGGCGGATAAGATAAAAAATTTCGAGGGGTCATTGGTTGCACGCGTGCTATGAGTCTCGTAATACCTCTCTGAGGTGCTAAGTATCCACTTCAAGACACTCGAGTCTCGAAGATACAGATGATTATTGGAGAACATATAGTTTGACTTGTGGCTGGAGGCGGATTTAATTTTTTCTCGGGTTTTCGTGAATGGGATGGAAATTGTGGGGGCAGAGTTTTTATTGAAAAAACCAGAAAATTCATGTCATTTTGTTTCTGAATGCTCATGTTCCACTGAAAATTCAATCAAGTTGTGAAAGTTCCAGCTCACTCCCACTGGAAACTCATGAATTTCTGTGGATTCTACTTAAAACTTGAAATTTCATAACCATTTTTTGTCTAAATTTGATTCAGTATCACTCTCATGAGATTTTGTATAATATTTTACATGGAATTTCAAAAAATATATAACAGTGTCTTGTGGCCGGAGGCGGATTTAATTTTTTCTCGGGTTTTCGTGAATGGAATGGAAATTGTGGGGGCAGAGTTTTTATTGGAAATTCATGTCATTTTGTTTCCGAATGCTCATGTTCCACTGAAAATTCAATCAAGTTGTGAAAGTTCCATTTCACTCCCACTAAAAACTCTGAATTTCTGTGAATTCTACTTAAAACTTAAAATTTCATAACCATTTTTTGCCTAAATCCGATTCAGTGTCACTCTCATGAGATTTTAAAGCTTTTCTCTTTTTGTATTTTATTGGGATATTCTCGTTAAATTGTCTTCGGTGTCGATATACACTGTTCAAAATTTTTGTCTGAATTTTCCGTGCCAAATTCCGTGGAAATTTTTATCGTGTTCAAGTGCCACTGAAATTTCAAATGATCTGGAAATCAATAAAATACTTGATTTTTCAGTTTAATTATTCTGTAAAAATTTAGAAAAATCAGGAAAATGCAGGGAAAAATTGAAAATTCATGTCATTTTATTTTTAAATATTCATGTTCCACTGAAAATTCAATCAAGTTGTGAAAGTTCTATCTCACTCTCACTGGAAATTCATGAATTTCTGTGAATTCTACTTAAAACTTGAAATTTGATAACCATTTTTTGTCTAAATCCAATTCAGTGCCACTCTGAAGAGACTTAGTATAATATTTTCCATGAAATGGAAAGTGTCTTGCGACAGGAGGCGGATTTAATTTTTTCTCAGGTTTTCGTGAATGGGATGAAAAATTGTGGAGCAGAGTTTTTATATGGAATTGAATTAAACCGCGCAGTAATCGATAGGCGCGTGCTGATGCTGTCTTTCGATCATTGAGGAGGGTGATAATGTAGCACAGCTACTGTATAATTTAATAGGAGACTTACACGCAGAGCGAGTGCCGGGGGGGGGGAGAGGTTTAAAGCTTTTCTCTTTTCGTATTTTATCAGGATATTATCATAAAATGGTTTTCTGTGTGGAGATATGCTTTCTTGAATTAAAAATCAAGTATTTTAGCCGTTTTCTCGAGAAAATGCCGAGGGGTTATTAGTTGCACGCGTGCTATGAATCTCGTAATACGTCTCTAAAGTGATTCTCCGGAGGTGTTCTCGTTATACGCAGCACTAAGTATCCACTTCAAGACACTCGAGTCTCGTAGATACAGATGATTACTGGAGGAAATATATACTTCGTCTTGTGTCCGCAGGCGGATTCAATTTTTTCTCAGGTTTTCATGAATGGGATGAAAAATTGTGGAGGCAAGGGTTTGGAAATTTTGCAACAATTCTGTTACTTAAACTTCACCGTGAACGGTTTGGAAACATTTTGAGAAGAATCAAAAAATCTACTTTTTGAGGTCAATTCATAAAATATTTGGTAAATTGAATTTTTGAAGATTACAAGCTCTTCATTCATGAATAATTCATCAACAATAAATTTCACATCGTAAATCGTTCTTTTTAAGTGTCACGATTTTGTACATGTTGAGAATTTCACCAGAAATCGATCTCATGCCAGAAAAATAACGCTTTTGAAAGTTTCAAACAACTTCGATCATTTATTTATGGGAAGAGAATGTTTAAAAGACGTCACTCTTCGCATAATATAATTTGAATTATGCGCATTACCCACACGATAACTAATCTCTCTCAAAATCATCCGTAAATTCCAATAATTCTAGTAAATTCTAGTAAACAATGCAATAATTCTCATGAAAATTACAGTGCTGCTGTGGAATTTTCGCCAAAACTTTTCTTTTTTTACGTCATACAACTACTATTTTTCGGTAAATTTGGACAGTACTTCACGAAATTTTCCTCCCATGAATTTTGAAAAAAATTTCTCACGCAATTCAATTACAGGTCTATCATAACTACATATTTAATTATATGCTCCGCCCCCTTGTGAATATATTACATTCAATGGAACCGCATAATATAATTTGAATTACGCGCATTATCCACACGATAACTAATTTTTCTCAAAATTCTCCTTAAACTCCAATAATTCTAGTAAATTCTAGTAAACAATGCAATAATTCTCATGAAAATTACAGTGCTGTTGTGGAATTTTTGCCAAAACTTTTCTTCTTTTACGTCATACAACTACTATTTTTCGGTAAATTTGGACAGTACTTCTCCACGAACTCTTCCTCCCATGAATTTTGAAAAAAAATTCTCACGCAATTCAATTACTGGTCTATCATTACTACATATTTAATTATATGCTCCGCCCCCTTGTGAATATATTACATTCAATGGAACCGAAGAAAATTATTACATATCCATGTCATCTTGACTTAATCGACTTTGTAATTGGCCTCCTGCCCTTGCGTCCATCTACAGGCTTAAATAAACAAATAAATAATTGAAAGTGAAATTGTGAAAAGCCGTAAAAAGTACTTGGATACCTTCAATTAAGCCGTTATCAAACCGAACGGGCCCAGAAATTAACTCCAATTCGGTTTCAGCATCTCCAAATTCAATTCATTATCCCCTTAATTAGTGAAAAGGGTACCGAAAGATTAATCAGCAGGCTGTTCCATCAGACTACATGGTCCCCGAATAGAACAATTGAATTGTGTCCCACGTGAAAAGAAGCAGAACTCATTGTTTCCACATGCGATCCGTTGTGGAGTCCTCCTGCTCCGATTTTAATGATTGCAGAGAGGCCTCGCCGAAGCCTCCTGGAATAAACCAGCCAACGCGAATCGATAGTTCGTCGACACTATGTCGCGCCGGTTAGAAGTTCACTTGGTGTAAGCGAGACGTGGGAATTCATAAGCCGAGACGATGCGCTATTTAAATAAAAATCGCAAATCACGCTCTTTCATTGTTGATGGATTTTCGTTGTGTCGTTGCGGAAAGAAGTTCCTGCTGGATACAGCCGCGGTATAATTAGACTCTGGATGCGTAAAAATGCTGCACCCAGACGTCTTTCACACCGTGTGGCTTTCTCATCTTTACATAACACAACTCTTCTTGGGTTAAATTCATTGAACTTGAGCCAGAAACAAAATAGCTCGCGGCATACGGCACTTGTTACGCATGTTATCGTGAATAGATTATGAATTGCCAGTGGTTGGGCTGCTGCAGGGAATTTTTTATTGGGTAAAATGATAAAATCCGATAGTTGAATGAAAAATGAGAGAAAAATGACAAGTTATCGAACAAGTCTTGTTTGAACCGTAAAAAATCGCAAGTTATAAATTACAAAAGAACGCGGAGAGAAATATTCAGTAAAAATTACGGAACGCTCTGGAAGAATTCCGTGATAGTTCTGTAAAATTTCCTACAACCACTTTTCGCTCCGGAATTACGGAAAAGATACGTAATTTTTATTGGATATTTCTCTCCGTGAAGGAATTGTTTCATTTGAATTTGAAAGTCTCAAATATGAATAATCGTTCTATTTTCAATAGCACACGTATGAAAAAATTTCATTGAAAAACCGAGGGAATTCACTAGATAATTCTATTGGATTTCTATTGAACTTTCTATTAATTTTTGGCGAATTCGATGTTCTATAGAAAAAGAATAGAATTCGATTTTTCTACACAACATATTCTATTGAGATATTTTCTATAGAATTTCCTCCGCTCAAATTTTCTGATTTTCTTTATTTTCTTGATGAAAAGAAGAGAAAAATAGAGGGAAAAAAACTTTCCAAATCTTATTGAATTGATCATTTCAATATTATCGGCAAAAGACTAATAGAAAGTTCAATAGAAGTTGAATAGAATTGTCTAGCGAAGTCGCTAGGTTTTTGTATTAGAGTTTTCCGTGCGTGCAACGGAATATTCGGCTCAAAAGGCGGATCATTCACACGAGACGGCCTTTTCAGGATGAAAATAACTCTCTTGGAGAGAAGTTTACGGAGAAATATTTCGTCCCTAAGTTACAAGAATTTTATCACATCTTCATTATAATTTAATTCAATAATTAATTTCTCATCTGTCATTTTTAAATATTCGAATCGAAAAACTACTGCTCTCTGTTTCGCATAGAACTACCGTCTTTCGGGAGCAAAACCCGTGAAGTTGTGCTAAAAATGACATTTTTCTCTCCGCGTATTTTCTTATTTTAAAAAACTGAAGAATGAAGAAGTCACAGTCGAATGAAGAAACTTGATTCGCTGAATCGCGTCATAATACAGACATTCTCAATCGCCGATAGCTCTTCAATTTCTCACTCTTCATCGAAATGAGAACAATGCGTTTAATATTTTCCAGTCAATTCTCACATTCAGGAATGAAAGACTTCCATGCGAAACAATCTAATGAACCAATTGCCGCCTCTGGTGAGCGAAGATGCGTCAATTTTCCCTCTGGGTTAGGAGAAAAATGTTGGAAATACTGCGAAGATATCACTCTCACGTCGTTAAAAAGGAAGTAGTACAGCAGGTCGTTGAATCATCATAATATAAATAGGTAGCTGGGAAAATGGGGAAACCGTGGTGAAGCTTCAAAAACGCACTGCATGCGAGATTACTTGATGATTGAATTATTCCACTCGAATGTCGTCGTTATCTTTATTGTCAATACAGCGTAAAAACACGATTCACGTGTTTTTTTCTTTTGACACTGCATCCTCGGTACAAAACACTTTATCATTGCCGATGCGCCCCGAATTGAAAGCGAATGATCGTAAATATGAGTGGAGGGGTAAGCGATTCACAAGTCCGTGGAGTTATTCTCAGTGTTTGTCATGTCATGGCTAAAGTGGAACGGGATGTAAGTTTAATGAATAGAGTAATGGGGGAGGAACGAGCCAGAGGGAAAACAGAAGTGAACATGAGAGAATTTCAATGTTGGAGACACAACTGCAGAATTTTTCCACGGAGAGAAAAATTCGGTAAAAATTATCGAGAAAATCGTGGCGAATTTTACTGTACGAAGGTGATCGTGGAGGATATTTTACGATTCGGTAAGAAAACACATCTATGGATGAAAAAATTATGCTCAAATACAGTAAAATTTCCCACACCGGTAAGATATTTTTTCTTACGCCCATCGAAAAGTCACAGGGATTGAAGTGATTCGATTTTACCAAGCGCGTTCGGTAAAAAATAATCTCCTTTGCAGAAAAATTTTGCGCAATCATTCACGTTCTCTGGAGTCACTAATTTTTGATGCAATGCCGGGTAAATTCTACAGTTTCGGCACAAATTACCCTCACATTCGTTTCTATTTATACATATGGCAACCGATAGAGAATTAAATCACGATTTCATTGAATTAACACAGGTGATGTGCACTATATCAGTCTCGGAGATCGCCATTACCATTATTTTTAGTAATATTTTCACCGCGACCCTAGACACGGAGAGAAATATTCAATAAAAATTACGTACCTTTTTCGGAATTCCAGAGCGAAATGTGGTTGTAGGAAATTTTACGGAACTGTCACGGAATTTTTCCAGAGCGTTCCGTAATTTTTATCTGAATCTCCAGTGAAAAATTACGATACCGTCACTTAAATTTTCTGAGTCCATTCCGTAATCGGTGAGTGAATTGAAGTTCCGTAATTTTTACTGAATATTTCTCTCCGTGGAGTTGAATATGAACAACTAAATATCTTTTAATAGATAATAAATTACTTTAATCATGAGTCGTTGCCATGAAACTCAGTTAATTGTATAAAACAGCGGTTTATCAAAGTCGCTGCTCCCTGCAAATGGGGTCTGCATTAAATATTAACAAATGGATCTTCGGATACTCAGATGACTCAGTTCATTAACAATAAATGAATCTTTTAATCAGTGCACGAGATCGATCGAATAACAGGGCACACATGAGGATTAGCAAACTGAATAATGCATTTCGTTTCAAGATTAATTAAAGCCATTTCCTGGCTTCCCGGCTCATAATTTCAGAGTGCTCAGAATCGTTTGCTGATAAAAAATGGAAAAGTTGTCAACGAAGACAGCATCACCGATGCCGATGTATACATCGAGGATGGAGTCATCAAGTGAGACAATTTACGATATTATTCCCATTTCCAAGTTCAAAGAAACTGCATTATTTTCGCTTCCTGCTGCGGAAGACCCTGAAAACACTAGTGAAATGTTGAATTTTCCAGGCAACTTGGACGGAACCTGATTATTCCAGGCGGAACACGAACAATAGACGCTAGGGGAAAATACATAATGCCGGGAGGTATTGACCCGCATACCCATTTCGAATTAGAATTAATGGGTGCCAAGTCGGTGGATGATTTTTATCGCGGAACTAAGGCTGCTATTGCTGGTGGCACAACCATGATCATGGATTTTGTTATTCCGAATAAAGGGGAAACAATCGTCGAAGCTTACGAGAGATATCGCGCAACTGCTGATGAAAAAGTCTGCTGTGACTACGGGCTTCACGTTGCTATCACCAGTTGGAGCCCAAGGGTATTCACTCCTTTTAAATATTCGTTATTATTCCCCCTATTACCTAATCTACAATCTTAACTACCGGTGGGAGTGTTTTGAAAAGTGACAGACATGTACCAATTCAGTAGCGAAGTGGTCAAACGGTTCAAGTCGATTTTCGCCAGTTTTCAATGAATATTTTGAAATCTAAGGGAGATAGCACAATTTCGCTCATAACCTTTTTAGTAGCGCTCAATTCGCTCTACAAAAAAGGTTATTATGAAAATTTCGCTATCTCCTTAAATTCGGAAATATTTTGGGAAAACTCGACTAAAGACTAAATTGACTTAAACCGTTTGACCACTTCGCTACTGAATTATCGATATTGTGATCTTGAATTTTCAAAAGGGAATTTCAATCAGTTGCGCTTATGAGGGATCCGATGCAGAACCGAAATGACACGTCGACCTGATGGATAAAAATTTAATTTCGGGCTTATTCCTGACCCCAAGGCCATCCAATACTCGTATCTATTGATTATCACGGTCGAGGAACCATGTTTACTCATGCGTCCTTTAATTTTTCATTCAGATTGAGAAATTTTTCAAAATCAACAGAACTTTGAGTTGCATTTTGAATAATTGTCGATTAAATTTTCATTATTTTTTGCAATTGTCTTTACCACATCAAATTGAGGTTGAATTTTTTATTGAATGTCACAGAACAAATTAATTTGTTAGCGACAAAGTACGTAAAAAATTTTGGTCGACAACTGCTGTTCACTATTTCAAGAGATTTTATTGGAAACTTGGTGGGGATTTTTTTTGCGAGTGAAGCTCTAGTGTAATAATGCGTCTTTTATTGCTGCGCCGGATACGCGTATCTATTGTTTGACACGGTTGAAGAATCACGGTTACTTGGTTGTTCTTTAACTTTCTCATTTGTATTCAAAATCGGAGAAAATTGAATTTTAGTTAATCGCAAGAATGAATGTAATTTTTTGACTTATTTCTCATAATTCTGTGCCATTTGCTTCGCCACATCAAACTGAAGTGGAAATTTCTATTGAATTTCACAGAACCAACCGATTCTTCAGTAACAAAATACACAAAAATTCCGTGTAAACAATTGCTGTTAAATATTGTAAGAGAAATTACTGGCAACTTGAGGGGGAATTTTCTGCAGGTGAAGTTCCAGTGCATTAATGCGTTTTTTATCGCTGTGCTGGATACGCGTATCCATTGTTTGAAGCGGTCGAAGGATCATGGTTACTTAGCTGTTTTTTAATTTCCTATTTATATTCAGAATTCAAGAAAATCGAATTTTCGTTCATTTGAAAGTTGAATATAATTGTCGACCGAATTCTCATAGTTCTCTGCACTTTCCCTTGCCCTACTCAATTAAGCTCGGAATTGTTTTATCAAAGTCATCAAATTTCACAAAATTTTACGAAAAAATAGAAAATACGTGAAAAATCCATGTGAATTAATTGATTACGAAAAACTCCTGGAGATTTCACTTGAAGTTTGAGCTAAAATTTCCTCTCCGTGAAGATTCAGTCAACAATACGCTGTTTTCTACCGCAGATAAAAGAAGAAATGGCGACACTTGTCCAGGACCACGGAATCAACAGTTTCAAAATGTTCATGGCGTACAAAGATCTCTTTATGCTCCACGACGCCGAGTTGATCGAGGCTTTTTCGATGTGCAAAAACCTCGGAGCAGTTGCGATGGTTCACGCCGAAAACGGCGACATCATAGCCGCGGTAAAGCTCATCACCACTGCAGAATTTCTCTCGTTCGTATTTCCGTCTCATACTAATTGCGTTACAGAACACGAAAAAACTCCTGGAGGCTGGTGTGACTGGTCCAGAGGGGCATGAGATGTCGCGTCCTGAGGAAGTTGAGGCCGAGGCTACGAATAGAGCTTGTATGCTGGCGAATCAGGTAAGAGTTCGCTGGGATGTATAAATGTTGCATAAAGAAGAGAATATCATTTGATTTCTGAACAACGAAAATATCGGGGAATTCGAATTTTCATTTTATTCTATTCCCCTTAACCAATAATAGGACTCATAATGAGAAAGATAAAACAGAGACGTCTTGATGCAGACGTTTCTCAACTTCTTGGGTTTTCATTACTTCTCGAAATAAAAAATACATATCTAACATTAATTATGCGATTAATGCTACTTCATTCTTCATTCTTTTATTTCATGAATTTTATTTCATTTCATAATAATACTTCATTCTTTTATTTTATGAAACAAACTCTGCAGCATCTGATCAAAAGAACTGTTTGACAGAGCGTCCCCAGTATCGTTCGAAAAACTCATGACATTCTCTTCAAAAGACGTTACTTATATATTAAAATGCTTACAAGTATCGATGTTGCACTCTATTCGTCATTCTTTTCGATAATGTCCGCTTTTCTAATGATCATGTTACTAGTTAAAATTTATTTCAGTTCCTTTCGTTAAATGTTTATTCTTTAATTTGTAATTCAACGCACGAACTAAATTTCATAGAAAAACAAGTAAAGTAAAATCCCGAATGACGTGGAGAATGGGGATGTCAAATCCCGAGCACTTGAATTTTTTTCATTTCATATTACGTCTCATACGTCTTTTCAATCTTTAAAAAGAATTGGATTTCTGTTGAACTTCTGTTGGAAATTTTATTAAGTTTAGGACATTCGTCTATCAAATAGTTTCTATGGGACATTTGTTAAAGAAAAAAACGCGCAACTCCACGGAGAGAAATATTAGATAAAAATTACGTATCTTTTCCGTAATTCCGGAGCGAAATGTGGTTGTAGGAAATTTTACGGAACTGTCCCGTGATTTTTCCAGAGCGTTCTGTTATTTTTATCCGAATCCCCTGTGAAAAATTACGATGCCGTCACTTAAATTTTCTGAGTCGATTCCGTAACCGGTGAGCGAACTGAGTTTCGTAATTTTTACTGAGGATTTCTCTCCGTGTCTTCAATAAAAATCCGACAGAATTGTCTAGGTTTCGAATTCGCCAAGTTATCCTGTGAAATTTTTTCGTACTTATGTTGAATGCATGAGAAAGAACAAAAAACCAGGTGATATATGGCACAGGTGTGCTGCCCGCTATACGTAGTGCATGTGATGAGTCGTAGTGCAGCGGAAGCTGTTGAGTCTGCCCGGAAACGGGGGGTTGTTGTGTGGGGCGAAACACTAGCAGCCGCACTTGGCACTGACGGCACCAACTGTAGTCACTCGTGCTGGAGACACGCTGCTGGACACATACTCAGTCCTCCTCTCAGGCCTGACCAGGATACACCGCGTGATCTTATGGTGAAATTGGCTATGTGAGTTTTCACGATCTGTATCATGAATAGAGATGAGGAAACAATCGGGGAATAAGAGAAGTTGAGGAAAGAAGACGATGGTGTAGCTTCACAGGGTGAGCATTAATCAACATGGATTAATTGCTCTTATCCAATGCTATTGAAGAAACTCGTACTCTGGCGATGGAAGAGGAAGGTTGCCCCTTGTTTTTTTTTGCAGACATTCGCGAGCAAAACCAGTTTTCGTTTTTATAGGTCATAGGAGGCCTAGTCAATGCTTGTCATTCCTTATTTTGAGATTTCTCTTCAGTCTTGCAGAGGTTTTTCTCTCCTTTCTTTTTTATTTGTCGCGGGTTATCTCTTCTCCTTATGGGGAGTCGTGGGGAGGGGTACATGAGGCTGAATCGAGTAAATATTTAATTGACTGTTGGTGATCGATTAAATGTACGTTGGGTGTTTCGCACATTTGATTGTCGCAAGTGCATGAGTTGTTATTCATTTTTATTCAGTTTTCCTTTTTGTTGGTGAACATTTTTCACACGTTTGAAATAATTTGGTAGAAAAACTTATTGTTTTTCTGTGTTAATTCTATTGGAGATTATGAATTTTTAGACAAACGTCAGTAGGTTTTGATTTTTTTATAGAAATTCTTGACAAAAAGAAAGTTGCATAATTTAGAATAAAATTTACGGAAAGACAAATAGGATTTTTTAATAGAACTGGAATAGCATTCTTATGGAGTTCTAGGGCTTTTTAAAGGAAGTTTATTGATTTTCTAGTGACACTTATAAGAAGTTTATTAAAGTTCTGTTGAAATTCTATTAAATTTTTATATTTATTTTTTGCTCTAATTCTATCGAAGATTATGCAGCTTTACCGTTTCATTTTTTAAGAGATATTTGATAGAAAAAAATCAATAGATGTTGATTACTCTGCAGAAATTTTTTCCGCTGTATTTTTATTTGTACCTCAATAAAATATAAGGCAGAAAATTGGAAATTTTATGCCCAAGAATTTTTATAGAAAAAAATCCATCATAATGAGGTACATAGAGAAAATATCTATTGAAAAACACAGAATTTTTTACGAAAATTTTTTTTTCATGAAATTTTTCTTACGTGCACTTTATGTAATTGAGCATGTCACCGCATCGGTTATGGCAGATAAACATAAATTTACTATTTATAAATTCGAGATAATACGTGGGTACATGAAAGAAAATAATCGGACGCGTTTAGGTCAACTGTCCGCTGTACGTGTCAGGAGTGATGAGCAAATCAGCTGCGGACGTGATATCCGGAAAACGCGCCGACGGTGGTGTTGTGTATGGGGAGCCCATTGCTGCCAGTATTGGCATTGATGGTAGTGAGCAATATGGAAAAGATATGGACAAGGGTCGTTGCTATATAATGGATCCGCCACTCAGGCCGGATCCCACGACACCCGCATACTTGATTGAAAAGCTCGCCGAGTAAGTAGAAATTAAATTGAAAGCCTGAGAAAGTCATTGGAGAGTTGGTGGCAATCGTTGATACGTAGATGGAAAACTTGCTCGGGGATTTATTTGTTAATAAGTCTCTTTCGAAATTTCAAATCTCTTGATATGGAGGTTTGAAAGTGTTTTTCCGTTTTTGCGCGTGCACTTGAGGCCTTATGGGTTTCGGTCGGATTAAAACACTTGTACTGCCTTTCTCATTCAGACAAATGCCAATTAGAGGGGAAATACTGCTAAGGAAAACTGAAAAAAATTGAATAACATGGATTTTGTGGAAATCTACTGTATATGTACAATGTTAGAAAGTTTTTGAGATTTAGGTGAGAGCTACATGTGAATTTTCAATGGTCTGCTTTGTTGAAGAAAATGAAATTTCAGGGACAATCCTGTAATATCCAAGAAAATTACAATTAATTAGAATGCGGTTTAAAGGGGAAAAATCATGAAATTTCGGATTTCACTCAAAATCCGGGGAAATTCCGAATTTTTGAACGCCATTGAGATGAAAATTCCTCGACCTATCTGAATTTTCAATGAAATTAGAAATATTCAGGGCCGCATTACAATGAATTTTCAGTTGACTGAAAAATCAAGAACATATTTACCAAAATTTTCCTAATTTCTGCTAATTTTCAAGGAGTAATTGAACTTAAATTTACAGTTCTCATCGATTTTTCCATGAAATTCTGAATTTTCCATGATGAAATGCCTTAAAATTTCAGGGGAACAATAAATTGTGATAAAAATTTGCGAAAAGTGTATCGGAAATTTCAGTCAAAAAATTTTAATAGCGTATTACTGAATTCAATTAGATAATGAATCACTTTTATCACTTCGGAGTATTTTCAATTTTATTGTGAAAATTGGACATTGAATCAAATTGACAAACGTCCATAATTAATGTAATTAAAATGGAACTTCCATTGAATATTCCACTAATTAACTGATTCGTCAATGACGACATCGGGGTATCATCAGGGGGCTATCAGAGTCATCAGCACTGATTCCCTTTTCACACTCTGTAGGGACGGACTCCAATGCACCGGAAGTGACAATTGCACTTTCAACGCCGACCAAAAGGCCCTCGGCAAGGATGACTTCTCCAAAATCCCCAATGGTGTAAACGGAGTTGAGGACAGAATGTCCGTAGTCTGGGAGAAGGGGGTTCACGCTGGAATTATGGATCCCATGCGTTTCGTGGCGGTGACCAGCACTAATGCTGCCAAAATTTTCAATTTGTATCCAAGAAAGGGTGTCATCGCAGTCGGTTCCGACGCCGATATTGCTATTTGGGATCCTAACAGGAAGCGAATTATTTCCGCCGAGACTCATGCTCAAGCCGTTGACTTCAATATTTTCGAGGTAACTACCGATTCATCGTTACGCTTTTGCGAGGGGTGACACGACTCCGTGAAAAATACAGCGAACTTCAAAATTAGTGAATTTCAAAAGAACCTGGAGCTTTTCAGAGCTTTAGAAAAATGCGGACAATTCCCAAAAATCGTTAGTGACTTTAAACATTTCGGGGAGAGTTCCCAGAATTCGAAATACTTGCCAACGAGAATAGGCGATGAGAATATTTCACGGACACTATCGGACGTTCATTAAAAGCAAATTCATTTTTTATTAAAAAACAATAGCTCTCTTCAATAAAACATCTTTTGAAATTAATTCACCAAAAACAAAAATGATGATCGAACAGAAATCTGTCTACCCGTACTAATATTAGATGAATAAAAATACAAGTTTAAAAAATAATATAATAATATAATTTCCGAAAAATGTCAAAACAACTTTCTGGCCATTCTGACCTCTTTAAACATTCCGATGAATTCGAAACGAAATTGCGGAAGATTTCACTGAATTCATAAGTTTTTCAAGAAGCCTCTGAGACTTCATAAAAATTTCATAAGATTTCTAGGATTCCACAAAATTTCACAGATTTCTCTCGAGGATTTTAGAAACTCGAGAATATTTTCCCAAGAATTTTCTGGAATTTCCGTTCGGTCTGTGCGCCAGATTTCACGAGTGATTATTCTCTCGTATGAACATTTTTCAATTTCTTCCAGGGAATGGAGGTTCACGGAGTTCCCGAGTATGTAATCGTCAACGGTAGAGTTTGCGTTGACGAGTGCGAGGTAAAGGCAGTACACGGATATGGTAGATTTATCGAAACTCCAGCCTATCCCTCGTACGTCTACGACTTGATTGAAGAGAGGGAGAAGGTACATTGATTTTCCTTCTATTCTATTTCTGCATCGGCTCTCACAGTCGTTATTTCCTATTGATTATTTTAATGGTGACGTAGAGACCCAGAGGAGTCGCGAGGAGTGCAGCTGATGCCAAAAAATACGCAGATGAAGACGCTGTGATTGCAAAGGCACGAGAGGCTGCAAAGACCGCAGCTGCTGCGAGAATTCAGACTAATCAAACTAATGGGACGCATGAGGTGCGCCCGACCAAACCCAAATCGATTTCAGAGATTTCTTGTGCTCCAACTCTACCGGAATCCGCTGTTGTTACACCTTCTGCAAAGGGACCTCGCCAGGAGGGTCAACGCAACCTCCAGGACTCAACATTTTCCATTAGCGGTAAAGATTTTTTACATTTCCCTGCAGGAATCAAATTTGTAGAATTCCAATTGGGATTCGATGAGAATTATATCGACATTCTATCGAGGGTTTGATTAGGCTTTCGCTATTTTTTTTGTTTCTCATTACAAACTTCAAGAAAAAAACATCAGCCGAATGAACAAGATGAAATCAATAGAATTTGATTTTTCTATACAATTCATTTTATTAAGATATTTTCTACCGAAATTTCTCGGCTCAAATTTGTTTTGTTTAATTTTTTTCTTAATAAAAGAGAATAAAAATGAGTGAAAAGAACTTGGGAAATTCATGTCAAGGAATTCCTGTAGAAAATGTGTCAATAATAGAATTCGTATATAAAGATGAAACTCTACTGATTTAAAAAAAAGTTTTCATTGGACATTTTCCATTAAAAAATGCGTTTTTTTAATGGCAAATATCCAGTGTAGCTGTGGAATTCTTCAATAGAATTGGCCAAACCTAATAGAATTTTCAATCGAAATTCAACCGAAATTCAACAGAATTTCCTATCGAATTCGTTAAATTATTCGAAACATTTATCTTTCAGAGGATGTTGATGACGCTAGACGAGCATGCATTCGTGTGAACAATCCCCCAGGTGGTCGCAGTGCTGGTGGATTCTGGTAATTCAAACCATAAGCTTCGATTGGGTACGCTTCTGCGCGAATAAACAAGTAAATACATAAATATGCATACATATGAACAGATCTATTGACAAATATTCCCACCATGATTCGTAATCGACATGATTTTGATGATCCGAGACATTGGACTCGCTTCCCATTTCGCTAACCACCAAATATTAACAATTAAGTTGACCAAATTATTACGAAATTCATCAAACATGTGTACAATTTCGGGAGGCGCCCAAGGCAGATATCAAACTTGCATTGATTTTCGTTTTATTGCATAGAAATCCACATTCGCGCAGCGTCAGTATGTTTTTTACAGCTTCTCAGCATAAAATATTCTTAGCGTATTCGTTACCTCTTGAAACGAAGCTCGCATAATGAGAATTCGGGCGCAAATGGCAACAACTACAAATAATGACTAAATATTGTTAATTGTTTTGTTTTTTTGTTCGTTTTTTCCATATAACGATGTTCCACGATTGTCATCATATTTTATTGAAATTCGCATTGACTAGAGTCCTTCATATTTATAGAGCGTTATATTGGTGAGCAACGACGTTGATGAAGCTAAGAGTTGAAATGTTTTTCATAAGTATATATGAAATGTATGAATTGTCATAGTATATAAGAAGTATAACTGGACGATGTCGAGGGGTAGTGAATAAACTGTGCACCACATAACAATTACAAATGTGTGAGTTATACTATAATGGGAACATGGTTCACACAATGTAGTACACGACACGTACGAAAAAATTTCGTAGAAAAACGAAACAAGTTCTGTTGGATTTCTATTGAACTTTCGATTCGTTTTTGGAGAATTCCGAAATTGAAATCAAAATTGAATTCGGAATTTAACAGATTCGGCAGCTCATTCGTGTTTTTTTTTAATCGAAATGTCGAATGAAAAATATTTTAGAGAAAAAATCGAATTCGTCGAACTCGAATTCGATTTACAATTCGATTTTTCTATAAAACTTATTTCATTGGACTATTCTCTTTAATGGATGGAAAGAGAAATAAAAATACTGGGAAAAACCCCAGTGGAAAAACACATGGAACATATAATTTTCGTAATAGTTCGATAGAATTTCTTACAGAAAGCGCTAGATTTTCCTATTAAATTTTTACCTACGTGTACCCCGATAATTGAGTAGCTTTTCCAGTTTAAAAATCGTAAATTATCGCGTAACATCAGAGATAAACGCACAATGTCAGTTAACGAGTGATGAATAATGCGTGAATCTGTTGAAAAATTCGTCTTCACTCGATTTCCTTAAATTAAACGAGATTACTTCATCCCCTCATGCAGTATTATTCTGTTTTTTTCTTCGTTTATTGTTATTAGTGCATCACGAATCTTTTCGATTTAACGAGTCCTCCCACGTCTCGCATACTCAGCACCTTTGATAGTGAACCTGATCATAAAATGGAAATGCAAGTGTACACGTACACCATATCCCCGGAAACAATTTTCGCTCACCCATATGCACGTCTGATAAACTCTGCGCATGCATAAAATAATCTACTGAATTGAAGGCAAATACTTACCTGTACTGATAGAGCTAGATAGATATCCTAGTGGAAAAAATATTAAGGTAAAATCAAACTCTAAGAAACATCATCATTGTCGATTGAGGAGAAAATTATCGTTATAATTTTATATTTTAATATTCGACGATACGGCACGATCGTTGTAACATTGAGTCAAATCTTATCTCGTTAATCGATTTAACAAGCCAGCTAACTGGCAGTCACTGTGGGTAATTTACTCCAAGCCTATATCACTCGAATGTATTGAAGTCAGAAGAAAAACAAGAAGCGTAATTCCTAAGGACTTTTAGAATAGTGGTACAACCATTTTCTACTGAAATTTTATATGCTGAACTGAATTTTTTTAATCAAAAAAATAGTAGGGGAGGGGCATGAAACGGCCGCTCAGCAGATGAAACCAATCACATTAGAGCTCGCGAAAAAATCAGGAAACCCACTTCATTCGGATAATCTGGGCGAATTCAACACGTGTCGAAAGAATAATGGGAAGTGCATTGAATAGTGACGATATGAAAAAACATTGAGCGTGGATTGCGTAATCTTGTTATTGTGTTCACTTAAGTATTCTTGTAAGCATCGATTTTAACGAATGAAAATGAAAGGAATTTATCATTGAAATATGTACCAATGATACGCTATTAGATTTGCACGTTTATTTATATCTGTTATGTATGTAATTGCTTTAAATAAATACATGAATGTGTAACAATTTCAAATAACTTGTTCATTATCATAAAATAGACACTTCTGGATTAATATCTAAATTCAGTAGCGAAGCGGTAAAAAATATCGGCCGGTTTTCAATGAATATCTCGAACTCTAAGGGAGATAGCGATATTTTTGTCAAGACCTTTTTTGTAGCCCTCAGTTCGCTCTATGAAAAAGGTAATTACGAAAATTTCGTTATCTCCCTTAGATTCGGAGATATTCCTCGAAAACACAGCTTAGAGATAAATTGACTTGAACCGTTTTACTTCAGTAGCTTCGTTACTGAATTTTCTTTTCCAGTGTTTGGAAATTCTCATTGGCAAGATAATCTCAGGTCCGAACTCGTCGAACACGTAGACCAATTAATAATTAATCATTAATAAATTAGGTATTTCTTCCCTTCATTCGGTGTCACTGGCATCCTCGACCTTCTTCCTTGCCTTTTCCAGTATTTGCTTTAGTTCACAGGTCCTTGCCGTGTGGTACTAAACCGAAAATATTTGTGTAATGTTACGCAATTGTTTTATTTTAAGTGTACGGGCTGATTTCTGTTGTGCACATACCCCTGATGCATTACGAGACAGTGTTATTTGGCTGTCCAAACGTTTACCGTCGACAGGACCACAATATTGCTCCAACTGTCGTCTGGTGAGACTGAATAAATCGGCACCTGTCATCCCTTTAAATTGCCTACAAATTCTGTACAACAGAAGATCTAATTCAGTAGCGAAGTGGTAAGGCGTGAGTTTTTGAGTTGAGTTCAGTTGAGTTTTTGAGGAATATTTCCAAATCTAAGGGAGATACTGAAATTTTCGTAATTATATTTGTTGTAGATCTTAATCGGCTCTACAAAAAAGGTAATAACAAAAATTTTGCTATCTCCCTTAGATTCCGAGATATTCATTGAAAACTGGTCAATAGTCAAAATTAACTTGTACCGTTTTACCACTTCGCTACTGAATTATATCAAAATTCGTGCATTAGGGGAGAGCGGGGCAATATGGACAAACTGGAGTCTAAACTGAGCCCAATTGATAAATTTATTCCTGAGTTATTCTGTAGAATAAGAGGAAATTCTGTAGAAAATATCTTAATAGAATAAGTTATATAGAAAAATTGAATTCTTATTGACTTTTTCTACTGAATATTTTCTATTGAACATTTCAATAGAATCGGCCAAAAACTAATAGAACAGTTCAATAGAAATTCAATAGAATTTTCTAACCAATTCGATAGGTTTTTCTATTAAATTTTCTCGTCCGTGATGAAATTCAAATTCAAGGTTTGATCGCAAATCCGATTAACGTATTGGCGAAACTGTCAATTTCTTTTTTATAATAATTGAGATGATTGCATACTTCTCGGAAAAGCTTTTCATGGCCAACCACTCTTGCACTTCCCGCGGTGTTGAGTGTTGGTCGACGTAAATCTCTGGTGTCTTCACAATATCAACGTTTTTCTTTCTATCCCGAAACATTGTGAGAACACACTTCAGTTCTTCTTGCATTTGTATCTGCGAAGCTCCTAAATATTCAACAGAGTCATCGATCATTGATAATTTATTCACTCTCATAAAATCTCATTCTCAAATGTTTCAACGCAGAAAGTTTAAGATTTCGTAATCATCAACGTGTTTAAGTATTTTTTTTTACTGCGGCAATCAACTCACCATCGTTCATTGATTTATTACTTCTCAGCGTTCCAGTTCTACTCGAATTCGATGAAGTACTTTCCGATGGTGTTGGAAGAGGCGGGGGCGGGGGTGGCGGAGCCACGGCATGACCACTAATTGAAGAATGCGCAATTCTTTGGTCTGCATTTGAGTTATGTAATTTTCCCGTATTTTTCAACCCCGAGCTGTTTGATTCCTCTGATTGCACTGGTCGTGAAGTGAGGATCGAAGTGCTTCGTGATCCTGTGGGTTCCACTGGACTAGAGGATATGACATTTCCATGCAGTTCAGAAATTTCAGATTCACCTTCGTTCACTGAAAAGTATTAGACCATTCTTATTTAGTGGGTTTAACGTTTCTCATTGGACTGTTACATAAAATTTGTTCATGATGAAATACGAAAATTGGGCGAAAAATAGACACGTATTTTTCTATTTTAAAAAATCATGAAAACTGAGGAATTACAGCCAATTAAAAAGACGTCTGCGTCGTGGCATCACTTATTAATTTTAATTTATTCATCGAAATGAAAAAAATGTGTCTGATATTTCCCATCCACTTCCCGTACCCAGCAGTAAAAAAAATCCCATGCAATATCCCAATCACAAATTTCGTCATAACTTACCCTGAATTTGAAATAAGCAATGAACGACAGAGTTTTCAGACTTGTCACGTGAAACGAAACGACTGTTGTATTTGCAAGCAACACGAAACCAGGAACAAAACAGAAGGAAAAATAAGAAGTGAAAATGAAAACAGTATGTTGATGATACTTAATGAATCTGAAACTGAAGATGCCAATTAACACGATATCCGACAGAGATAACCAGGACAAAAAGCATGTTCTCATCCATTCTTCAAATGGTGTATATATTTTATTAATAAAAAAGATTTACATAAATTACAATTAATAACTGACAAGTGATTCCTAACGATCAGCTGACAACTAACAATGTAGAAAATATTATGTATAGCGATGTGATTCTTAAAAGTATTGTCTTCAAACATTACATACAATCCCAGGGGCCTTTGTCTCAGATACATCTGAAATACTTCTCCTTGTTCCACACCTCAAATTTCAACGAATCAACGATTTTCACCATTCAATCGAGGAAGACAAGAGTCAGTATATGCATTACCCACCTTTACGTACAAAAACAAACACGAACTGGCGAGCATTCAACAAAAACATAACAAATACATAACTAGCACAATTTTCTTGCATCAAATGTAGAATATTATAAACAATTTACCAATGTTATTTAAAGATATCTTCATCATTCAGTGGAAACACTATTCAATCCTTCAAAATATACCTAATAGAAATCTTTGTTCTCCCTCAATGGATTCCGAAGATGTGAATAAAACTTTCTCATCAAATTTTTTATGCGGAAGACTTCATAAAGGTATATTCGTTACAATGACGATAAATCGTTAAGACTAAAATTTGGTTAGTTGATAAATACCGGGCTTACTGCACTATTTTTAATAGTAACATGTTCACTGGTGTTTACAAATTTGCAAGATTGCAAAAAAATCTAGAGGGGGTCACATCGATATTTACTATCTGTGAAAAAACTAATGTAAGAAAAAATATATTATATAATTGCCTCGTTGATTGCTCCATTATAATTCGTTTCTAACTGGAAAATAACGACTGCTTGTTTGGTTGCATACTTTTCAAATGAGTAATTCGAAAAAAAAAATCGATGGTAAAGCTTCAGTCTGAACGATATCTTATGTACACGGGTAAGATTGCAAGAGGTCGGGACGATGTATTATTGGATATTGAAAATTCATTGACTGAATGAAGTTTTATTTAGAAATATCGAAATTCACCTTTCTTGCCGAGACGCTCTTTGCGTACCCAGTCAGCTGGCGCAGGGGGTGGAATCGCGTGCGATCGATGGGTTGCTTCTGGACCGGGACTAGTGCTTGTTCCTTCAATTTCAGAATCCTGAAATAATGAATACTCGGTGGAGATTTGGGTCTCACAGTGCACACGTTGAAAGGAAAATAAAATTTTAACAGTTTAAAAAAAAACGTTTGAATGAATGAATTACGAGGGGAATTCAATCTGATGCAGAAAATCTGGAAAACTTTGAGAATCACATCCTCATTATTATGAAGATGAATTTGAGAATTGAGAATTGAGAATTGAATTGGTTTTTAATTGCATCAAACATTTTTCAAATTGAGAAAACGTTTCAAATGTTCATTTATAAAATATGTAAAATATATAAAGTATGAGACAAGAATTGATTGAAGTTAAACAATGATAGAATGACAAAAAAAATGGGATAAAGCCCAAACACCCAATATACAGACGACTGTTCGAAATGTTCAATGAAAATATTCTACAGAAAAACTCAAAAGAATTCAATTTTTCTCTGCAACTTATTCAATTGACTTTTTCTGCTGAACATTTCAATAGAATCGGCCGAAAACTAATAGAAAGTCCAACAGACATCCGATAGAATTTTCTAACGAATTCCCTCGGTTTTTCTCTTAAATTTTTCGTGCGTGCAGATGCATTTCTCACATTACAATCAAAAATAAATATTAGTGTCATTTTTAAAAATTGAAATTACCAATAAAATTCCTATGATCTCATTTATAAGCTCCTCAAAAAACTTGCACCCCCCTATCATTGGTCTTGCGCCCACTAAAGCTTACCTCATAATTGTACCCATGCTGTTGCCTCTGATATCTCGAAGAATAAAGAGGATTATTGAAGACATCATCAGAAGGATGTGACGGATTATGTGGTGTAACAATGGTATGGGGCACATGGGCAACTTGACCCCGAGAATTCCTCGCCTTCCACCACTTCCTGCTGTCATCAAGAATCTCCAGATACTCGCCCCTGACAACCGTCAGCTCCTTATCATTGTTAGCCGTTCTGGGATAAGTGACTTGAACGATTTTAGCATTGCGCGTTATGAGATCGTCCAGCCAGGCCTCCTGGGCCCTGTCAATGCCAGAGGCAGTTCTCGGATTGCGTTCGATCGAATCCACCGAAATGTCACTGTGCGCTCGTGTCTGATCCCCTCTGTCCCTCTCCTCTCGAGTGTACAATTCCGATCCAGGCACATAATTTCTCTCCCTCTCGAAGTAATCGTTATTGCCACGCTCCTCGCGACTCTCATACTCCAAGTAATCACTGCTGTAGTGCGACTCCTCGACATCCCGATGACCGTAGTAATTATCCCCCTGCTGTTCGGGTATTTCATCTCGTTTCTGCTTATCGGCGTTCAACAGTGAAGCCAAATGATCGTGATCGCGATCCTCGGGAATCGGATATTCCGGTGACCAGCCGTCCATAAATACCGGATGATAGGGCGGCACATGACCTTTCCACTGATCCCTTGGAATTAACCAGGTGTCACCCAGGGAATGCCAGAGTTCAGTTTCCTTAGATGTAACGCAATTTATCAGAAGATTGACTGCCTCCCGGGTCAGCAGGGGCGATACCACCTTGCTCGGTAAATTTGGATCGTAATTTGTGTCATGGGAGGCATCGACTATCAGCGCCAGAGGGGTGAACAGGAAGTGCACCAGCTCTGGAGCGTTTGGATCGTGAATGTGGGCCTTCAACTTAGCCAGCAAATTAAATGAGAGCTTGAACTTCTGGAAGATGTCGATGAACTCCATCTCGGGGGGTGGCTTGGCACGCATTGTCAGCATACCGTCACCCAGATTACGTTTTTTTGATTTTCGGTTGCGTCTTCGACGCTCCAACTCGCGGGAGGCGGCCGCTGCGTGCTGCAGTCTTGCTATGAATTTTTCGATGTCGTCGAAACAGTGGTTGAGGATCGTTACGTCTCGCTCGTATTTCTCGGAGGATGTCGAGGACACCTCGTCGTTGTTCTCTTCGCGATCAGTGGGACCTGAGGGGAGCGTGTCCGTTGTGATTATGCGTGGAGATTTAGTGGACAACAAAAGGTTATTAATAATGCATAGGGACGAGTGGGGGAACGGCACTGGGGTGGATTTTTTTATCTTGATGATTCGGTAAATTTTTGATGGAATGGGATAATTTTTTAGTATGGCGATGTGCGATCTTCATCATCATTCAGGGGAAACTTTATTCAATATATTCAATATATTCAATACATATATTCAATGAAAAATAGATGAGAAAAATTGTAAATTTTATACCCAAGAATTTCCGTATAAAAATCAAAATCCATTAACTTTTTCTATCAAATATCTATCAAAAAAATACTGCAAAAAGTCTATATATATTCAATACATATATTGAATATATAGACTTTTTGCAGCGTCTTTTTTTGATAGATATTTGATAGAAAAAGTTAATAGATTTGGATTTTTATAGGGAAATTCTTGGGTGTAAAATTTCCAATTTTTCTCATCTATTTTTCATTGGGGCAAAAAACAAAAAAAAGTTTTTAATGGAATTCTGACAGTACTCCAATAGAATCCTTATGCAGTTCCAATAAAAATTCAATAAAATTTCATCACAAAAGTGCTAGGTTTTCCAATGAAATTCTTCCACACGTGATAATCCATTGATATTAAGATTAGCTGATCGTAAACATCAAGGAGACCACTTACTGTTTGCATTGAATGCTGAGACCTGCTCGCGAACACTGACGCCGTTTAACGGTGGCTCTGGCGGGGGTAGTGCTGGAGGCGGTGGTATTTGACCCCTCGGTCCTCGAGGTGAACCGCCGGGAACTAGTTTGCCCAGTTGCAGCATCTTCAGGTCCTCCACGAGATCCTGCGCAGAGACACTCTGACACTGGAATATGTGCATTTCAGCGCGCTGTCCTGAGCCACTGTCGTCGGCCACTGTGAACACTAGGATATTGTTGTACATCTCCATTGGATCTCGCGATGTAAAGGCTGTCGGCTCTTGAATGAGAGCCGCTGGAAATCTCTCCATCACCGCCTGCAAGACATTCATTATTTATCAGTTCTCATTAGTATTGTTATTATTATTTTAGTGGAATGTATGGAAATGTACAATGCAAAACCTATTGGCACATTTGTTAGAAAATTCTATTAGATTTTTATTGGAATTGTATTGTTTTTTTAGTTAAATGTTATGAGAATTACACTGATTTTGATTCTCGAATCCTATAGAAATTATTCTCTTGAGATTTATTTTTTTGTTATTTCTAGTTATAAAACCCGAAGAAAAAAAATTTGGGAAAATTCATTCCCAAGAATTATAGAAAATTGAAAATTTATTGACCTTTTTCTACTGAATATCTCTTGAAATATGTATGCAATAAATGCATCATTAATAATTTAGTAAAATATACAAAACGTTTGACAAAAGTTCTCAGAAATGGAAAATTTTTTCCATTAAATTTTTCATGTACATAGAATAGTTATTTCACACCAAAAAGGCAATAAATGTTGATTTCTCCATAATTATTATCGGAAATAAATTTTCTAATCTTTTTCCCTGAATTTTGCGATGAAAAACAGAAGAATCTATAATTAATGAAATTAATGCCTAAATCGAGAGGCAAATAAAAATCTAATGACTATTTTTCCATCAAATATCCATTCGAAATCCGGAAAATTAATCGATGAAAAAAATAATAGAATTTCCAATAAAAATTCAATTGGTTTTCAGTAATGATGTCAATCATTCTAAAATTACCCCAGTTTCGTTATCCATTATCAACACCCAATTGCGCTCCAGACGAAGCTGCATCTTTTGACTCCATATACCATTGCTCTTTTCAAGCTGGAGGAGTCTTCGCATACCATCGGCTGGATAAACAATGCCAGTCTCCTTGGTTACTGTGAAAGTCGCCAAATGCTCCATCATGTAAGTTGGCTCGGTCCCTGCACCACCTCGGCTGCCGGATGAGTTGGAGGGACCGCTCATGACATCTTTGAATTTCAAGTAATAGCCATAAAGTGTTTATTTACTCCATAAATTCGTCATTCTACTCGATATCGTACCTTTTGCGTATGGAGAAGAGGTGTGGCCACTGTTGTAGTAAGGCATTGTCGTGTAAGCTCCCCGCTGACGTACCTTTTCAAGAAAACAACGAAAAATAATAATCCAACATCATTCAACGATCGTGAACATTAAATCAAGTGCGTGTGCGATGTCGCTTGGACTCTGCATTCACAAATACAAATCTGGAATGTGACCTATACGTATTGTATATCCGGCTGAGCGAGAATGAGCCAAGAAGAGATACGACACATCACCGTAATTGGCGACACGAAAGCTAAACTACCGCTTCGGTGATGAAATGAAATTCCAATTGGCCTAATTCACAACGAGACTGATTGGCTCTTCGATGATATCACGGTGCTGATTTTTCTGGGAACATTTTCATTCAGCAGTCGTCAAATTAACTCCGAAAAAGTCTGAGACTAGAATTCAACGAATGTTTTTCTCAAATTTGATGGAGGTTCTTCCAACTTCAAGTAAATGAATGAACAGGTTTTTTACTGTGATTCCAGTTGTGCACCTTGCTCGGCACAAGGAAGAATCGGTTTCCGCGGAAGACCTCGGTTTTAAATGCCCGCTATTTCTCTTTAATGTAAAATTTGAAAGATGAGGTAATAATGACCGTAGGGTCACAAATTTTGATTTTCAGGATTGTCATCGGGACATGTCACTGATTTCCTGGGACATGTCATGAATTATTGGTGATATTGGACACTGTTAAAATGACCCTGATAATCTGTCATTTTAATCACTGAAGTTTGATGATAGATTCTTAAAAATTAGAGATGGCTCCCTGAATATCAGCCATACTAGTCTGAAAATTAATAAAGTCTCTAAAAATCAAAATCTTTTTTTCTCTGTGATCTTAAATGAATTTTTAAACGTAAAAAATCCATCAGTAATTAGCATTATTTAAATGGCATTTTGCAAAAGATCGTTTTTAAAAATTTCCATTTGATAAATAAAGAATAAAAATTTATTATTTATGAAAAAGGTCTTAAAAAATGACAAATCCTTCAACCACTTCGTGAGTCAAATTTAATTTTTTTACAATAAAAAAAATAATTTGCGCTTAAAAATGAAAAATCAAATATAATTCTTCGCGGTTTAAACAATAAAATCACCGTAAAATATTCAGAAGTCTAGGGTCAAATGAGGCTCAAATGGAAAGTGATGTTCACTTACAAATATTCAAAAGAATTTCAAAGAGGAAAAAAGGCCAAAGTACTTGAATAGCCTCAATACCGCCGATTGTGATGAAGTTGAGTGAAAGTTTGATGATGAAAATTCTCAATGACGAAATTCATGTATTGAACGATGACATCGGAAATATTCTCATCCATACCGGTAATTATGTAAGAAAGAACAAAAGGAGTATTAGGCGTGTAGTCACTTGAAGGAGAGAAGAGTACTAAATGAGTTTGAGCGGGCGATGCCCACGCCGTCAATTGCGTATGAATCGATCCTCAAGATTCAATCTCACGTCAAGACCCGAGAAAAATTGATTATGAAAAAGGCAAGGTTGACGGTATTTCAAAGTCTATGGGTGCGATGAATAGGAGATCTTTACAGGGGGAAGTGGGTGAAATGAACCGTTTCAATAGTCAGTTTGTACCGCGAGATCAGTCGAATTCGAAAAAATTCAAAAAATTTTTTTTTTTAAATTAAAATTAAAAATTTAATTAATTAAATTAATTTTAAATAAATTAATTTAATTTACTTTAATTTCATTTTTTTTTCTAATTTAATTTTTATTAAATTTTAATTCAATTTTTTTTTTATTTTAATTTTTTTTTTATTTCGAAGAAATTTTTTGAAGAATCCTTCAAGTTGAGACCTGATTTATTCGAATCGTAAAATTTGACCAGGAAATATTGATGATTCAAGGGGGAAGATTTCGGAGCACCTTTCCCCATCCTGAATGTCTAATGCAACTCGTCAGTAATTACTGACCCATGACAGCATGCGGGTAATGCCACTCTATTCCTGATACCTAAGGTGAACAGTTTTTATTTCCCTCGTTTTAACATTTCCCCTAAAGTTGATAAGTCACCAAGGTTTCACGTATGAAAAAATTGCATTAGACAAACTTGGCATTTTCATTACGAAATTGTACTTAACAATTTTATTTTAAAGAATTCATTTTTTTTAGTTTCTTTTATTTGTATGGGACCTCTATAAGACTTCTGCTGGAATTTTCCAAGGGAATTCTATTCATTTTTGTTGATTTCTATTTAAAATCTCGCAGCTCTTGCGCACGTTTTTAAAAATGTATATTTGATTAGGAAAAGTGAATTGATTTGTTTCATAGAAATTCTTGTTCATAAATTTTCTGCTTTGTCTTTACTATATTTTGTTGTGTTCCTTATTACAAAAAATTTAAAAAAAATCCACACCTGTTGATCTTTTTTGTTCCGCACCCACTGAAAAATTGTTCGTCAGAACTTTGAGTAGAAATCTTTAAAAAAACATAAAACACCAGTTCCAGTAAAATCAGTAGCAAAGCGTTCAAACATTCCAGTCGCCTCAGCTTTCAGCTGAATTTTCGAGGAATATCTCGGAATCTAAAAAAGATAAAATTTTCGTGATAACTTTTTTGTAGAGAAAATTAAGGGCTACGAAAAAGGTCATAACAAAAAATTTCGTATCTGCCTTAAATTCCGAGATATTCATCGGAAACTGACTTATAGTCAAAACTGACTTGAACCGTTTTACCGCTTCGCTACCGAAATATTAATAGAAATTCAATTGTACTTCAATAAAATCCCTATTGAAAGCATTAGAATTCATATTGATATTTTTTCATAAATGAGTGATGGTAATCACCCACTCATCGTATTCTCATTTCTTCGAATGCAAAAATGGACAAAATATGAGAACATAGATCGAAACGATCACATGCATCGAACACTTCATGGACACGAGGTGCATGTCCCCTATGTCACATTTCCATCGAGGAATTTTACTTTTCCCTTCAGTAAGAATATCTTCCTCCGCAGGTACACCAGCATATACCCCCTAGCCATAATTACAGAAGAATTACACACTCGTAGTTCATTGACCGTTACGCCTATCCGTCCGCACCATTCCACATTTACTCCATAATACTCATAGATGTTTTATTGAATTTTTCGTCACCATATCGGCATTGTATTTGTGTATCCCGAGGCACAATCCCATTAGTTACAACTCACGTCTATTCTTTCCTCTGCATCCCCTTCACTTATACATCAGGAGAGAATGAAATGAACCTTTATCGGTAAGTGCCAGTTACAATCATTCATAATGTGTACGGAGTCTCAATATATTTTGATGCGTGGAATGAGCGTCAGCACATGCGGGCGTTTTTAGGAAAAATCGCCGCACTGAATTGTCAGGATTATTATACTATTACTATACTATCGGAACTCGAATGAAGAATACAACAATTTTAAAGGAAATTAAAATATTTCAGGCGGAAATTTCACGAAAATAGTTTTGGTCGGTTCTATTGAAGAATTCCCCAGCTAGGAAAGAGAAGAAGAAACGAGTGGAAAAAATGAATGGAACGAGTGAGTGGAAAATTCAGAGAATTCATGCCGAGGAATTCCCACAGAAAATGTCTCAATAGAAAAGTTTTATAGAATTCTACAGGTTTTTTTCTATAAAATAGTTTCTATTGGACATTTTCTATAAAAAAACGCGTAGTAAAGCTGCGAAATTCTTCAATAGAACCAGCGAAAATCTAATAGAATTTTCAATAGAAATCCACTAGAATTTTCCATCGAATTCACTAGATTTTTCTATGAAATCTTTTCGACCTCGCCCATGCCCTGCATAATTTAAAAAAATATATACTCGGCAATCACAAGTCGAGGAAGCTAACACAAAAGGCAAAGGTGCTCGTCATCTCTCTCCGTGGAAAGTCACCGTAATAATCCAAATTTCCCCTGCACGTGAATGAAATTCCTCAGGAGAACATTAGAATTGTGAAGATTATTGAGTGCACTGTGCCTCAACCTCGGAAATATATGGAATTGCACCAGGGGACACACCCAGGTCAGAAACCTAAAAAAATGCATGCAAAGTGCAGTGGAATATTGAGACTACTATGTGATGCATGCGTCCTTGAGTCGCACTCTCTGCAGCAGACGAAGAACTGCGGCGTTATCTCTCAGTTATATTGTAAACACCGCAGAATCATCGAATAAATATCGTAGGGCTGTGCACGAGGATTAAATTCCTCAGTCGAGTGATATTCATCATCACATTTTAAAAATCCAGTTTAACGATTTTTGAAGCCTCCATTCCGCTTATCAACTGCACTCTTAAAAATTTCTTGAAATCTCAGTCACAGTTTCATCTGAATTTTCAATGTTGGGAGTTTGAATTCAATTTCAAATGAAAACGTTCACTAAATTTCTCATTCGTCTTGAAAATTCAAGAAAATTGGATTTTTCATGGTAAACAATCATTGATTTTTTATTGAAAGCTTGAATTTTCAAACTCATCGTGAAAAATGAACATCACATGCAATTCAATTTTCAATAGATTTCAAAACTTTCTTGACCCCATTCATCTTTCTGCATTATTGAGATAAAAATTAATGGCACCGAGAAACGTAATGTTTTACTATCCTGGCACCCACGGAAAACAATACGCGCGCCTGTTCTAGTGCAAGAAAATCTGATTGGGAAACTCAATCGTCCGCCACACCCAAAAAAAAAACGAGGCTGAATTCCCTTGGCAGTGAAACGACTGATTGTTTCCTCAATCTTTTAATTACTTTGTTACAACAGGTTGATTGGAAGGAGTCCCCGCAAGACCCAGCATTCAGCATGAGTCAACGTTCAGCAAGAAGAGACAGACTATCGGTTGTAATTGGGATTACGTTACTAACGTTCAGGTGAATGGAGGAGATATAAATGAAAGGTATTCCGAGTGGGACCGTCTCGACTTGGTATGAAGAAGAAATGTGAATATGGGTACAAATATGGTACAGGTGGGGCGGGGG